TTAGTCTGAGATAAGCTAAAGTTTGGGATAACCTCTTCACATACTGTGTCCGTATTATACGCATCCAGTGCATCTTGGACCTCTGCCACATTCAGTCCAGCTACCACGTATGCCCAGCTTTTGCGAGTCTCACCCTGGGGCTCAAGCATATGTGATATCTGGCCAACGTGCAATCCAAAGCGGAAGGCCACCCGTACACTGGTAGAGCCAGTGTGGGCAAGCTCAAACAGGGATGAAGATGTGGCTACAGCTGCTGCTGAGAACAGTCCTATGCTCATTCCTGCAAGGACCATTCCATTGGAAACGGGGAGGTCATATAGGATACCTTGGGACTCATAATGCCTAGGGTTGTTAGTACAGTCCTCCTCAAAAGAAAGCATATATGTCCCATGGTGACATACCCAATAAGCATTCCAAGCTCCAGCACACAAAGCAATGCTCCTTCGAGTGCTCCTCCGGCAGGGAACTTTTGCAAATCTTCCAGGTTTTCCACCCAGGCCATGATGGATTGGGGAGGAGGGAAGGCATCTTGCATGTGTCGAGGCATAGCAAGTATCTCTTCCTTCAATCCAATGGTACATTCCTTCAAAAATGTGGCTAACAAGGGTAGCCTCCTTTCACGACTCCATCGTTGCAAAGACTCAAAAAGGGTTGAAAGCCTATCATGAGGAAAGGTATGACTGAACAAAAGAAAACGAGATGTGACCCCTTCTTCAGAAGATGTGGATGGGGTGTACATCTTTCTCAAAATCATAAGATACAATACCTAAAACGATCAATAGAGTGAGATGTAGCATATTTTAAATGTTTAGCTCTATATTATGTGGACAATCATATTGTACGTGGTGTCCCGCTAAGATCTCACGCTAGCCCTTCGCCCTCCTTACCTCTGTACAGTTAGGCACCCCTATGATGTTGCAGTAAGCCCGGGGTCCGGTCATGACAATGGGATTCTAGGGGTAATAACAGTTCGGATAATTTTGTCCACGGCCTGCGAAGTTGTCGGGGTAATATCAAAGTTTCTGGTGGCTATGATCTCCTCGTTTCAAGTGCAGTTAACTGACAGTAAGCTGGAATGACTCTGCCGCTAGCCTAGATTGAATACGAAGGGCTTATTCTGGTATCAGTTGCAGCTGATTCCACGTATTGTCAATGAATTTAACTGTCCGCACACCCTTGTGGTCTATTTCTCCGAGGGGTCTAGCTAGCCTAAACTGACCGTGTAGACAGAGGCGTTCCATCTATCTTTGAAGCACGAACCACTGCTTCTCTGACCCCCCTACCACTGTAAAGGCCAGTTTTCCCTCCTCAGCTAGTTTATACAGGACCTGTATTATGAACGGCCCAACCATCATTTCTAGTGCCGTTCCGTAAAGACGGGATGTGACTTCCCGAGCTGTCAACAACGTCCTCTCCTTCGAGCTACCTCCCATAAATGTAGAATAAACAGCCTTTTCAAGCACCGCCCAATGCCTGGCGTACACTATGAGCTTGGCGGTTAGATCTTCAATCACGGCGCCATGCCCGGGGTATCCAACTCTTATACCCTCGCTATGCACTCTTTGCCTCATCTTTTCAATGCTCTTAAGATATACTCCTAAGTTTTCCACGACAACACTGGTTCCATGACCTAGTATATTGTCACCTGTAAACAAAGCACCGGTTTCCTCCAAAATAAAACACATGTGGTCTGTGGAGTGTCCAGGGGTGAAGAACGCTTGGATTGTGGCCCCATTAGTCGCAAAGATTTGGCCATCATATATTGGATTTTGGCAACGGTCAGGATCTGCTTTGTAGATGGCTCCTTCAAGATGCGGATACTGAGAGATCAGTGCGCGCAGACCCCCAGTGTGATCAGAATGCCAATGAGTTAGGAGTACTTGTGAGATGCTGAGATGATGTTGTTCTAAAAAATTGACCAATGTCTCGATCCAAAGTTGACAACCCTTGGATTTAGTCAGTCTTTCATTCTAACTGTTTGGGAATTGACGTTCAAGCGAACTGACCTGGCCTGTATCTATCAAAATCCTTGTCTGGCCGCTCCCGACCAAATATGTATTTGTGCCTTGTAATTGCATGTCACCTGGATTTCCACCCAGTATTCTCACCACCTCTGCACTGAGCTCAGTCACTACAGGCAGAGCGGGTAGTTTGGAGTTCCGAATAGCAAGGTAGTCGTGCCATTCCGGCTGGGTCCATACTTGTGGAGTGAACATGGTGTTGACAGCTGTACAGACTCGCAAAGCACCCAGCGACAGCAATATTGAAGAATCGGGATACAACGACTCCGTACCTGAGTACCTAGGTATCTCGATGGCAAAGCCAAACGTGGCACTTTTGCCTACCTGTTCGGATTTGAGGCTCCAGGGCAATCATTGCGAGTCGGAGTCCGACAGTCCCCGCACGGGCTCCATGGCCCCAACAGCCTCCGGTGAGTCAAGAACAGCCCGATTGGCAGGACTCCGGCTCTGCGAAGTTCTAATTCAAGTTGCATGACGTCTTCTTTCGACGTATGCCTCAATTATAAAGTCTCAGGTTGTGGACAAAAGGCTCAAGTCTTTCATCCAACACAACCACGCACCAACACACACAATACAAGTGAAGCATTTTCGTTTTTGAGACTGAAGTGGACTATCTGATAAAATGACATCTACACAAACTGTTCCTGAGCAGTGCAGCGTACTGGTGGTGGGAGGTGGTCCAGCCGGCTCTTACGCCTCTTCGGCGCTGGCCCGAGAGGGCATCAGTGTTGTTTTGCTTGAGGCTGACAACTTCCCACGGTTAGTCTAATTGTGCTCTAACAGCCTTCATCTGCCTATTCTGACGATTTCGCAACTGTCGCTAACCTTGGCCCTAGTTATCACATTGGAGAGAGCATGCTCCCTTCGATGCGCCACTTCTTGAAGTTCATTGACTGCTATGAGAAGTTCGATGCACACGGATTCCGTGTCAAGGTAAGTGATCAGTCCTGAGACGTTAGAAATCAAAATGGAAATCATGAAAATGCTGATCTATTCGTTCTAGAACGGTGGTGCTTTCCGTCTCAATTGGTCACGCCCTGAGACATGTAAGTCGATCCAGGCTGAGCATCTCTTTATTGTCGTTCAAACCTAACTTTCACCATAGATACTGATTTCATTGCTGCCGGTGGGCCTGGTGGATACTCATGGAACGTTATCCGTTCTGAAGCTGATGAAATTCTCTTCCGTCATGCTGGTGAGAGTGGCGCTAGCATCTTCGACGGTACAAAGGTTACTAGCATTGAATTCGAGGAATCCTCCGAGGAGATTTTTGATTCCGCAAATCCCAATCCGGGAAAACCGGTTTCCGCAACTTGGTCGCGCAAGGATGGCAGCACCGGTCTGGTGAAGTTTGACTACCTCATTGATGCCAGCGGTAGGGCTGGTCTCGTTAGCACCAAATATTTAAAGAACCGTCGATACAACCAAGGTCTCAAAAATGTGGCCAGCTGGGCCTACTGGAATGGCGGTGGTACTTACGGCGTGGGAACCCACAAGGTCGGCGCGCCGTACTTTGAGGCATTGAAAGGCAAGGAGCTCCTCGCAAATACTCCTCGGCACTTTGCTAACCAATCTCATAAGTGCAGATGCCAGCGGCTGGGTTTGGTTTATCCCCCTTCACAATGGTACCCACTCGGTGGGTATTGTTATGAACCAGGCCAAGGCAACCGAAAGGAAGAAAGCTTTGGATTCACCTTCTAGCAAGGATTTCTATCTTGAAAATCTGAACCTGGTTCCAGGTATCAAGGCATTGCTTGAGAAGGGTGAGCTCGTCAGTGAGGTCAAGTCTGCATCCGACTGGTCTTACAGTGCATCATCATACGCCTTCCCCCATGTTCGTATTGCTGGAGATGCAGGATGCTTCATTGATCCTTTCTTCTCTTCCGGGGTTCACCTTGCCCTGTCCAGTGGATTGACTGCTGCAGTGACCATTTCTGCTGCTATCCGTGGGGACGTCACGGAGAAGGAGGCAGCGAAATGGCACTCCAGCAAGGTTGCCGAGGGATACACCCGCTTCCTTCTTGTCGTTCTCAGCTCCCTCAAGCAGATTCGGGGTGGTGATGAGCCGGTCTTGAATGACTGGGATGAGGAGAGTTTTGAACGCGCCTTTGATCACTTCCGCCCTAGTAAGTGGCTTTCACACGCTCTCTTTCCGATGAATGGTTGGGCTAATAATATCGACAGTCATTCAGGGTACTGCGGATGCAGACTCCGAGAAAAAATTGAGCACTGAAGAGATTTCCAAGACCATTGACTTCTGCTTCCGAGCTTTCGCTCATGTTCCCGTTGAGCGGAAGGATGCTCTGCTTGAGAAAATGAAGAACCATGGGGTTTCTGACCCAACCGCCACGGACCTCAAGACCCGCGAAGCCCTTGAGGAATTGAAGAATACCCTCTCACCCGCAGAGTTGGAAATCATGAACACTATTCGCGGGCGCCGCATGATCCGTGCAGAGGATTCATTGAACATCGACAATTACAGGCTGGATTCCATCAATGGTATGGCACCTCACCTTGAGCGAGGGAATTTGACTCTTCGTAAGGCGGAAATCAACAAGATTGATGTCTCAAAGAAGGACCTGCTTTCCTTCCTTAGTGGTGAAGCTGCAGAAGGAAAGCACCACGGGACCGAAGAGACCAAGGGCCCAGCGGCAGTTGTGACGGAAGTTGCGGAGTTCGCAACTTGAAATCATCTGGAGAAAGACTCCAATGGCCATAGAATGGCAGTTGCATTTTTTTATTTATTTTCCCAGGGATTGCTTGTGTGTTGAAATACGTCAATCAACCAATTTTTGAATCTATCAAAGTCAACTTGAAAAGCTGGATATCAATTAGCCTTGAAGACAAAAGCATCTCTAGGTCTTCAGTTTGTGCAACCCAGGGGGACCATAAAGCAGTCTTTTAGAAGATCGAAACGTGAGATCAGATCTTGTACGGAGTACTGCGTAGGTGGAAACATGAAATAAGAGATCTCCTGAAATGATTGATCTGATAGGAGAAGGACATGTAGATCTTGCAGGTGAGTCAACAAATGACCGGTTCCGTTATCGCGTCACCGGACTCGGCGATAAGCAAGGGGGCACAGGTACCAGCCCCCAGTACTCCGCCTCTTCCCCTCACGGGTCTTTCTCTCCAACTCCCTCCGACACCTCCCCACCTACACATACCCATTTCAGCACATATAAGATGACCAGAAAGTACGGTGCCAGTCAAGGCCTCGATATGCCTTGGACTTCAGACATGTCTGCCCACCTACCCAACCCGTTTATGCCTGAGCCTGTACCTGCATCGCAGGCAGTCCGAGCTCAGGCACCAACCACCGATGAGCAGGTTCGACCCGAGGACTACTCTAAGCCATACTGCGAGTTTATGACATCAAACCCCACCATTTTCCACGCCGTCAAATCCTTCTCCAACCAGCTCGAAGAGCATGGCTACAAATACCTCTCCGAACGAGCGGTGTGGACATCGGAACTGAAACAGGGCGGCAAGTTCTACACTTCTCGCAACGGTAGTTCTTTGATCGCTTTCAACATTGGCTCCAAATACGAAAGCGGGAACGGTGTGGCTATCGTTGCTGGCCATGTTGATGCCCTGACGGCCAAACTGAAGCCCGTGTCCAAGCTACCAAACAAAGCAGGCTTCGAGCAGCTCGGCGTTGCCCCATACGCTGGTGGACTTGGTGCTACTTGGTGGGATAGAGATCTTGGTATTGGTGGCCGGGTTCTCGTCCGCGACCCCCAAACCGGCAAGGTTGAGACTAAGCTGGTCAAACTTGACTGGCCTATTGCTCGTGTGCCTACTCTTGCTCCCCACTTTGGTTCTCCTGCAAATGGCCCCTTCAACCCGGAAACCCAAATGGTGCCGGTCATCGGTGTTGATAACTCTGATCTCTTCGAACACTCCAAGATCGAGTCCAGCAAGATCAACTATGGTAAATTTGCCTCGACGCAGCCCGAGAAGCTGGTGAAGATTATCTCCAAGGAGCTTGGCATCACAGACTACAGCACTATTGTCAACTGGGAATTAGAGCTCTTCGATACCCAGCCCGCTCAACTGGGTGGTCTGGAGAAGGATATGATTTTTGCCGGTCGCATTGACGATAAGCTCTGCTGCTATGCTGCCCAGGAAGCACTCATCGCCTCCTCAGACAACACATCTACCGGTACAGTGAAGATGGTTGGCATGTTCGACGATGAGGAGATTGGCAGTCTGCTCCGCCAAGGAGCTCGGTCAAACTTTATGAGCAGCGTCATTGAGCGGATCACCGAGGCCTTCGCTAAGAACAACTACGGACCCAACCTCCTTTCCCAAACAGTGGCCAACAGCTTCTTGGTCTCTTCCGATGTTATTCACGCAGTCAACCCTAACTTCCTTAATGTCTACTTGGAGAACCACGCGCCTCGCCTTAACGTCGGCGTAGCAGTTTCCGCTGACTCGAACGGACATATGACTACCGATAGCGTCAGTGATGCTATTATAAAGCGAGTCGCAGAGCGCTGCGGCTCCACTCTGCAAGTTTTCCAGATTCGCAATGACTCTCGTAGTGGCGGTACCATCGGGCCCATGACCAGTGCCCAGATTGGTATGCGAGCTATTGACTGCGGTATCCCGCAGTTGAGCATGCACAGCATTCGGGCAACCACGGGCAGCTTGGATCCTGGCCTGGGTGTCAAGCTGTTCAAGGGATTCTTCGATCACTACGAAGAAGTTGACAAGGAATTTAGCGATTTTTAGATTGCCCTTGGGCCTTTATACACTATAGAGCTTTGTCCCCTTTTTGCAGGCCTGTTATAGGCGGGATTATCTTCAAATGTTATCGCATGTATCAAGTCATGTACCAGACTGCAGCGGATTGACTTTGTTGTATGGTTGCTCTTCAGAGACTTGATATTAAACTATCTATAATTCGATTGCTGTACTTCGGTCATATATCCAAGAATTCCCGGCCTTCCAATCTCACATAATCATATCCTCCCAAATAACCCAAGGAAAAACAAAGGAGAGGTGCACTCGATGGAGTTGTCGTGGCCCGAGATCGGGCTAAAAGAATGTGGTTGAAATGAAGCAAAAAGAAAAACCCCGCCTTGCCCATTATATCACGTTATATCCCACAACACAAGCATGACTAAATTATTCATGTCTATCTCTTGCATTGGTGTTTTTGGAAAGCATCTCAGTTTGTGAATGGCTCTGTGAACCTCGACGGGTGCGCACTATTATGATGCGTAAGTGCATGGGGATGAGGCTCTGGAACCGAAGAAATTTGCGTCAAGCATTTCTTCTCTTCCTCCGTCTCAGGGTTCTGGCCAGGTTTGAAGCCGGTCCCGCGCGCAAGATCCAAAACTCGCTCGGGGTCGCCGGCCCCGTACTCAGGCTCATCACAGGGAGCACCAATGGTCGAGCCATCGCCGTTCCACGTGGAGCTGCGTTGGGTTGTATCGCCATCTGTGGGGCGACTGCTGTTGAAGGTGGATATCATTCCTGGGAAGAGGCGTGCGAAGAGAGGTTTTAGAGTTGGAAGGCAGGCGCAGATAATGCCTGTGTTGCATTCGACGGCGGACCAGGCGGCGGCACCGACATTGTCATCTTGGCAGGGAGTGTTAGCTTGGTTTGAGGGGGTGCTTTAGGGCTGACGATATGCATACATGTGGGATCGGAGGATTCAGAGATCTGCTTCAAACTGACTAGGCGAACAATACTAGTGATGCAGACACTAGCGAGTGTTGTGTTAGCTCTGGCGTTTTGAATGTTAGTGTCTGAGATGATATCTGCTCAACTTACAAGCCGCCCAGAGCGAACATGGCCATCAAAGCAAACTTCTGTCTTCGGGGCAACTCGACGGCCATTAAGGCCGGGATCGGAATGAGCAAGATGGCGAAATCGGTTGTGATATGCATACTCGCATTTGAGAACCACAGCCCGGGCTTGCTCAAACAGTAGCCTTTGATTGAATCGTCCCAGAACTTGGCAACGGGAATGCAATTGAAGAACGCACTAATCACAGCCCATGTTCCATATACGCCGAGGATGGTGATCATGAGCCAGCATATAATGCGCATGCGACGTGTGGGGAACACTCGGAGGTACTGCATTAGAATAGATGCCTTGGCGCAGAGAACGGCGGCGTTATAAAAAGGAATGGTGAGCCAGAAAGCCTATTCAGATGGTGTGTTAGTCTGCTCATGGCTAATGACTGGTGGATGGCTTGCTCACCTTCATTTGTCGCTCGAGAATGTGCGGTGGGATGTCTTTCAAGTGCATACCCATACCACTGATAGATTCCACCACGTCGAGACCCATGAAGACATATGAATTTACCTATGCGTCTGCGTAAGTATATCGTTTCTCCGATGGCGATCTCCCAACTTACCAGCGCAATGATTACCATCCAGTCATTTGATTCTACCCGTCCCATGAGTTTTATTCGAGTAAACATTCTCAAACCCACGAAGCAAGTTGCCAATGCCGTGAACACGACGCTTACCGTTAACCCTTGTACACCACGGGGAGACGTATATACGCCAATATTTTCCCGCGGAAAGATCCCATCGCGAACTTGTAAAAAGTCCATTCTCGAAAGTCTGGGGAAAGCCTGAAAGATCAGACCCGTGGGAGAGACCTTGATCCGATCTATGGAGTATAAAAAGACTCGAATAGATCACAATCGAGTGATAAGGCAGCGGTCTCTCAATTCACTGAAAAAAGCCAGGATCTAGGAGGATATCCTCTCATTATAACACAAAGCACATCGACCTGATGCACAGCAGACCCATAAATAATGCAGCCCCAGAAACCAACGGTCGAAGACAGAATCCACTATCCCTACTTGAGTGAGTAAGAGCACACCTAATCCTTGAATTATCCGCCTGGATCTGTCTCCCCTCGCTCCCCGGATGAGTGGGTCAATACGTCGACGCGAGACAAATGCCCGGTTTAGGAGCGTGTTCGCAGGTGCAGGATGCAGCGCAAGGGGCCGCGTGGAACGACTGAGCGAATCGGGTTGAGTGTTGGCACCGATGGACTCGATATGGTACATACATATGTAAATTTATCTTGTGAAGTTCTTTTTCTTTCTTTCCCTATTCCGTTGCTTTCTTGCGCCATCTGTGGTTACATTTCGTGGCCGCTGCAGGGATTTTCCCACCACGAGGAATCTGGAGATTACACTTTGTAAGGTCTCTGATTTATCAAATTTCCCACACCTTATTCTGAGACCACAGTGACTCTTCCCCCTTCTGTCTAGACATCTCTGAAGGGTTGGATAATTATCTAGTCGTCGATCTAGGCGTCGATCCAATATGGAGCAATCCGCCCGGGTCACCCATCAAATTGAGACTGCACCTACGTATAGGGTCAACCATAGTTCTGGAGCTTGACGCACTGCGAACTCTACTTAGACTATTTTTTCGGACCAGATTGCTGGGAATTTCCACGCAATACTCGAAGTGATTTTCGAATATTGTCCAATATGCCATGACGCTAGACTTGCGAGGTTCGATTGCATAGGGCTCGGGGATCATCTCGTTTGTCAACTGATCATCTCCGAAGGTGACACTGGAAGATCATTTATAGCACCATATGACGATGGGCTGAGCATTGGGGCGTTTCGCTGAAGATCAAGCCAGCCCTGTATGTATCAATTTGTCCATTGGGTTTCTCGCAGCAGTCGATCTACCTGTAGAGAGCGGTTCGGTCGTACCGATCTACATATTGAGCTTAAATGATTTAAACCTTTTTATCACTCGCGTCTAAACCGTGGATATGCGCGTCCCTTTGTGGTAGATTCATCCATCATATCGCTAACCACTAACCATTGTTCGGCGAGGACTGCCAAGCAATGAAATAGAACCTTGAGGATCGGGATGACGAAGATCAACGGTGAAAATTCGGAAACCAAGGCTTTGGAAATGAATAGTCTTCCATATACTCCGTAGACCTAAATACCTAAGGTGGAGTATAACTACTGTTGATGGATCAGAAAGTGACCTCGAGCAATCAATTCGTCGAGTTCTGCAACATCTGTCTCGCCCCTCGTTCTGCCCCTCATCTTGTCACCTTGGAGATTTGAGGAATGTTTTGGAACAATTTGCACAGGTTTTAACAGTTGGCCGAGAAACGAACAGCCCGCTCTGGCCAAGGTCTCATTTTGCATGTTAGGGCTTTCCATTAAGCTCACCTGCACGGACCACTTGATGTGTAAGGGGGGCTCTAGGGCTCTATTGCCCCTGAACCTGGGAACTATCTAGCTATGCCGCCAACAACCTTGAAATATCCAGCAAATTACTAGGTTTGATTGAACCTGTTGGACATTGTATCAAATGGGTAAGATCTCCTGTTTGTTGAAACACCTACCTTTGCGTTCAATACGGAGTAATAGCGGCGCCCTTGTAAGGGACATGTGTTTCTGTTTCTTACTGCCCCGCATATAGGATAGATGCGCCCAGAGACCTTTCTTTTTCTCTGAACTATCTGCTAGGAGGAGGGAAACGTCGATGACATTTCATTCATGTTTCCGAAGAAAGCACGCGTCGGCCTCTGGAGGGCCAAGGCCTCCGTTTGGTGGCTTCGGCTACTTGCATCTGGCAAAGGGAGCGCTACTAGCCTTGCATTCCAGTTCGTGGACGAGCTAAACCTTGAGAATCTTAATAGCAGGACATTCGAATATCATTCAGAGTGCTCCATATAGAGTACTTCGTCCTCATTTTAAAGTTTTTATTCATTGCGTGTGGCTAAAAGTGTGACACGTTAGTTGATATGTCATATTGAATCACTAACTAGGGCTCTTCGTTTGTACATGCTTGCCGAGTGAACGCCGTAGTAGTATAAATAATTCCCTATCCTTGCAGAGCGATAGAAATATGGAAGAATGAGCGAGATTTACGGATTCGGAGTATGTTGTACAATCAATGTGGCTTTTCGTTCCTGCGTCCAAGATTTTGAATTCTACTATAGAACCATGCAGTCAACTCTTGTCGATATGCAAGCGGCTAGGTTCGGAACATGCATTGCATGCATGTTGCCTTGGTCCCTACTGTAACAGACTTGAATTAGTTTGATCGACATCTCTTTAAATCGAAGTACCTGTCGAGGTCCCTCGTTGTCCCAACGCCTACCTCGAAGATTGCCAATTTGACGCTGACTTTATAGCATTGTTGTAGTTCTATTCTATTGGCCACGCCAGCATCGGCATGTGAATACCTGGTCCAGTTCACAATTTCATGAGACAAGATGCAACTCCTTGCGAACACCTCTTTCCCGGCCGACCAGCCGTGCTTCAAATACGGATTACCAAGTCTTTGATGAAGATTTGATGCACTCCATTGGATGTTGCCTAATGCGAATAGCTGACTTTTTCAGGCATCTTGAATCCATAACCTGTCGAGTGAAACTTTGCTCATTCAGTGTCAATGCCAGGGCACTGTGACTTGAGAAAATAACTCTCCCACAGATTATTGCTAACTATAAAATAGCGTAGGCTAGAATACCTGCTTCCCGGGCTCAAAGGGTGTGTTACCAGCTGTGCAAGCTACGTGCATTAAAATATCAGCTTCATGTTTTAAACAAAGACATTACCGATTTGAAACTCGCCACAAGAGCATGGTTCCTTGCAGCTAACAGGAACTTTATTCGTCCAATGTCATCTTTTCCACGAGGTCCTTGGGAATCTTGGTTGAGTCTGGATTGATTCAACCATGCAATGCACTCAGCCCCTTTTCTACGGCATCGTCTTTGCGAGAGTGGAACTCCATGGATCTGGCTCGTCCAGATCTCAAGATTATTGTTTGATATTTGCATATCTGCAAGATTCCTTTTGAGTAGTTTGAGTCGACCCATCGGACATATGTTCTCCGTCAAAAGAATGGAGTTCATAAGGCCTATGATATCGCTAGGGAGGAAGAAGGGCACTTCAAGCTGGACTCGGAGTGAAATTCTCGTGGTCTAGCTCTATGATCACAGATTGATACTCCAAACGATCTTTTATTCTGCCGGGGAAACATTCAGCTACCCCTTGGTCTGGTTGTCAACGCATCAGTTTCATACTTCTGACTAGACGTGCGGGTGACTGGGTATGATGTTGGTGCTTGAGAACTTTGCAGAATATCACTTTTTTAAATTATTAGCGAACCAATCGTAGGAAATCAAGGTACTCTTTGCTGAGAGGACGCTTTGATCAAGATAAAAGTTCGATTAGGTGTCCAGGTGCGGTAAGATATATTCTGGCATCAATGGTCGTAGTCAACAACTTAAGGCATTCACAGATGTATCCCCATCACGCACTATAGGCAACTCCCCTTGCCATGAATTCGGATTCTACAAGAGACATAATTACCTTCTCAATCAACAAGCTTTAAAGTACAATCGCAGGATAGAAGACGAAAGTGCCCAGGCGCTGTAGATTTGGATAGGCGATAAGATAGACCGATAAGGACGCACAGGCCACTCTTCACAGAGAAATTTCCTTTCCACAACTCGAGTCAATTCTTCAAGTCGCCAACGATCTTGTCTTTTCTCATTGTCGATCAGTGGGAATAGTCCTAATCAATAGGCCAAGATGGCGGAGACTACTGCCGCATCTACCAAGCCCGTCCACACAATCGTGTTGGACGCTGGCCCCATTCTCAAGAATACCCCGCCGCTTTCTACCCTACTTGCCCAGTGCGAGGAAATTATCACCACCCCCTCCGTGGTGGCCGAAATCCGCGATCCCGATGCCCGCCTCCGTGTCGAAACCCTCTATCTGCCTTTCCTGAAGCAGCGATCACCCACACCCAAGAGTTTCAATATTATCAGCGAATTTGCTCGCAAGACCGGTGACCGATCTGTGCTCAGTAGGACCGATATCGAGGTTCTTGCGCTTGCTTATGAGATCGAGTGCGAGAAAAACGACGGAGATTGGCGGTTAAGAAGTGTTCCTGGCCAAAAGCGCATCAATGGAAGACCCCCCGTGAAGGAGGAATCCGTGGAGACCAAGCCCGAGGATGCGGACGTGGAAGCCATTACAGAGGGTGTCAAGGAGACCACAGTTACCGAAGCCCAGGAGGAGTCTCCAAAAGAGGAAGAGGCTGTCGTGAACAACGAGACCGAGGAAGTCGCTGAGGTCGCTGCTGCGGTTGCCGAAGAAGAAGATGAAGATGAAGACCTGAATGAGGATGATGAGGCTGATTCTGACGGTGGAGAGTGGATCACGCCCACGAACTATAAGAAGCGTCTCGCCGAAGATGAGTCGGGCTCCGCGGATCCTAACGCCGCAGTGAAGACCATGCAGGTTGCGACTATGACCACTGATTTCGCGGTAAGTACCCCCCACAGAATATATGGCCATTGCCCAATTGCTTATCATATCGTATAGTGTCAAAACGTTCTCCTGCAAATGAATCTTAACCTTTTGTCCACTACTACCCTCCAGAGAGTCCAGCATCTCAAGACCTTCATCAAGCGTTGCCACGCTTGCTTCTTGACCACAAAGGAGATGAACAAGCAGTTCTGTCCTCGTTGTGGAAAGGATACTCTCACTCGTGTTTCATGCACGACTACCGCCAATGGCGCGTTCACCATGCACTTGAAGAAGAACATGCAATGGAACAAGCGCGGCAACGTATACAGCGTTCCCAAGCCTATCGCAGGAAGTGCCAACGGCAAGTGGAAGGGCGGCGGTGGCCAGCGAGGATGGGGTACTGAGCTTGTCCTTGCTGAAGATCAGAAGGAATATGTCCGCGCCAACGTGGAAGAGGAGCGCCGGCAGCGCCGCGAGCGCGATCTTATGGACCAGGACTACCTGCCTGGTATCTTGACTGGCGAGCGCAACCGGGCTGGCGGCCGTACCAAGGTCGGCGCTGGTCGCAATGTCAACTCGAGGAAGCGCTAAGTGTGCTGCGGGGATGGCTTTGCATCTTGGATTACATGGGCTGGAGTTTTTGGGGCATGGAAAGAAAAGTTCACTTGGTCAATGGCCTCTCTCATGCTGGTCATTGGTCTTTTTATGAGGAATGACCATGTCTTGTCTGTGATTTACAGTTGAACATAGAATATAGCCAATCCATAGGGCTTTTTATGCACATTTACCAAAATCCTTGGTTACCTAGATCAGGTATCATATTCTCTAGATTGTCTAGGTATAACCCAGACTAGATTATCCAAGGACAGCAAAACAAGTATGGACATCTCAGCCATCCGTTGACCGCAAGAAAAACACCATTCGCCAAAACATGGGTTATGACACCCGGTAATTCATTTTCCCCAGTGTCGATGCATTTAAGGCTTAGCAGGGTTCTCTGGAAACGGGAATGTTAGTTTTTGATCTTTGTGAGAGAGCGAAATCTCGGGAGAGCCGCGACGTACCGGTCTGCTGGGTGAGGAGAAGACCGTAACGCTTCTTCAGGGTGACACGGTGACTGCAAAAAGAGGTCAGGATTCAATGTTTCGACTGTGCGCTAGAAAAGGAGCATGGGTACTCACCGAGAGTACTTGTCATCGGGAGAGAAGCGAGCGGGGTGGGCAGACTTGGTGACCTCGCCGTTCATGACCTATAGTTGCAAAAGATTAGAATCGTTGTCCTGAAGTTTGAGATTGGCACCCGAAGAGCTATAAAATAACCGCAAAGCCGCAATGCTCTGGCGCAAGAATTGCCGTACCTTCTTCAGCGTGTAGACACGCTTGCCTTCGGTATCGAGAGTGTACTGTTCGTTAAGAATTAGCGATCGGTCTCCGGGTGGAGCTGAGGATTCGCTCGCTTCGAGTTCGCGGTGGAACATACCATAAGATGCATTCTGGAAATAGCGGGATTAGCAAGTGCACAATCAAAACCAGTAGGAATAGAATCAAATACTCACTTGGCGGTATTGATGAATTGTCCTGGGTTAGTACTTGCGTTCGGCGATAAGTGGAGGAATTTTTTTCTCAACGAAGAACGAGCTCGGACCACCCTGCTTAGTCATGGGGTCCTTTTTAACGGAGCTTTCGACTGCAAAATTTCCTTCTTCCCTTGCATCTGAACAGAGAAGAGAATAATAGTTTCTGTTGAACCTTGAGCTCTGTTGATGTGCAGAGCCATGGTCAGTACACTAATTGACGTTTGATTTAGGTTGCCCACACATGCAACCACTTCCAGGTAAGATGACTCCGAGCTTTCTTTTCCCACACCTCTCCATCCCACGCACCCCTCACCTTCGGTGATGACACCATTTATTTAGCTCAGGCAGGCGGCACTTTGATTTCTAGCTGCTTGTCAATGATCTGCTGAATTGACTACAACGGTATCTGAGAAGATATTACCATGACGATTGAATCACTCGCATGTTACAGTACAGTTCGCTAACATCGAATCTGTATAGGACTTTGAATATTTCATTCATCCAGTAGGGGTTTTCAGGATGGCCACTCCAGTAGCCAACAAGGACAAGGCTGTGGCTGCTGGGTCAGAACCCGCACCAAATGCACGCCCGCCTCGTGCTCCGCGACCTCCTAGGCCCAACTACAGACAGATTCACCAGTTTCCTCTTCCGGTCAATGTACATCATGTTCCTCCTGTAATTCCTCATAACCCTCTTTCTCTCATAAGCGTTGCTCTCTCGTACCTCACGTTTCTTATATCTCCACCTCGTCGTCAAGAAGTCTACTCAGCCTACTTCGACCAAGCTACATCGTCGTGTCATGTCACAGATGAGAAGGCTATTAAAGCCTTGTGGCAGATGGGATTCTTCGGCAAGGGTAGTCTCAGTCGAAGTGAACCCAGCTGGTTGGCGCGAGAGAAAAAAAGAAGAGGGTTACATGATGGCAAGACCAGCGAGGAAATTACAAGGCTGCGACGAACAGAACGTCGTGAACTGAAGCTAGAGCGTGCACGGATGGAGAAGCTGGCGATTGAGGAGAGGTTGAAGGCCGAGGCGGCTGCAAGAGAATCTGGTACTTCTTTGTCGGTTGATCAAGCCTCTCAGCCCTCTACAGAGGATACCAGTAATACCCCAGCGGTTGCAGCGGAAAAGTTCTCCCTGAAGAAGGCAAGAGAAGCTCGGGCGCTAGAGGCACGGCAGGCTCGAGAACTTGCAGCACAGAATGCGGCCCTCGTTCAAGAAACCCAACCCGAGCACTCATCTAACGACAAATCAGTTCACTTCTCACCAGTCGTGCAAAAGCAAGAATTCCAAACCACATCACCCTCCACACTACCGCTACCTGACTCTGTCGTTGATGGTCCCGATTCAGATGACTTCCCCAATGAGGAGCATCTTCAACTGTCCAATGAAGAGGCATTCTTCCTCGTCTACTCGCTCGGAGCCTTGCAGATCTACGACGCGCCTTCGAAGTCGGGGGAAGACCAGTCAAACTCGCCAACTCCAATCTCAGCCCTACTCCAACAATTTTGTCACCATTCTTTCCAACCTGCCCGTGACGGCTCCGCATCCATCCAGCCAGATGATCCCTTCATGCTCTCTTACACTGTGTACCACCATTTCCGATCTCTCGGATGGGTCATCCGCTCCGGCGTGAAATTCGGAACCGATTACTTGCTTTACAACCGTGGTCCGGTCTTCTCACACGCCGAGTTCGCTGTCATCGTCATTCCCTCCTACAGTCACCCCTACTGGTCCGAGACGGAAGAACGCAAGAACTACACGGCGGATAAGCAGGCTCGGAGTTGGTGGTGGCTGCACTGCGTGAATCGTGTGCAGGCGCAGGTCTTGAAGAGCTTGGTCGTCTGCTATGTCGAAGTGCCTCCACCTGCTGCTTCTATTGATGATCTTGGAGCGCTGTTCGGTCAATACAAAGTGCGCGAGTTCGTGATCAAGAGATGGACCCCGAACCGCACTCGTGATTGATTTCTCGACTTTCTAGTCTCACGGCAGAAAATATTAAGGGCTTCAGATACCCTTTCTATACTTACATGTAGGTACATTCAATTATGTCGCATGTCATTGCATTCACTATCCATTTGTCTATGTAATGATCAATAAACTTTACTAGACTTTGTCCAAGATAAACAATAATCCTATTTATATGGAGTAGTGGAGTAAATAATTAAGATGACCACAAACCTTTTCTGTCTATTGATCCTATTCAACCTCATGGTCATTCTGGCTGGAAGCGCATTGTGATAGACTAGGCCGTAAAGGGTAATATTACTTCGAGGCACGTGACACACGCGTTTCGCGTTTTGAAGCCTCGACATCTTCACTCTGCTCCCTCGACTAATAGCATTTGGAGCATCCGATCGCATCTAAATGGGCACAACAAATAAAATCACCGAAAAAGGGAGCGTTTAAGCTATCGTGATCTGTATGTCGCCCAAAAATGGAAACCCAGGAGGATAGCATCGACCTGGCAAAGTTGCAACGCGACGCGTTGGGGCTAGTATGTGACAACCATGCAGCCTTCTTCACCCTCATTGGGCTAACTCGGATATCCGCAGGATCACAATCTAACCCAGCCGTACTCTTTGGAGTGTGCACAAACGAATAGTCATTCGACGAACACGCTTCAAACCACACCCCACGGAGTCGACGGCACTTCCGATGGTGACGGAGCGTGCGCCGGTCAAAATCTACCTCCGAAGACACCAGTAAACCCCACGAGCCTTATCCACCGACACCTCCCCCTCCGTCTCGACCTCGGCAGCATGAGGCACACAAAATGATGTCCAACAAAAGTGTCAATGAACCGGGCAGTGTGCCAGGGTCACAATTCGGAAACTTGAGCTCCGCAGACGCTACACCCGGGGATACTCAGGTCATCTCCCAGTCGGTTTACGACAGTATCATCAGGCAAAATGGGGAAGATTCCATGCAATCGGATTATTCTCAAACAGGGGCGGATGGAGCGACACTGAGAACATTACACGAGGGAGACAGTGGCCATCTAGATCTCATCTCTGAACTGGACGTTGCACGACATGAAATAAACCTCTCCCAAGATGATGACAATGATGAAAGCACTTTAGACCCGAGCGAGTCCTCCCCGATGGTCTACGCACCCGATCTCTTCCCTGAATCCCAACGATTTCTGGCAGAAACACCTGGAACGGTGGTGAAAAAGAACGAGCCAAACGGCACGGTAGCCGAGACCCCAAGTATCTCACGAAATCCACTGGCCGGTAGTATCCAGTCTAGTGGTGGTCTGCTTGGCCTGAGCCAGGTTTTCGGCGGTACTCAGGCTCCCTCGTCACCCATTGTCCACGGCCTGCAGACGGACCTCGTATCGGATCGTCCGTCACCCAATATCCCGATTCAACGCGTCCCGGTTGTCAACGGTATCTCGTCCCCAACGATGGGCCTGCCGGGCCATTTCGTGAGAGAATCATCCGAACCGAACATGAACTACATATCGATGAAGGAGTCACAGACAAAGCGCGATCGGACTTTGGGGGAGAGGTTGACTCGATCGGCTGATAATCTCCAGTCAGACCAGAGCGATAAGGAATTCTATAGGGAGTCTAGCTTCATAGAACGCGCGCGACGACAGCGAGAAATCGACGAGGAAGCTGCAGCCCAGTTTGCCGGCCTGAGTGCCCCTGCTAGGTCTACATCCGCCAGACCACAGACTTCCCCGAACAACTGGCGGGGCCTCAAGATGAGCAAATGATAGAAGCTATTGCTAGCGAGGAAGAAACCGAACAAGAAGAAGATCTGCAAATGCCTCAGTCACAAGAGCCTCATCATTCTTCAACCGAAGAAGACAAAGAGAACTACGACGGACCCCCTCTGGACCCAACTGCTGCAGCGAATGCCCATGGCCGGCTTTCTCAGATACTCGGACTTGAGCCAATCCCTTCTCCATCCCCTGAGGAAGATGATACCGAAATGGAGGATGCTATGGATTGTCAAGGCTCCTTTCGCACCCACAATGGTAATCAACCTAATGGTGTTCTGCGATCTTCCCAGGTGATGATAAAGGATTCCCAACCATCACCGCCGTCATCACCGAAACGCATAGGAGTGGAAAATATTGGTGATGCTCCTCGGCGGTCACCTTCGCGCCCTTTGATTAATTCTCCTACACGACAGTGTCTTCAGTCTTCGCCTCCTTGCTCGCGACCACAATCAAGACATTCGAACTGTAATAGCCAGAGACGTGTCTCTTTATCGAATGACCGTGCCGCGGAGCCTGTCAAGAATGTATTCAATGGACAAATACAATCCAGCAACCCTTCAGAGCAACAAAATGTAAGCTCATCGCATTCTAGAGTGGACCAGGGTGCTGGGGGCAACTCATCATCGATGCCATCCCGTGTGACCGAGACACCTGTTCACCAACGCCTCAAGCACGTCGGCGATACGGCTCGATTGATGAGTATCCCAGAAACAAGTCCCAGTCGCTCTCAATGCAATTCCGAGGCTGGCTCGAATGGGAACGGACTCAACAACGAAGATGACGATCTTCCTCCAATGTTCGATGGGATTCCTAGCATTCGAACCAACCACACCCGTCCCGCTGGCGCAAAGGCACTCTCTTCGCCTCTCAAAAAATTGTTGTCCAGCCCAGGTGGAGGGCAACGCAGGGCTTTAACTGAAATTGCAGCTGATCTTTCCCCACATGTTGGAACGGGAGGATTTGATTTGGGGATCGGGATATTTACCACTGAGGATCAAGAGTTCAGAGCCTTGATTGATGGATCGCCGACTCGACCAAAGAAGAAGAGACGTGGCAATGATGGTTCCAGTTACATTGCCTCCGATCCTATCATACCTGTCACCCCTCGTCCCCAGCCCCCGAAGTCTGTCGCACCCATTCGACTCACGCAAAGTCGACCTCCTCCTATTCCCGAGGATCCCGATGATGTCCCTTTGGTGCAAGTCCCCGAAACGGCCGTGAGGAGACAATCAAAGCCTCCACGAAGAGCCCCCGAAAATGTCTGGGAAATCGAAGGATCACCCGAACAGCCCTTCCGTCGGAAATCAAGGATCGGCAAGACGGCTGCTTCGCCGTCGGTGCAAGACAAGCATGTCCCAGAAAAAGGCTCCAGACTTAGCGCGAGACCTGCAACGCCGCCTAGGGCTGTTGTGCAGAATCAACTACCGCCTCCATCCTCAGCACCCACTGAAGTTTCATCAACAATTGCCTCGGACGATATAATTGATTCAGAGGCTTATAGCGTCGATGGTTCCCCAACTACACCTCGACCATCGTACACTCCATCTGAACATGCTGTTGTTGCTCCGAGCCAAGTTATCGCTGTCTGGAGGGGCCAGAAACGGGCGTATTACCCAGCGACATGCTTTGGAACACCATTGGGTGTATCACAGACAAAGTACTCCGTCAAATTTGAGGACAGTCTTGCTGTCGAGGTGCCGAAGGGCGCCGTCAAAAGATTCGAGCTTCGTATCGGAGACTCTGTTAAAGTCGATACGCACAATGTTCCAAAAGTCACTCACGTTGTCCGCGGATTTGATGACAAGCTCACAAAAGAGGAGCTTGTTAAAGCCGCTGATGATGGTCTTTATCCTATAACTGACATATACGGTCACACAACTGTCATCGTCGGTCTCAAGCAGCGCAAAAGCCTCCCGAATGGGGGTCTGGGCAACAGTGAAAATGTGATTAAGGTGCCCATCGCTCGTATCTATCTTGATAGTATCCTATGGAACCAACTCAAAGACCGGGCCTTCACACACCGACCAGCAGCGCCTGTTCAACCAGAGGACATGGTTCAGACCCCATCTGAAAAGTCGTCCGTTCTAGCTTCTCCCAGTGCTCGCTTGTCGCGCAGTATTCACCAAGACAGCGGCATCTTCGCTGGCATGGTCTTTGCAGTCTCTTACAAGGAAGACGAAGCATCTAAGAATCGTGTGACTAGGCTGATCATGGAGAACGGCGGCACTATTTTACATGAAGGATTCACCGAATTATTTGAGGCTTCCTCAATTGTTCCTATTGATACACCCAGCAAAGGTGAAGCCAAGGCTCAAGACGTCAATGGCGGGGGCCTCCGTCTCACATCTCTTGCTGATGACGTTGGCTTTGCCTGTTTGATTGCTGATACCCATTCCCGACGGGAGAAGTACATGCAAGCGCTGGCATTGAACCTCCCATGTTTATCTGGTCGGTGGGTGGAAGACTGTATTGCCCGAGGTACTGTCCTCGACTGGGATGTCTATCTCCTTCCGGCCGGCGACTCAATGTACCTCAATGGAGCAACGAAATCCAGAGTCATGGCACCGAATCCCCCATCCACAGCTCGCCTGGTAGAAACTATCTCAGCACGGAAAAAGCTGCTTGCAGGACAATCAGTGCTTCTTGTTATGGGCCGTGGCAAAGCAGAGGAGAAGAGGAAGGCTTATATTTTCCTTACCTACGCCTTGGGGGCATCCCGAGTTGAGCGTGTTCCCGATCTTGGCACTGCCAGGGCCTTACTAGACTCGCAGTCTGCCGCCGGCGTGCAGGCTAGTTGGGACTGGATCTATGTCGACGATGCAGATCAAGCTGCTGCAAAGTCGATGTTAACGCCAAAACCAAAAACCCAGAGAATTCATTTGTTCCATGGCCAAAAGCGCAAAAGGTCGATTGCACCGTCCACTCCTACGCCCCCCAATGGCCTCAAATGCGCTGCGCGAATTGTGGGCAACGAGTTCGTTTGCCAGAGTCTGATTCTAGGGCGATTGTTTGAGGAGTGATTTCTTATGCTAATTCTTGATACCAATGTCATTTAACATATTCTTTTTTTTCTCTGAACCTATTTAAAAGGCTACCTATTTTCTATCACAAAGTTCCCTATATTATATGAGACACGATACGCCGTGGCGAAGCGTGTGAACATGTTCTCTCTGTCTTAATTTGCATCGTAAATTGTTTCCACTTACATATCGCCTAACTCATCTTGACTTTATGTCAACAGCTTGGATCTGGCTTAGGATACCTGAAGAAACGTGCGTATACAGAGTAGGCCATAGCTATACTAGCAAGGGGAGCCATGGATATAATTACAAATCATTCTTCCTGAGAGCCTCCTAGCTGGCCCTCGGGGACTGTGAAAAATGCTTCGCTCGTGCAGTCAAAGTGCTTTTAATGCCTTTCCTAGGCCTCACTTGACTAGACATGTTTTCTTCTCTGATATGCTCAATTGACAATCAAAGATGAGATGGGGTTGCCTTCTCACTTGTCCGTTTTTATTGATACAATCTTCATGTCTCTATATAACCCCCACGATCACCCTTCCGTCAACTTCTCTTCCTCCAACTTCTCTTCCTCCAACTTCTCTTCTCCCAACTTCTCTATCCAGGCCAGACTCATCTCAGCCCTCACATTCCTTCCTGCCTGCAATCTCTGTCTTCATCTTCAAGCCTGAAAAGGTAACATATTCCCGAATCCCCCGGTCTCCACAGACCTATAAGCCTAACTAATGAGGGCAGCAGATGACTCGCTCGGGAGAGCGATACGCCTTTAACGCTGAGGAGCTCGAGGCCCTCATGGTACTACGTCAGCGAGCCACATCCCGACGTGGAATACGTGAGGGGATCATCCACCAGCTTCTTGATACCGAAGGCGAAATCCAGCGAGTTAGCTGGGCACCCGGACATGAATGGGTCTATGCGATACAGTGTTTAGTGTGGCAGTCACAGTGGCTCGCCCAGTTACTTTCCCGTCTCGATCATGAGGATGAAGAAGACCGTCGGGAATTTATACAGATCTCAGCATCCATGAGGGAATAGTTAAGATAGTTAAGATATTCAGGTAGTTAACTTGAGTGACGCTCGTGCGGAGTTTGGTATCGAGTCTTCAAATCAAACGTTGTTTACAATTCCTCTATCTTTCGCCTATGATCTCCTCGATGTTTACTTTACTGGCTCGTCTTTCTCGCCGTATATGGTGGGCTATATCTTACGCAAGCAATTTTCCTTGCACTCAACGAAGCCGTGGTCGTGCAGGTATCGCTTAGGTAGCCGAAATGCTTTTGTTGATTCTCGTAAGCCTCACTTGACTAGACGTGTTTCGTTTTCTGATACATTCAGTTGGAAATCAAAGATGACATGGCTTTACCTTCTCCCAACTTCTCTTCTCCTAACTTCTCTCATCAACCAAGACCGAATCTTCCCTCTCCCCCTCTCTTGCTAATAGCAAGTCCTATCTCTATCTTCGTGGCCTGAAAAGGTGATGTCCTAAAGAGCCCTAGCCTCCACGAGCCTATGAGCCCAGCTAACAAGGGAAACAGATGGCTACCTCGGGAGAGCGACACTGTTTCGACGACGAGGAGCCTGAGATGCTCACCGTACATCGTGAACGTGCGAAATTCCGCGGTAGAACGCGCGACATGATCCCTCCAACAGATCGCTGGAATCGAAAGCGAGATCAAACACCTTACTACAAGATGAGGGCATGAATGAACCTTTGAGATACAATATTTGGAGAGGCGATTGGATGGCTGCAAGACTTTCCAGTCTTTATTGTGGCGATGAAGGAGACGCTCGAGAGTTCAGCCAGACTTTGGCTTCGATGAGGGGTTAGTTGAAGCCTAGTTAGGGCATTTTTGGTTAGAGCATTCATTACCTCTGAGGTTGCTTATAGATTGTCGGACCAGCAGATCGCTGTCAAATTTCCGTACGCTCGTCATACCTGTGTTTGCGGTAGTTACAAGGTAACTAAGACGTCATATAATATACAAATACATAAATAAAACACACGTAGATTGCATTACTTTCGACTTTCTTTGTCAGATCCCACTCATCTTTCCCTGAAATTCGAAATCTCCGATTCAATGGCCACTCCTTCCTCGGGCAGCAACGCCCAGGGACGGGCCATATCCAACCCATACCCGCCCACAACCCTTGAATATCAATACCAAAACTTCGAGCAGTGTGTTCATGACATTGAATCAGCGGCAACCACTTTTACAGATGGTTCGCGAGCTGATGGGCCGTGGATTGCTTTTTACGGTGTTGATGAACATGCATTTGACGAGATCCGCAACTCTAACCATGAGCTGCTGACCATATGTACAAAACTCTTCGACCCGAATACAGAGGTCCTCGTTCTGAAAATGGAATCCCTTTGGCACAGTTCAACCGCGATGGCGGTTACAAGATGGATAGACCAAAAGTCATACTCCATGAAAGTCGATTCCGAGCTACTCTTTACAGGAACTGCCAACTATAAACTTATCCAGTTTGATGACAACGGGCTCCCTGTGATGTCTGAGGGAATTTTGCAAATGATCCAAAAAAGAGCAGATCAAATGATCCACCCATTCACCGTTGCTCCCTCTCGGACAATGAAATGGCCCACATTGGTCCTCGAAGTGGCCTACTCCGAAGCCAGAGTCAAGGTCGAACAGGATATGAGGCTATGGCTTCAAGCTACGCAAGGGCAGGTCAAGTTTGCAATGACTGCTTCGATACAGCCGCGGAGCAAGCGAATCACACTCGAGCAGTGGGAGCTGCAGCATAAGCCCACTGAAGAGCACCCGGACCGAGTTATCGCAGGCCCAGTTCAAAAAATGTGGATTGAAAAACCAAGATCGTCCGGTCAGGATCCTACCATCGGTGGGAGGTTTGAAATACCATTCAGAAGTCTTTTCCTCCGAGATTGCCAAGGTAACGAGCATGATTTCCTCATGACTCATGATGATATTACAAGGCTTGCTAGAGATGTCTGGAGGATCGAAACAATTCTCACAGCTGAAAACCAGTAGGATTTCTCCAGCGTGCACTGCTACCCTTTCCCCTTATTCTTCTGACTCCATCTATCCTCTGCTCTAATTTTCCCCTTATATCACTAAAGGTTTTATATAGGCAATGGACTGAATAGCGTACGTTCCTCAAGGGCGAAAAGCAATATTGTTCTATGTTTAGGCGGACCAGAGATATCTCTTGCGCAGGTAAAGAATAGTCAGGAATGAATGTAATATCTTAATGCGATATTTTATTCCTTAAATTTCCCTATATCAAGTGTATTAGTATAGGATGATGAGTGTATCGTCGCCGCTATGGTATAGAGGGCAGTCTATCCCTCATAGGAACATGTATGTAAAGCGAGGGATTCATCATCTGTGTAAAGCATCGTCTGGTTCTATTTCTGCCCTTTCCCCCTCCTTCTATACAATTGAAGGTCAATTCGGACGTTTATTGCAAGAAACAAGATGTTCAGTCATGTACTAGAATGTTTTTCTTTGATCATGTTCCTTGTTTCATCTTCTTTCCCAATGCCTGATTCAGCTAAGAACACACATAACAATGACTGGTATGCATATCCTGAGATTTAGTGAACTAAGGAGTCCTTTCTTACTATTTATAGAAGTTAGTTTCATGCGTACTGGTGGATATATGTAGTCTTGCGAGTGATTTCCCGGTTTGGTTGTACTTGGACTTCTTTCCCAAACAGATAACGGCCGTGCAAAAGCCAACCCCTCAAGTTCTCTTCCATCTTTTGTTTTTATTTTTCTATCTTCTCAACATTTCTTTTCATCTTCCCATCTCTTTCATCTGGTTGCCAGCACATCGCTCCTTGACCATCTGTATCAACCATGGATCAAGATCTATCTTCCACTTCGCAGGTCACTATTGACACCCGCCGTTCTAAAAGACCAGGCCCAATCCGCTTTTCCGAAGTCCTTCAGTTGATTCCTGTCCTCAGCAGCAAGGGTAACTTCCGCCTGTGGTCCCGATCCCTCAGGCGCGCTCTTGACTCACAGAACACGGAATACTGGTACATTCTCAACGAGGGACCCGAGCACACATGTCAGTGGGAAGAGAGAACCCGGGTGAGCTGCACCCTTCTCGCTCTTGTTGGTGCCAGAGTCGACGAAGAGCTGCAGTCAGTCATCGCCACTGCTCACACCCCTCGTGCTGCCTGGGAACTCCTCAAGGATCATTTCACCGAGACAGATTCCCACAAAGCCCATCCTAAGTACGTCCAATGGATCAAATGTACTTACGACATTTCAATGAGTACCCAGGAGTTCGTCGACAAGTGGCGTCTCGCCTTGAAAGAGGTGGTCGAAGTGTCTGGAACCGGCTATCTCCCGTACCATATCCGAATCCATCAGTTTTTCGCTGCTGTTGACATCAATCCAGCTGTCGCTAAGTGGAACGCGTCTTTCAAGATTGATCCAACTTGGTCCGGCTCTCAGGCTCTTGACAACGCTTTCGTTCATTTTATCGGTTTTGAGAAACTTCGCCTTCCCAATGGCAACAAAGCTACTCGCAGAGATCCCCACTTTGATATCGTGATCAAGAAGAAGACCACTCTCTCGACTGCGAAAAAGACGGGTGCAAAGAGTCTGAAGAGAAAGGCAAGCCACATTATCTTTGACTAGATGTTCGGCCTCAAGAGGTGATATCTTTTCTTTCAGCATGACGGTTCAACAACTCAGACAAAGGATGTATCGATCAACCAATCAAGGAGGACAAAGGACAAAGGAAAGTCAAGGGTGAATGAGGAAATTACTTTGATTGCTTGGGTCAAGTTACTGGAGTCCGACGATGCAATAGTCAGGTATCTCAAGGTTGTTACATGTGTCTATCTCCAACAATAGCCAATACGTTCTCATTCCAATGGTTTTTCGAGCCAGTAGCGAGTCACAAGAATAGATGCGCCTAGATCATTAAGTAGCTCTTGAGTAACGGCTATGGACCTCTAGGTCTGAACCCCACGAATTGTCTTGTCAGTTTCTCCAGCCACCGGCTCGATAGCTTCGTGTGCTGGTTGTGTACTCGATCCTGCGGCCAAATCATCCTCAGTAGTAGAAATAGCATGTGGGACGTCTGCGATCTGTGCATCTTGGGTGTCACTGTTGGGCAATTCAACATGTCCGCGTGCCCCGTGCTGGGTAGGTGATCTATGTTCAACAACCGGCTCAGTCTCTCGAGCTTGTGGCTCATGAGATAAACCATGGGAGTCTCCAGTGAGCAGCTCTGTTGTTCCATGTACCTTCCCGACACCTGGCTCAGCGGCTACCACCTGAGCAGCAACAGGCACTGAAACCCCCTGCGGTTGCTCGCTCGCTGGTTGCACAGCAGCCTCGGGTACTTGTCCCTGCGACTCATCGGGACTCTCTGATGTAGGTTCGGCAGACGATTCAGCGCGGAAGCACTCCCCATTCAAGACATCAATGAGGACCTGGGCTTCAGGCGGGGATGGAACCTGCCCGCTCAATAGTTCCTTCGCTGGAACCTTTCGCCCATACATCTTTTTGTTCGCGTACGGACGCTCGGCAAGCACACCACCTTCAACCGTGAGCCCGCCGTATAACCCACGAGTCTTGCTGTAGGCGAATACACCCGTTGCATTCTTTGCTCCCACCACACCCCCTGCCTCGGCACTGCGGCCAATGGGGCCGACAGCCATAGAGATGTTTCCACCAATGGTCAAGTTTCCCGACTGCATGAATGTCTTCACTGCTGCATCAGTCGTCAGGACGAATACGAAGTCGGTCAGTTCAGCGCCAAATTGTCCACCGGCGCCTAGGCCGCCCATTGCCATAGCTGATGGCGCTGACCAGCTGCCATCTGGGAGGCGGGCGACGATTAGTCCCGAGCCGAAGCGGACTGAGCCTAGGAATCCAAGTCTGAGTGCTGTGAACACAGCGATACCCTAGTCCAAAGTGAGCTATGATATCTCAGAATATCGTTTTTTATTTTCGGTAGAATGCTTCTTACCTTGGCACCCAAGAATATTTTCCGTGGGATTTTGCCATCGATCTTCAATTTGGGGTTGATAAACGATTCAAGGATTGCCGCGGCCTTTTCGCACTCGCCTGGTGGACATGGTCAGTCTTGGGCTAGCTATCTGGAGTGGCACGAGGGAAATTACTCGATAGCGAGGCGGGCAAGGGGTTGTGTAGGGGGTTCTTCATTGAAGATGTAGTGCCCCCGCTTTGTGATGCTGAATGTGATAACGATCGCCGGTGTCTGTGCACCCAAACAAATTAAGCTGTACCGAGTATACTTGACAGGCGTGAGCACGATATAACCAGAATTCTCAATCGTTCTTTTCTATATGAAGATCAGAGCCTCGTCAGGGGCTCTATGGGTTGAAGTGGAAATGCGCACGGACGTTGTGTGCTTATCTTACGGCGCGAATTGGAATACGAGGGCAGGGACTTGTTGCTTTCGAATTCAGAGCTTGAAAACACTCAAAATGACACCGCTACATGTAACATCTAGAGCTAAATTTGACTTGAATAAGGTTAGACGCGAATATCTGAACGCTGGGTTGCGGGCCGTGATTATGCTTATTTTGGAGCCACCCAGGTGCATTAGATCCATTTATCACCTATGTATATAAACTACATGTACCTGCATGCAGGGGGGTATAGTACATTCTAATGCAGACGATACATTGTACAACATAGAGTTGGAACTTTTCTAGAGATGAGAGTGTATTGGGCCGAGTATTTAGAGCTGTTCAAACCTAAGATTGATTGGAGTGTGCTCGAATCAAGATAGCTCTCGTATGCTCAGGTTGCTACTACTGCCTTTGATCCATCATAATGCCATAGTTCATGGTATTGTCCCAGTAGAGTCGCACAGAAACGAGCGTATATTTCCCGAGGAACCGTAAAATTAGGTCTATGGAAGCTTAGACAATATACATATCAGCTCTGTGTCGCTGTAATATCTCTGAGGTTGCACAATTTTACCCAATGCTGTTGCAAGTTATCTTCATATTCCTCGCGCTTCAGGTGAACAGCGTGACTCTTAAACCCTATGAACGACATGAGGCTCCCGTCGCCGACCAGACGTTCGATTATGTGGTTGTTGGTGGCGGTACCGCTGGAAGCACCATTGCGACACGACTAGCACAGAACGACTTCAAAGTCGCCTTAATTGAAGCTGGCGGATATTATGAGCTCCAGTCTGTGGCGGAGATTCCCGCTGCTGATGCACTGCCTGTGGGATCAGATCCAGCTACCAGCGCACTCGAGGATTGGGGGTTTGTCGCCAGAGGTCAACCAGGTGCTAATGGTCGAGCGATTCATTATGCACGTGGAAAATGTCTCGGAGGATCGTGGGTATTTCTTTTCAGATTTGGTAAAACCAGTCTAACCTTGATAATTCCTCAGATCAGCCTTGAACTATATGATCTATCAGCGGTATGTTTCTGTGGAAACTAAGTACTCGACGCCTACCTGACTAGACTTACGCAGTCCGACGCGCGAGTCCATGACGCAATGGGCTATCGTAGTTAATGACAGCAGTTATACATTCGACAAAGTTCTCCCATTATACAAAAAGAGCGTCAATTTCACGCCGCCAAACACCAATTATAGGGCTGAGAATGCCTCGGCGGCCTACGATGCCGATGCGTATGACCCAAATGGCGGGCCATTACAAGTGTCGTATTCAAACTTTGCCATGCCTTTCTCGTCCTGGATGAGCCTTGGTATGGATGCCATCGGCATCAAGAAAACGAAAGACTTCAACCTGGGAACTATAATGGGCGCCCAGTATTGTTCATTGACTATTGACCCGTCATATGAGATTCGCAGCAGCTCGGAGGAATCTTTCCTCTCCAAGATAACTCCCAGCTCAAGGACAATATACATAAATACTCTCGCCAAGAAAATAGTCTTCGATGGGAATAAAAGAGCAACGGGAGTGCAAGTGAAAGGCCAACTTGATAGTACCATTACCATTTCAGCATCGAGGGAAGTTATCATCTCCGCCGGTGCTTTCCAATCTCCCCAGCTTCTCATGGTATCCGGCATTGGCCCAGCTGATCAATTGAAGGAGCACGGAATTGACATTGTGGCTAATCGACCGGGGGTCGGCCAGAACTTGTGGGATCACCCCTTCTTTGCGCCTACGTACCGAGTGCGCGTAACAACATTGACTGGGCTTGTCACAAACCTCATCTACGCAGCTGGTGAAATTATCGGTGGGCTGATTGCTAAAAGAGGAATCTTGACAAACCCAGGGTCGGATTTCCTGGCCTGGGAGAAGATACCGCAATTTCTGCGCTCGGCCTTCTCTCAACAAACGCTCAATAAATTAACCCAGTTCCCTCCTGACTGGCCTGAAGCAGAGGTAAAAAGCATCATTCACCCTTGAAGCAGTCCAGCTGCTGATTTCCCGTTTTGTAGTATATGTCTGCTCCAGCATATATCGGCAACGTCTCCAACCTCTTAGCAACCCAGCCAAGAGATGGATACCAGTATGCCTCGATGCTTGGTGTATTGGTAGCACCTCTATCCCGAGGCAATATCACGTTGGCATCAGCAGATACTTCAGATCTACCTGTGATCAAACCCAACTGGCTCGATGACCCAGCGGATCAAGAAGTTGCCATTGCCATGTTCAAGCGGATGCGCCAGGCTTTCCAAAGTAAAGCCATGGAGCCGGTAATTATTGGCGATGAGTATTACCCTGGATTGCAGGTTCAGTCTGATGCACAGATCCTCGAGTTCATTAAGAATAATGTCATGACTCTGTGGCATGCTGGTTGTACTTGCAAAATGGGCACTCCGGATGACTATATGGCCGTGGTTGACTCGCAGGCGCGCGTTTATGGTGTGCAGGGACTACGTGTGGTCGATATTAGCGCGTTTCCTTTCCTGCCACCTGGTCATCCTCAGTCGACAGTTTGTGGGTTGCTTTTGTTTATTGTTCTGCTTTAGCATGTTGCTAACTGCGCTATAGATATGCTTGCCGAGAAGATTTCCGCGGATATTATTCAAGGTTCCTAAGTATCTTGATTCTGAATATCGCGGTAAATTTCGGATCAAATCCTTCTATTGCATCTGATTTTTATATAATAAATACAAGTTTGCCGTTTCTGGCTGTGGCGTATTTTACTCCAATCTAATAACATCGAGGGCCCACCCCATCTCTCGAAAGTGCCATCCATGAATTGAACATAAATATTGTTGGCAATTACCTCCCTTCTCAATTCCTCTTAAACGATGAAGACATACTAGGAAAAATTGATGGGTAAATGCTCTTTCTATAATACAGTGAACACCAGATACAAATCCTCATATCGCTACAGAAACCCAGAAGTTATTGGAACAAGACATCATGCACGTTGCAAATGCCCTCATTTCTTGGCAGTCTTCTTCTTGCCCTTCAAACTCTTCATCTGAGCAGCGCGCTCAGCTCTCTCCTCACGCTTCCTCCACGCCAACCAACGGTTGCGACGATCATAAGGCATAGCAGTGATACCGGCCTTCTCAGCAGCACGACCAATCACCCAGTTAGCCTCACGGTACATGTAACCGGGGCGCAGCTGGGGACCGGATGCGGCATCGACAGCTGCAACATCGTTGACACTGACACCGTTCTCATCAACCGAGGCAATGAGATCAGACTGAGCCTGAACCTGCTCGGCCATCGGCACATTAACCATGTTCAGCTTACGCCGGCTGGGCGCATTGCGAGGGTACGGGAGCTGCTCATCCTTGTCGAAAACAACTCCGATATACCGGCGCTCGGAGTGCTTCAGCGGGTCGAGGTAGTAGCGGACGTATCCGGCCTGTGTTGCGTAGATTGTGTGGTCACGGCCCATGGCGCAGTTTTCACCGGGGAACCAGAGCGAGCCGCGCTGCCGGAAGATGATGCATCCCGGTACAACGTACTCGCCGCCCGAGCGCTTCGCTCCGAGACGCTTACCGGCGGGATCACGGGAGTGTCGATTGGCCGTTCCTTGCGAGGCGTGTGAGGCGTAACGCACTTGTGAGAATGGGAGGAGTGCGGAGAGAGAGGGTGTTGGGGTGATTTTCGGGAATGTGGATGTTGCGGAGAGGGTTCGCAGGAGGGATTGCGGTTGCGAGAGGGCGGGTGTCGACCGGATTGCCGGGGTGAAGGCTCGCTCCAGCGCCCGGAGGGGCGTTAGCACGCGCGGCTTGAACATGGTGGTTTGTAATGGGGTTGTTTGGAGGTGTAGATCGTGAAGCTCCAAAGGGGAAGTTTTTCGTTCGGAGATGGGGCTTGGCGTCACGTGTGGACCCGTAAACTGGCTTCATCTATAACCACTCGGGCTCGGTCTGCTATCTATACAACTCGATCACTCTATAATTGTCCTCGGTGTGGTTATTCTCATTATGTTCCAAAGTTGGCGCCAAGTCCTCTGGAGTTTCCTCCTTCTCGTGTCCGTTGTCCAGGCCCAATTCAACTTCTTTGAACAGATGTTTGGAGGCGGCGAGCAGCAACAGCGCCAACAACAGCGATCGCAGAATGCTCCCAGTGACAGCGATCGGTACCAGCAAATGTGGAGTGGGAGTAAGTCGCGCTATCACCTGACTCTCGCGCAAAGTTCTATCACTATCGGAACAATATAACTGACCAAAGGATTCTCTCTACAGCACAATGCGATCACTACATTTGCCCCGGAACTCTTGCTTGTGTCCATTTCCCACATCACTGCCCGTGCCCTCACCCAGATGTTGAGGAAAAGGTCGAATTCGGAGAAGGAAGCTCTGTTTGTGTGTCAAAAGGAGGATTCAAGGAAGGCGAAGCCGCGCGGAAAATCGAATTGGCCCGCAAGGGTCTTCTATAAGAACTTTCTGCATTCATGATGCTTCTTGTGGTGTGCGCCCACTGCATGCAGCTGCTGGTGGGCAATGAGATCGAGTCACGGAGCTTGGTGCCGCTGGTCGGATAATTGCGATTGGTTTATTATGAACTTGTATCTTGAGATGTGCCCAGATGTTCTATTCAACAACAAAGACCTCTCACATAGAGATGACTTTGGAAACAACTTGCTTATCTATGTTATGCCTACATGTAGATATGCTCTACCTTTGAGGACTCTTGTTGATATAGTCCACATAGGAATTGGTGGTCTGTCATATTTGGAGAAGAATTTGTATGTAATATTAGACTAACTAATAAGCCGATTGAAACAAATTGTAGAAACCTCTAGATATTAAACCAAAATATCATGGATCGAGATGTTGAGAAAAGTCTAGTAGAGCGCTTCAACTGATAGTGTGTTATCTCCGGTTAACCCCGCGGTAGCCGTCATCAGTCTAACTCCCGATGTCGAAATCGGCTCATCTCAACATTAACATCTCATTTCCACCCTGTCACATACCCCGAACTCTACTTTCTTCTTTATTATATCTTCGTATACCTCCTTCTATCTGGTGTCAAACAATATGTGGGCTTTGAGGCTCCGGTGCCTGCGAACGCAATGCGCACCAGCTCAGACCCGAGCTCTTTCGAGCTTCAGAACTCATGGGTCCCAGCGTGGTCCTCGCAATAGTATACAAAGACCTGAATTGATTCGATCTTCGAAAAAATCCGAGACACTGAAGCAGCCCCAGCCTGCTACTCATCAACTCGAACATACCACTCATCCTGATTATGATCCTTCGCAAAATACCCTACTTTCCCCCGTTCATTTACCCGAGGATCCAAAGAGTGTGCTTAAAGGAAACCACCCGGCGGTTTCTATACTAGCGAACTCGGGAATAGTAATACAGCGACAAATAGAGATGATGAATATTATGATGTGAGTGCCACACAAGCGGAGTTCCGTTACCATTCAATGATAAGGTGGTCCTGACAGTTCTCTCTTCCAGTGGCTTTGAACAAGCAAACAAGTATGTAATCATGGATGCACAGGGAAATCAGATCGGATGGATGGCAGAACAGGAGAAAGGATTGGCAAATACAATGTCACGACAATGGTTCAACACTCATCGAAGTTTTGTAACACATGTGTTTGACCGACAAGAAAATGAAGTGTTGAGAGTAAGCTGATCCAGTCGCTACCTTTGAATAGTTTGTGGCTAACCATGGCAGTTCCATCGCCCATTCTCTTGGATCAACTCGAAAATCCATGTCTACGATCCTCTCAATCAAACAACAAACACTGACTCGCGATCCACTTCTCTTCAAGACATGACATCTGTATCACTGGTCGCAGCTGGTGATGGATCAAATACACGGATATCGCCGCTTGGGACCGATCAAATGCGCGTTATCGGCGAAGCCCAGCAACAGTGGGCACCTTTACGGCGAAAGTACAACCTTTTCACCCATCACCAGTCTCCGAATCCTGCAACAGATATGGGAGCCCAAAATTTCTCATTATCAAAGTCCGGTTTATCACAAGCGCAGCAGATGCAGCTGGTACAGTCCAACCAAGGGGAGGGCCAATACAACCAATTTGCTTATGTTGATGAGCCTTTTCTATCATGGGATTTCTCTCTCAAATCAGCAGAGGACCAGCTGATTGGATCTGTCAATCGCAACTTCTCCGGGTTTGCTCGCGAAATCTTTACAGACACTGGTGTATACGCAATGCGAATGGATTCCGCAGGTCAAGGTACCGAGGCGTCACGCGGCAGCGAAGTTCCAGGCTTGACCCTCGACCAACGCGCTGTTATGTTGGCTACGGCTGTAAGTATTGATTTCGATTATTTCAGTCGCCACAGCGGCAGCAGCGGTGCATTTGGCTACATGCCGTTCTGGTTTCCCGGAGGTGGCGGCTCTACTACCACTGGTGGTGCAGCTGCAGAAGGTGCAGCTGCTGGTGAAGCTGGGGCAGTTGGAGGAGCTGCTACGGGGGTTCTTGGGCAAGCTGGAGCCCCCGGTGGTATAGCAAGTGGCATGGGCGCTGGCATGGCTGGCGCTGGTACAATGGCTGGGTATGAGGCAATGCAGAGGGGTAACTCAACTGATCCAAATGCTCCGACGTCATATGACCAATCACCATCACCTGATCAACCAGGCTCACAGCCCCCAGCTGACTCTGACTCATGGGGCGTCTATGGCGAGTCTCACGATTCTGGGGAAGATGATTCTTGGGGCGGTGACTTTTGGGGCGATGGAGACGGGGGAGAAGGAGGGGACGGTGACTTTTTCTAATAGTCTGTGAAGATCTCTCTCTTTGTATCATTACTCTCAGCAGTATACAAATTAGCTGTAAGATTAGCTCCAAGCAATGCTGCAAGTGTCACCTCTTGCTAGTACATTACTGCCTTTCTCTCCGTCTTCTTGATTCATGTGTGCTCATACCTGAACCACCACTTCTCTTTCCTATATTGGCATTGGAGAGAAGATAGAGTTGACCTCATACACTTCGCGTAGCAAGTCGAAAATACTAACTATCAGCAAAGAACCCTGTTGTGCATTCACCCGCCTGCATGGCAGAGTGGGGTATATATGACATTCTGCCAAACAAAACTAACCCAAAGGGATCAACCTCAACCTGACCAACTACGGGTTCTGCACACCGCCCAACACACCGCCCCGGAATTATTCCATCCCCGCCAAGTCCCACCAAAGCCCCGGATTCCTTGCCACCTAAGAGTATCTTGAAGCACATCTCCATTTGAATCAATTCAACCAGAATGGCGTCCTCGGTTGCCCAGAAACGACTCTTCCATGAGTACAAGAACCTTTCCACAAACCCACCCGAGGGAATCACTGCAGGCCCTGTCACCGAAGATGACATGTTCCACTGGGAAGCCTTGATCCAGGGCCCCGAGGGCACCCCGTTCGAGGGCGGCGTTTTCGCAGCCGAGCTGAAGTTCCCCAGGGACTACCCTCTCAGCCCACCAACTATGAAGTTTATCGGTGGTGGCGTTTGGCACCCGAATGGTATGTGTCGATAACAATCAAATCACTTGGGCTTCACTACTTGCCCTGGTTATAAAACACAATACTCAATGGCAAATATCTGACTGATTTTAAATACAGTTTACCCTAATGGAACCGTCTGCATCTCTATCCTTCATCCTCCCGGCGACGACCCCAACCACTATGAACATGCCTCCGAGCGCTGGTCGCCCATCCAGAGCGTGGAGAAGATCCTCTTGTCTGTGATGAGCATGCTCGCTGAGCCGAATGATGAGAGCCCTGCCAACGTCGAGGCTGCCAAGATGTGGCGTGAGCGTCGACCTCAGTACGAGCAGAAGGTCCGGGATGAGGTGAAGCGGGGTCTCGGCCTGTGAGCTCACTCGGATTTTTGAATGAATGCCTTGTTTCTCTTGCTTGCACGCGGGCGGACATCTGTTGATATGGTCTGCCTAAGCTGCTGCGAAATTCAAGGTTTGATGACTGGCGTCAAGGGTTTTCTTTTTTGCATAGTTCGGATGTGCGATGGCTTCTTCGTTTGTACAGCGCATTCCTCTCCTTCGCATTATTATGATAGCGGATAAAATAAATGCATCTCTTTCGGACGATTTTCTGTTCTATTTGCATTCTTGTGACCTGCTGAATTCAAATTTGCTCTAGGTAATATCATATCTTATCCTTCTACTAATCCACTGGAGACTGTTGGCAAGTTTTATAGTATGCCATTACTGCCAATTATCTCATGTGATCTATATATCTTTGCGCTTTTAGGTATGCGGCCACGGCAATTTACTCCTGTCGGAACATCCTCCGATCAATCCATCCCTCCAAGCCCCCATGGCACTCATACAATATTTCAATCTCGGCCTTGAGATTCAAAAGCAGCATCCGCTGCAACTCAGCACGCCATTCTGGCTCCGGTCCGTCAATCGCCCACACAGGACTGTTCCGAAGCATGGCGATGATCTTCTTGCGGTCTCGTATCGTCAACGACAGAAGAGCCTTGTCGCCAAGTACCTCTGGAACTGCAATGATATCTGTCACTCGAAGACCCAGCCATTGCAATCTGGGTATACTGAGCCGAGCATTCTGATCTAAATGCGCCGTCGAGCCATACTTGTATGTTGACATGATGGCCATACCATGCGGGTCACCGTCCGTAAGGGCATAGAAACGCGTCAGCTGTCGGGTCTGGTTAGACACGGAGTCGGACATTGCGCGTAAGAATCTTCGCGTCAGAAAATCGGGGTATCCTTTGCCCTATCGACGTGGAGTTGGGGATCAGCTGCCTGTTTCATTGAACAGGGTAGTTCGAAGCAAGATGCAACGCACCGTAACCATGATCCCTTGTCCGGCTAGTGCTCTTGTGTGGTAGCTGATTCTCGCGAGCCGATGGAACACTGCCTACGATCAAGCGGCTAGGACCCCTGGTGTTGTATCTGCTATTCAAAACTTCTTACCTCTTTCTCGATTACCAGCACCCATCGAACCCGCGAGACATCGATCTCATCTCCGTCCTTGATGCGTGGAATCAAGGTGTCTTCGGTATCCGATTGCGCATCGATCAAAACATGTGGGCCGCGAATCAGACGAACGTTCCCCGTTACGAGCCCTTTTGCTGCCGCTTCCTAGAAGACAGTGCATGGTATTAGCAGTTTGATTCCGCACGGCTATGACCTTTGGAATATCTTGGCATCACCAACCACATTCAACGCAGTTCTGTTCACCCCGATTGTGTATGCCAGGTCATCGACAATGCCGTCTACTATATATTGCGCACGGAAGAATTGCGGATCGATATAGTATATGTCCCTGATGATTGTTCGGGTGCGGTCAGTATACCCTCCAGACCAATCCCTGGACATTACCAGCTCACCTCTTGGAGATCAACTGTCCTGTTTGGATGGCCTGGTCCAAGATCGCCAGGATCTGGAGTATCACGGCTGCAATCACCCTCAGATGTTTAGTATTCTATCCAGGATGATGTCTAAGCTGTGATGAAAGCAAAGGCCCTACTGAATTTCCAGGCCTCATGTGCCGTCTTGCCTGGCCAAAAGTATGTCCGGTGCGTCTCAATTCTCGGATTCGCTTCCAGTGCCCCGCTGATCGGATTGATGATAGCATCTGTCCGGCGGGCTCTGCACTTGAGGGTGATGGATAATGCCTCTGGTGGGGAGGCAGATAGTCCGTGAAGGAGGGCTTCGAGAGTATTGTCGATGTATTCTCGCACCAAGGGATCCCGGCCGTCATCTATGTCCAAAGTGTAGATGGTTGATTGATCAGCCATTGCTAGGATGATGCACTTGGGAGCAAAATAGTGATGGGGGCGGAGGACTGCTACCGGCTGGTAGATGCGCCACATCTGCACCACAATGCGTTTTGGGGACAATAAGACAACATCTGATGGTGTTCTGCGCTACTCGACTCTACTCCGTAATCTACTCTCTCTGCGTACACAACTACTCCAGATGGGCACAAATGAAACCTGGACGAGTCCCTAGAAAATTAGAAGCCTGTGACTTCCTATGTGATCTATGAGATCTATGAAGGAACTGAATTGATTGGTATGAATCGTTCACTGCTCTCATTTTTCCATACTTGCGCCCACTATGTAGAACCTCCCCCTGTGATCATCTGGAGCCCATACACCGTCCACACACCGTACGGAGTAATCTGTACTGGAAGTGGCTATCTGATTGAATTGGGGTCTGGGGCGAAACGGGAAATAGGACACCCTACCACCCACACCCACCACATCCACCACACCCCTTGCTCGCAATCAGAACATCATCACACACTCCCGTCGTTCTCCTTCCTCTTGAGGCCTCCAATTGCCAACTTCCTCGTCGCATCACATGTTTTAGCCTGCAACATTCTTCATTCTACACTGCAGTCGTGAGACCGATGACTAAGCTTCCCCGGTTTTGAGCGGAGTTCCAGGCTGTTTATCTTCCTTTTCTAGACCCAACTGGCGTACGAACAAGACCCAATTGCTCTAGCCATGTCTTCTAATCCTCAAATCGGGTCATGGAGAACCCCAGCCGAGGGCCATCTCACCCCCGATGCCAACGGAGATCTTCAAACTGACTATTCGCGCTGGCGATTGGTCGATGAGGAAGGCCGTCAAACATGGCGGTACCTCGAATCCGATGTGGAAAACCAAGAATGGCCGCAATCAGTAGCTGATAAATATCATCTGGGAATGCCAACGGTATCTAGATCCCACCTAATTGACAGTCAATTCCGGTTTGTTGTGCAATTCTAACTCGCGCATTACAGGGTCTTCCAGATCTGCCAGAGGCCAAAACCCCATTGGCAGCTGCAGAGAATGGGCTTTCTTTCTTTTCGCATCTGCAGCTAGAGCCAGGAAACTGGGCTTGTGAATATGGTGGGCCCATGTTCTTGCTGCCGGGTATTCTGATCACTTACTATGTGACCCATACCCCTATTCCCCCTGAGTATGCCACGGAGATCAAACGCTATCTGTTTGCCCGTCAAAACCCTGAGGATGGTGGATGGGGTCTGCACATTGAAGCCCACAGTTCTGTCTTCGGTACTTCTATGAATTATGTAGCTCTGCGCTTGATTGGTGTCAGTGAGGAGGACCCTCGCATGATCAAAGCCCGAGGACTTCTGCATAAATTTGGAGGTGCTATCTACGGACCTCATTGGGCAAAATTCTGGCTCAGCATTCTGGGTGTGATGGAATGGGAGGGTGTTAACCCAGTTCCCCCCGAGATTTGGTTCGTTCACGCATATTTTCAAGTACAAAACTGTGCTCTTGTTGACTGACTTTTTAGGCTTCTGCCTGATTGGGTCCCCTTTGCTCCGTGGCGTTGGTGGATTCATATGCGTCAGGTCTTCCTGCCAATGTCTTATCTGTGGTCCAAACAGTGGTCTCACCCTCTAGACGATTTGACAAAACAGCTGCGCGAAGAGCTATACACCCAACCGTACAGCTCTGTTGATTTCGCTGCTCATCGCAATTCTATTCATGAGGCAGATAACTATTACCCCAAAACCTGGGTGCTAAATGCAGCCAATGAACTACTGGTGCGGGTCTGGAACCCGTACCTTCGCCTCCCCAGTATTGTCAAGCGAGCTGAGGATTGGACCTGGGAATTGATTCGCATGGAAGATGAAAACACCAAATACGCGGGGCTGGGACCCGTCAACAATCCGATGAACATGGTGGCTTGCTTTATCCATGATGGCCCTGACAGTTACTCTGTCCGTCAACACAGAGAGCGATTGAATGACTACATGTGGGTGAAGGGCGAGGGCATGCTCGCAAACGGCACAAACGGCGTGCAGGTCTGGGATACGGCATTCATCACTCAGGCGATTGTCGTTGCTGGCTTCGCTGACGAGCCCAAATGGCGTCCGATGTTAACAAAGGCTCTCGAATTCCTCGATGACCATCAGCTTCGAGAGAACGTACCAGACCAAGAGAAATGCTACCGTCAGCATCGCAAAGGTGCTTGGCCATTCAGCACCAAGGACCAAGGCTACACAGTCAGCGACTGCACCGCCGAGGGGCTCCGGTCAACACTCCAGCTCCAAGAGATGCACAATTTCCCCAAGCTGGTTTCTGAACAACGATTGAAGGATGCAGTTGACTGCCTTCTGCTTATGCAAAACCCAAGCGGTGGCTTCTCCGAGTACGAAGTTACCCGCGCCTCCCCAAAGGTCGAGTGGCTGAATGCCGCGGAGGTCTTTGGCGGTATCATGATCAGTTACGACCACCCCGAATGCACAACAGCATCCGTCACAGCGCTGTCACTCTTCAGCAAATTCTACCCTGAATATCGCGCCGACGAAATCCGTGCTGCGAAACAGAAGGCAGTCGCCCATATCAAGCATGTCCAGCGCGCCGATGGTAGCTGGTATGGTTCTTGGGGCATCTGCTTCACTTACGCCGCTCTATTCGCACTTGAAAGTCTGGCCAGCATTGGCGAGAAATATGAAACGAGTGCTGACTCTCGCCGAGGCTGTGATTTCCTTATCGAGAAGCAGCAGGCCGACGGTGGCTGGGGCGAGTCCTATCTCAGCAGCTCTACCCATCAGTATGTCCAGCACGAGAAGTCCCAGGTGTGCCAGACTGCCTGGGCTCTCATTGGACTCATGGAGGCAGACTACCCGCACAAAGAGCCATTGGAGAAGGGCATCAAGCTGTTGATGTCGCGCCAGCAAAGCAATGGAGAGTGGCTGCAGGAGTCGATCGAGGGTGTATTCAACCAGTCCTGGTAGGTTCATGCTATCCTAGTTTTTGTTTGTTGAACTTGATTACTGACGTTTCCTTTAGCATGATCTCATATCCTAATTACAAGTTCTATTGGCCTATCCGTGCCTTGGGCTTGTATAGTAGGAAATTTGGAAACGCAGAACTCGTGTAAATCAGCTTGGGGAATGAGTATCACCCAATTATGTACTTAATCAATAATAAACTGGCATATGAAGCCATATTTTACCATCGATATCAGTAAATCCGCACAGCTAGATAGCCAGTTACTTTCTTTCATCTCAGCATTACCTACGCTTCACTCTCTATACCTCCCCTTCACGTGATCCCCTCCCCCTCCAAAAAGAGTGATCGACGGGAGCTTGGGCCACTGGGGCTCATCACTCTTTTCTCCGCATATCACGCACCCTCCCCTCCAGCAACATCCTCCAGTACTAGTATCACCATGAATGCCGCAGCCGAAGGCGACAAGGCCTCTGCCGAGTCCAACTACACCCTTGCCATCCAACACTACACCCGCGCATTGAGCGAGCTACCCCGCGCTCCAACATACTACATTTCGCGCTCAACTGCCTTTTCACGCCTTAAGTCCGCAGATGGCGGGCCCAACTACCAGGCCGCTCTCAACGATGCCGAAATCGCCCTCCACCTCGCCAGAGAGCGAGGAAAACGCGAACTGATGATCTCAGCGCAGATGCGCCGCGCTGTGTCCCTGTATCAGCTTGAGCGGTACGGGGATGCAGAATTCGTGTTTGGGATTATCACGCAGAAGACCAAGACTGGCGAGGAGCCTGAAAACAAATCGGAGAAGGTACAGGCTGCCATGGGAGGATCGGGATCCAAGAACAATTACACTGCCCAGTTGCCCATTTGGACGGCCAAAATCCAACGGAAGTTGGCTGAAATCCCTGAGGATGATGCGAAGCGCGCAGTTTCTGTTACTGAGTTCCCATCCTCCACACATGTTCCGACTGGGGAGGAGGTGAAGGCTGAGTGGGAGGCTCTCAAGGCTGGAAAGAGCGCGGGTGGAACCTCGCAGCAGGCGACACCGGCAGCATCTGTTCCGGCCACTTCCTCTACTTCCCAAAGTCAAAGTGCGAACATCAGTGCCCCGGCTTCTTCTGCTGCTCCGGAGAAGGTCCGTCACGAGTGGTATCAATCCCCAAACTCTGTGGTTGTGACGCTTTACGTCAAGGGAATCGCAAAGGACAGTGTCGCGATCGATCTGAAAGAGGATTCGGTAAATGTTCCCGTCGGGCAGTTTCTTCAGGACCGAACCCAGAACTAATCTTGCTACAGGTTTCGTTGCAATTCCCTCTCCCATCTGGTTCTGAATACGATTACACACTCGACCCGCTTTACGCGAACATCAATCCGTCCGAGTCCAAGGTCTCAGTCATGGGTACCAAGATTGAAATCACGCTGCAAAAACAAAAGGCTGGCCAGAAATGGGGTTCTCTCGAAGGCTCATTGACTAAACCCACCGAGATTGCCGACCGTCCGGCCCCGCAGAAAGCACCAGCTCCCTCAGGCCCTTCGTATCCCACATCATCCCGTCATGGCGCCAAGGATTGGGACAAAGTAGCATCCTCTCTTACCAAGAAGGAATCACAGGGTAACGGAACCACGGCTGATGAATCCGATGATGAGGGCGGTGATGCTGTTGATGGCTTTTTCAAAAAGCTGTATGCTGGCGCCGACCCTGAAACACGTCGCGCTATGATCAAAAGCTACACTGAAAGCCAAGGAACTGCCTTGAGCACGAACTGGTCTGAAGTTGGGAAGGGCAAGGTGGAGCCTCATTCGGAATAGATGCCCATTTACTATTTTCTCTTCTCATTTGCTAAGCCGCATATAGCGAGGTGTTTCTCAGATATCCCAACTGCTAGTTGTGATCTAGTTTTCAATTTACTGGCTTTCATTCATTCGCTCCGTTTCATCTTAGATCTCAAAGCAGATAGTACATTTGCAGATTCCAACCACATCCATATTATATCGTTCCCTCTTCCAAACACCCTACCAGAAGATATCAAAAACCAAAACCCGAACCTAACACCAACTTCTAGGTACACAGCACAATCGATCTCCCCCCTGAAAGCGGAATAGCAGACCCCATCCCATCCTGTCGGTGCATAGTAGCCCTGACAACACCAGCCGAGAACGTGAGAGAAAATTGAGCGCCGGCATCTTTGGTCTTAGCCATGAATGATTCCCCAGAATACACCTGCTCAAAGGCCTGAACAGCGCGAACACTCTGCATGGCAGCTCTGATACTTCCTCCTTTCTCTGGGTTCTCCTGTTCGTACAGAATCCACAACATGACAGGTTCGTTGCAGAATAGTGATTCCTTGACCCTGCTGTACTCTTGACACAGCCTTGCTGCAGCGGGTGCCTCCCTGTTCCCGTCCGGAGATATGTTAGACATCAAGAAGCCGTGTTGGTTGTATACGGCTACAACCGAGCATGCACCGAGCTCTACGGCGGTAGCGCGGCTGTAGACGGTCCATTTTCCCGATCCGGTGTTATCAGCGTACACTTTCAGCTCCATTGGGGCGAGGATAGGAGGTGGATTGAATGGGTAAGAAGAGTGTGAGTTTGTTCCGTCTTGCAAGGTATGAGATGCTTCCGGGTGTGTTAACCGTTGACCTTGGAGAGTCGATTGCTTGATATTGTGTTGATCTGACCATTCTAAGCCGCCGTATATATACACATCTTCTTTCTTTTTCATTGACAAACAAAATCATCCATTTGGGCCGCAATCAGGGCTGCAAACAAAGACACCCAAGTTCGAAGCAAACCATCCCGTGGGATATATTGGCCAGAAAGTTCCCACGGATCTTATAGACTAGGAATCTTGATATTGATCGCCAAGAGGACTAAAACAGAAACTGTATACCGAGTAAGCTCAACGCGAAAATGATAGGCTGTCGGCGGTTAGGGCTCGTAGTTAGCCGGCGGCTTATTCGTTCTCCGTGAAACTTATATTGGCGCCGGCCCCCCCCTGCACACCACAATTGCCGTCACTAATTCTTCTCATCGGCAGCTTGGCTGCCAGAAATTCTGACCCAGTCAGATAGTCTCGTTACACATGCATATTCACAGGGCTGGTTGGTTCAGGGGCAAAGTTACATGTCCGTCAGCTTGGTTAGGCCAGCATGAACCACCCCCTCAAAGCGGAAATTTGAGGCTGTGCTGTTTTTCTTTTTGACAATGCAAGATCCAAATGCGAGATTATCACAGCCTTAGGCGTTGACTCTTTAGATATGTATAATCGTCCATGGCCTCAACGACCCAATCGCGTATCTGCAATCCCTGTTCCACCCCAAACTCCTCCTTCCATTTCTCCAGCTCCACCTCCAACTCCAGATTCACCGCCAGTTTGTCTTTTCTTATTCCGGATGAGGCCATAAGTGTGTCCCGCATGCGTTGTCTGGCTGGCTCGTATTTGGCCACTTTTTCGGGATCCACGGGTTCCCAGGAGAACTGTAACTTGCTCTCGTCAAGACCAACCAACCGACAGTATTTCCCCATCAGTTGCGGTGAGACCATAAAGTCATCTGCATCGAGGATGATCGGACCTTGTGGGCAAGCTTCAGCCCCAACTCGTAGCCACATATGTTTGTACCAGTCGTACAGCCGGCGTGTCCAGCGCAGAGTCATCATCCGGCTCAACAGGCCCTGTATCTCTTGCATTTGGCCCTTGTTGTTGTCTTTGAAAAAGACGAAGGTTCTGTAGTAAGACGGGAATACGCGGATTGGATGGCGGATCAGAAACGTTGGTAGCCCGGTCATCAAGAATGCGTCAGGGAGTAAGGTGTCATTTTCAGGCGAGAGACTCGGCAAATTGGACTTATCCTCCTTGCACAGAGTTCCCGGTAATTGAACCCTCCAGGGATCGTCGGTAATGGAAGCGACATCCTCCGGCATTGATCGGAACTTCATCAACGCAGTAGGCTGGACGAGGAATTGGGAATGCTCTTTGACGATAACTGTTTTTCCATCTGCCTGTGCTGCATCGACGTGGCTGTAGAGTTTGTTGAAGCATTCTTGGAATCCACCGGCTAGTTCAGCCCGTTCTTCTTGAGTCCATTCGCTGTAGGGCCGTTCTATCACACCCAGCTCGCGCATGTGCCGTATGGCTGGGAGAAAGAAGTAACCGTTGCTTTCTTCGCAGACGGTATTGGGCTGTTCTGGAAGTGCGAGAAGGTGCATGAACAGATTGGATCCCGTTCGAGGGGAAGTAATCATGAACAGTCGCTTTTGCGACAACAGGGTTGGGGCCATGGCGGAAGATCCAGTTGGAACGAATATGGAAAACAAGGAGGAGTGCACGCTCTGTCTCGAAGATCCACGAGATGATATACTACATCCCGCGGCCTCTTCCAAGGACCGTCCTCGATTTTGTTTACCGGTGTTCGCCGAGACAGTCAGCCCTCATTACGTGTTCAATGGATCACACTGCGTCCACTTGCAGTAAGCATCCATGCGATGCACGATGGGATCAGATTTCGTGGGAACTTACGGTGTAGACTGCATGCACAATGGCCACGCTACATGTGCCCTTGCATGGGGTGGACGATCGAAGGGAGAAACATCAACAAGTCCACAGCGGAGCGATTTCTCGTGTTCTGGCAACTTCAATCATGACTATCGAGCCTGAGTACGGCGCTCAGTCAGAGCCCAATGCCTTCCCGAATACGCTTTTGTTCCAACAGCTGATAGAGCTGGCCAATCATCATCGACTCACTGGTACTGCGGCTTTCAGAGACTTCTCATGGGATAGCAAAGCCAACCATGCTGAACTCATGGTGAATGTGCTTCAGCTCCGTGGGGTTATCCTCGAGTCTCTTTCCGACGGCGCATGAAGCTTTGACAGCCGGACCAGATGTATACATCTGTCTCTTGCCACCGACGGAATCTGAAAGGCTAGTTGGGTATCTTGCTATCATGTCACTCGGTGCGGCCATTGTACCACTTTGTGACTGTACGAGATGGTCATAATACTCAATTCTTTGAATCCCCTCGTGCTCATCAACACATCCCAGCCCCCGAAGTCCTATTCGAAGAAATGACCGGCATTTGATTCATATTGATTCATGGGACATTGATAGGAAGACTGTGTGTTTAAATGCGAATGAATGGCTATGTTATTGTTTCATATACTATATCCGCGATCCATCACAAAATCGATTTTATATTTTTGAACATTTACTCTTCATCATCGTCACCAATTTTGCTGTCACGGTAGAGGAAGAACTGTGTGAAGATAGCCATATCCAGCAGCAGCGTGCCAGCACTGCCTACCAGCCACGACAGGTTCACGAGCACATAACGGCCATACAACGCAGCGGCTTCGCCGGGACGACACTGCGCACGGTGGTGGTGGTGACCGAAGACTTCCTCGGAAGACCCACCCTGGCAAACAGGCGAGTATGCCAGGATCGAGAGCACATAAGTCAAGTTTCCGATGCAAGCAAAGAGGAAGAAGAGCAAGGAAACACCATCCGTTGACTTGCGACGGTAGTTCAGGAGAAGCTGGGGCAGACGTGATCCCAGATACAAGACTGCGCAGAAGTACCCGAAGACCTGGCCCAGGACATCCATGGTGAGAGGTTCTGGGTCTGGCGCGGAAGACTTCGAAGCTGGGCTGACATACCAGCCTACCACTCCAGCAGTACAAACCAGAGCAACGGCAGTTAGGTTGAAAAGCGCGGATTGGATGGCGGAGATGCGACGGCGGCGAGCGCGTTGAGCACGGATGTTGGCTAAGTTGGATGGGGGCTCGACGAAGGGCGTTGCTGGTGACAGGTGGGCCACGTCGACTGATGAGTGGAAGATATCATGGTAGGAGGTTGCCGATTGACGTCTTCCAGAGGACAGTGGGCGTGTGCGGTCTTCAGGTTGCTGCCCAAAGGCACTGGGGGATGGATCCCGAATTTTGACATGTCCAGTAGGCTTTGGTAGCAGGGATGATGTCTCTGTTGGTGCTGGTTGATGTTCGGCACCAGCTTGTTCCTCGTCGGAGGTACCGTCGGCGATTGAAAGTTGAGGACTAGGCGAGGAAGACAGCTCTGCTTTCAAGCTGAAACCTCGGTAGTAAAAGCACTGTCCCAGTAGAACTATATCGGCCAAAGTATAGTACACTGCAAGGATGATCATTGTAGGGAGCACGCCCTGCAGGACGGCGCCTAGGATGTTGAACACATCGCCAGCCAACCAGACAATGAGGAAAAGAAGCGAGAGACCATCTGCAGAACCACGTCGGAAATTTTCAATAATCTGAGGGGAGAAAACGACGACCCAACAGGCAATCGAAATCGATCTGGATTAGTTAGTATTTGATTTGAGAAAAACAAAACATCCATGCAGTCAGGGCTCGCCGAGAGTTAAGTAATGCCGCATCCGCCGCCGCACATGCATCCATGCATTGATTGATAACAAATAATTGGACAGCAATGGAAAGCACAAAAGAAAAAGCAGAGAGATATTCGATTGTCAAACTCACCCGCAGATCCCACTGAGAGCCTCAATGTTAAAATTAGCCGCCTGCGAAGGGAACATGTCGCAGGCGAACCGTATGGTTCAATCCCCAGTCTCTCGGAGGAAAGTTTGAAAAGCGACACAATATAAGAAGACACTATGGTGCGAAGAGAGGCAATCGCTGGGAAATCCAGCTTCGTCTCAGTCAAGAATAAGGCAATTGAAGGTGCGGGAAAAGAAAGAAATCAAATGAAAGATGGATGACGTCGGGTCACGTGCACCAGAAGTATACAGAGCGATTTAGTTCTCGAATGAAGAGCTTCATTTGCCATTATATCCTCCCGAGGTCAGCTATTTCTCGATTAAATTAGATAGAAAAGTAATTAATTATTCATGCAGGGCAGAGCAGTCATCGGCCTATCTCACGCAGCAGCTTTCATAAGTCGCTCCAACTTGTCCTGGAAATCACAGAAGATATTCACAGCCTAGGCCTACGTCAGCGCAGCTTCAAAATCGATATATTTTCGTAGATGCACCTACCTCAGTCAACTTGATCTGACTCGCACCACCTTGATCTCGAGCAAATGTGATCCGGTAGCTCCCAGGGTCATTGATGAAGGAAATACCCCGCGCGGGAATCGGAAGAGTTGGGTCCATATCAAATAGCGACTTGGTTTTTCCTGCATAAGGCCGATTCAACTGTGCCAACAAATCCGGTGCGATAGTAAGGTGATCCACGCCAGCAAGGAAGAAGATCTCCTCGACAGAGGTTAGGCTTGCTGGGAGGACTTTGGTGGTAGAATTGATGGATTTGTAGTATTTCTGGATGGCTGCACAAAGGGGAAGCAATTTCGCATTGTCCACGAGACTGATGAATAAAATGGTCAGATATGCATAAGCTCATCAATCGAGTTGCCACATACCCTGTGTTGACCTGCACCTTCAGTTCATTCACATAGGGTGCAACATAAGTACAGCCGACTTCATCGGCCAGGACCGCCTGAGCCATGCTGAATAGCGTGGTTGCTAGAGTGTGTATGCCCGTCAATTCGAGGGTACGACAAGCCATCATTCCTTCCCATGTGCTCGGGACCTTGATACAAATGCGAGCCGTGTCAAAGCCGGGCTGAATATGCTGAGACAATTGCACGATCCCTATAGCAGACTATAATCAGTACCGAGTTCGAATATGAACGATACCAGAGTGGAGCATACGACGCGCATTGTCAACGATCTTCTCCGGGGAGTACGAGTAGTAAGGGTTGACCTGCACATGGACAAGTCCACGAATATGCTGTGCCATCCCAATCGCCATTCGAACCATCTAGCATTCATTCCTCGTTAGTGACCTTCTTCCTCCCACGCCAAAAATGAAGAAAAGCTCACTGCAACCTCAACGGCCAATTCCTCAATCCCCATGGGCGCGTACTTCGCATACAACATATGCGCATCTTCCAGCGACGCCGCAATAACCTGCGCTCGTGCTGGTTTGGAAAGCTCGCCGAATGCAATAGCCTACCAGGTTAACTTCTTACCCCGACCCGCAGCATCTTCATAAGCTTACTTGGTTGGAAGTGCAATGTTGAAACGGACCTAGGGACTTGGCAACTAAACAGGCATCAGTAATTCGACAACGATACAATCTACAAAGAGGCCATTCTACTCACCCTCTTCGTCCAGAGTATCGCAGTCGACCATCGTGCGCGAACGCATATAATCTAGACCTGTCTGGACTACCATCCTGAACATACAGGGTGATTTAGAAGGAGATATCTAGCGAACTCGTAACCGAACCAGGGGTTTGACGGGAAAAGGAGGGGGGGGGAAACAAAAGGACCAAGAAAGATGGGCATCCCACCGGACCAATGGCCCCATATGAGTATCTTATTAAAGTAGCCTTTCCGGGGCTCCATTAGCCAGGTGGCACGGAAATGTTGCTCGGCCCGAGTAGCTTGATGGGCGATCGTGCGATCGTCATGAATCATATGAACTCTGCATCGACTCACACTTCTGGCATGGCTTGGGAGTAATTCGGGAAATATGACGGAAGTATGAGATAATTGGGCCATGCGAATCAAGAAATTCAAGACAAGTCACACAACATGGTGACCGCTAGCAGTTGTAGCAGAATCACACCGAGAGAGATATAGATTGAAGGATCCCGGTGAGGCAATATTCGCATTGTATAGAAGAAGATAATGAAATGATATATGCCGAGAGAAACGCCCCGCGATGCAAAGTGTAGACCCGCCCCCAAAATACCGAGATACCTATCAAAATACATGCAGATATCTAAACTAAATGCTTTCTTTTATGCCCCTTATTTAGCTTGAGCGGCCAACCACGCCTCGTGGGCCTTCTTCTGGCGTTCCCAGTCTTTGCGGAGCTTCTTGGCTCGGCTCTTGGTAATCTCCTCGCCGGCAGCATCACGAGTAGGCATGCCTTCTTCATCCCAGGTGCTGTATTCATTGGTGCGGAACATCTCCAGGTGGCTCAGCTTGCCCTTTTCCAGCTTCTTGAGAGCCTCCTGCTCCTTCTTGAGCTTGTCGGCCTGTTTCTGGAGAGCACGGGCTTCCTTCTCTTCCCGTGCCTTGAGCATCTCTTGGGTGACGGGACGGACCAGGGCGGGCTGGTTCTCACGATCCTCGAGAGCGATGCCGACATCGAAGAGGTCGATGTCTCGCACCCGGTCGCACAGGGACAGGATGTCCTTGCCAATAGATTCGGAGGATTCCAAAGACACGACCTTGGCGCGGAAGTTGGAGAAGAGCTCCGCCCATGGCTTGGCAGACTCATCAGCTTCCTGGGGTGCTGATGCTTGGGCAACGGCAGCCTCAATATCCTTGGCAGAGATTCCAGCCTTGGACCGGGCGGCTTCGCGGAGGGTGTCACGCATAGCTGACAACGGGTACAAGTAGGCCTTGGCCTCCTCGGGAATGTCAATGCCAGACCAACCTATTTCAGTGCTGTCGGCAGAGGCGGTGCCGTTGAGACCGAATATGTTGACCAGAGAGGTCACCCATTGGCCTGCAGCCTGAACATCTTGAGGGGGCACGGTAGCCTTGTCAACAATGTTGAACTTGGAGATAAGTTCGGAAATTGTTGCCATGACGGCGGGGGTGTTGAAAGAGTCGCAGAGTTGGTCATAGACGGCCTTCTTGGCCGCTTCCAGATCAGCAGCAAAGGTGGTGTCGGTGCCCGACGACTGGAGAGCTGTAGGATCATTCACCTTGAGGAAGAAGTTGTTCACCTTTTCCTCCCAAGAGCTACCGGTGTTTACCAGATCTTCTGTGATCTCAACGCCGTCCTTCCAACCACCCAGGAGGAAGACAATGCGCAGACTTCTGGGCGACCAGTCTTTCCGGTCGAGCGCTTCGCGGATGGTAGTGAAGTTCTTCAGCGACTTGGACATCTTGGATCCTTGGATGGACAGGTGTCCCATGTGCAGGAAGTAGTTGACCCATTGGTCGTGGCCGTGGTCGTGGCCATGGTCTTGGCTATTGTGCCAATAAGCTTCACTCTGAGCCAGTTCATTATCGTGATGGGGGAAAGCGAGATCGATACCACCAGAGTGGATATCCATCTGCTTACCCAGTCGAGCTGATGCCATAGCTGAGCACTCAATGTGCCATCCAGGGCGGCCCTTGCCCCAAGTGCTGGACCAGCTTGGCTCGCCTGGCTTCGAGGACTTCCAGAGAGCGAAATCGGAAGCACCACGCTTCTCTGTGGTTTTGCTAGCCAGAGAGCCTTCGCCCTCTGCAGCCAACTTATTGTCTGACCGACTCCACGGCTCAAGTCGAGCGTAGGGGTGGCCCGCAGCCTCGAAGGCATTGATATCGAAGTAGACCGATCCATCCTCTGTGGCGTATCCAAAGTTGTTCTTGACAATGCGCTCCACGAAAGCCGCAATCTCATCGCCATATTCCGTCACACGAGTCAACTCTGTGGGGTCAAGGACGTTCAAATCCCGCATATCCTTGGTGAACCGTTCCTCATATCTCTTAGTCAACTTTGTGAAGATGCTGTGATCACCCGCATCAACGAGTGCACCCTTCAGGGCATCGAGGTAAGGCAGGATAAGATCTTGAGCGCTCGAGTAGAACAACTCAGCAAAGAGAGCAGGATCGGCGCTTGAGCTATCACGGGTTTCTGCCTGCGCGATAACTTTGGCGGCCGATGCAGCCGTCTTGATGTGCATTTTGACCTTGGCCTCATCATCACCAGCCTTCTCGTTTCCTGGCAAAGCTCCGCCGTTCAAGATAGTCGCGTATGTTTTTCCGACCTCATCATGGTACTTCGATGCAGGAAGTTCGGAGTCGAGCAAGGGGAGGTTCTTCTTCAGGTAGGCGATGAAAGCCTTATTAACAGTGTCGAGGACCTCCGGGGTAATAGTAGGGTTGATCGCGACGAATTCATTGAACAGGTGTTGTTGTCTGGCACGGAGAATGATCTATAGGTAATTTTGAGTCGCCTTTCTTCAAATAGTAGCACATATAAGCAGCTCAAAGGCATACCTTATCATCCACATCTGTAATGTTCATAACAAAGTTGACATCGAACTTGAAGTAGTCGCGCATAATTCGCCGAATGATATCGGTGCTAACATAGTTGCGGGCGTGTCCGAGATGCGCATCGTCGTAAACAGTTGGTCCGCACGCGTACCAAACGACTTTCTTTCCTGCAGGATCGATCGGGACGAAGGGAGTCTTAGACTTGGTCAACGAGTTCCAAACCTTCAACGCAGGGAGCTGCGCATCCGGGCTGGAAGCCGGTTGCCGCCATGGCGGCTGCTGGCGAGAAGACATGGACCTGAAAGAAGCGACCGACAATAGTAACCGCTGTTTGGACGGCGAAGAGAAAGGAAAGGAGAGAAGTGAGAGGCGGGGGGAAAGCATAAAGAAGAAAACAAAGGCAATGGAGGGGGAGGGGCTCGTAAGGACCAGATCGAGTCATGCTCCAGACTCGCTGTGATTGGCGGCAACGGAGGATGGGATGACCGAGCCCTGAGCCCTAGTTGATGGCCCGATCAGGCAATTAGCATGACGGCCATTTTTTCTTTTGCGGAGAACGAGTTCCATCAAGTTAGGGATTAACGATACTCCTTACTCTCGGCGACCTCACTCAACATGCCGTCCCCATTCTTCACGAGGAACGCTATATCCGACAAAGATAGCCTCGCCCTCTTGCAGCTGCGACGCGACCAAATCATCCCGACGATCCTCCGCGACCATGACGATGAGAACCAGGGTTATTGGGAGGGCAAGGTCACCAACACCCGCTTCGGCTCATTCCCTCATAGCACTCTGATCGGACAGCCGTGGGGCTCGCAAATCGTCGCTTCTAAAGTCGACACAGGCTCTCGCGGTCGCAAAGCGACCAAGCGCAAGGCCGAGGAGCTCGATGGATCAGCAACACCAGGCGCGGAGGACGAAGAGGAGAAGAAGCCATTACTGAGGACTCCCGTCGCTGCAGACAGTGGATTCCTGCACATTCTCGCCCCAACACCCGAGGCATGGACCCTATCTCTTCCGCATCGCACCCAAGTCGTCTACACCCCAGACTACAGCTACATCCTCCACCGACTCCGCGCACGGCCGGGCTGCACAGTGATTGAAGCCGGTGCCGGCAGTGGCTCATTTACACACGCCGCCGCTCGCGCCGTATTCAATGGATATCCCGAGACAGAGCAAGCGACCAAACGACGACGACTCGGAAAGGTATGCAGTTTCGAATTCCACGAACAGCGCGTGGGCAAGGTTCAGGAGGAACTCAGAGATCACGGTCTTGATGGGATGGTCGAGGCTACACACCGCGATGTCTACGAAGACGGATTCTTGCTAGGCGATCCCAAAACCGGCAAATCGCCCAAGGCCAATGCGATCTTCCTGGATTTGCCCGCTCCTTGGCTCGCGCTGAAACACCTTGTGCGCAATCCTCCTGATGGACGCGAGTCGGCCCTCGACCCCAAATCGCCCGCCTATCTGTGCACGTTCTCCCCATGTCTTGAGCAGGCAGAGCGCACGATCCGCACTATGCGCCAGCTCTCATGGCTCAATATTTCCATGGTGGAGGTTGCTCAGCGTCGACTTGATGTCAAGCGGGAACGCATCGGGCTCGATGCTGAGGGCGTGCGCGGAGCAACCGTATACCCCAAGACCGTCGAGGAAGCAGTCGAAAAGCTTCGTAGCGATGAAGTGCGCGCGAAGCTCATCCGCGACCACCGACAAAACAGAGACCAGCCAGATTACGAACCTATTGTCAAGGAGACGCCATCTTATAAAGAAAAGTCCGATGTTCCCGTGTATGCTCAAGGTCGCTTGACACACCGTTCAGAGCCTGATCTCAAGACTCATACTTCATACCTGGTCTTTGCGATTCTGCCTCGGGATTGGTCTGAGGAAGATGAGCAGAAGTGCAGGAGTCAATGGCCCTCTGCGCAGGTTGTCAAGCCTGATGATGAGCCCAAGATTAGCAAGAAGCAAATGAAGAGACTTGCTGCTATTGAAAGGGCAAAGCTTCGTGATGCTGCGAAGGAGAAAGAAGAACAGCCACAGCCAGAATCAGAGGATAAGGCTGAGGACGCAAAGGATGCAAAGGTCGAAGAACAGATGACCGAGGCATGAGTACGAGTGTATACCAATGATTTGTTTCGTTAGCATAGAATTTTCATAACTAGATTGGGGCTTTTTCGCCTGGAAGACATAGAGGCACGGCGGTTTCTGTTGCTTTGAGGCCTTGTAATTACATCCTATCTATTCCAACATCATAGTGAAGCAAAGCCACATCCAAAGGCCCAGTTGAGAATATTCTATAGGACAAAGCTATCATTCCGCCTTCTATAAAATGTAAATATTGGTTTGCAAAGGTGAAAAAGAAAGCTCAACGTTGCATATATGGTATCAAAATATCAACGCGGGGATACGAGTTCTCAGAGATTGTTTTCAGCTCGGAACTTATCCCACGCCTCATTCAGAGTTCCAAAGACAGATCCAGCAATCATACGCTGCTCAGTAGTAGCAGTGGTAGGAATCTAATAGAAATGGTTAGTGGATGATCAGATGAGATGAAGGCAATAGTAACAGAGCAAAGGATAGAACGTACCTTATCAGGGTGCACCTTGGAAATACCCTTCATGTACTGGATCTTGACCTTATTCGGCAAGACCAACTCCGCAAGACCAATCTTCTTCCACCCAGACTCGGGCCACAGCACGGAGTCTAGACTACCCAGTAGCGCACGCAGGTTGTCTTGTTTGCCACTCCTCCAGGTGGCAATTCTTGCATCGACACTTTCAGAAAGGGCGAACTTTTCCTCGTCGGCACGTTCAGCCGCCTCGTTAGCTTGGCGTAGACGACTGACTGCTGCAAAGTCTGTACCAGATGCCGAGGTTGCTGTGAGACCGGACCTAGCCGAAGGCTTCTTGGGTGCGGGGGAAGGTCTTTTCGTAGCGGGGGTGGCAGGTTTGGACTGGGGCTTGCTAATACCAGCTGCTTTCTCGCAACGGTTTCGGCCTTGGATGCTCGTGCTTCCACCGTGCCCAGACTCCACAGCTAGCTTCCATGCCTGCGCGGCATCACCCCAGCGCTCAAGTTGCTCTAGTGCTTCGGCTTTGCGCATTAAGGCCTTGCCGAAGAAGTCTCTCATGGGCTTAGGCGGTTCGCCTGTGCATAGATCGATTACCTCGGCTTCACCCTTGGATGGGCCAATGAATGTCAAGATGATGTCGGCGTCATCGATGGCGGACTTGGGTTCGCCAATCTTTAGGGCTGTCATGGCGCGGTTGCTGCGGATGATAATTGTAATAGGATGCTTGTCAGGGAGCATGCCCAAGGCTGTAGAGAAACTCTGATGAGCTTCAGCGTAGTCGCCTCTCTTGTATGAGTCTGCGGCTTTTCCGCGGTGGCGGTGTGTCGATTGAAGCGCTTCTTGAGATACAGGCGGAATGGATCGTGTCGGAGCTTTGGGACGTACGGGAATAGAGGCGGAGCGTGTAGGAGGCGTGGCATTCCGAGCTGGGCCAGAAGGCTGGGGACGACTGGCCGAAGGTGCAGGAGAACTAAAGAGGTCGACTTCAGGCTCGGGGGGTGGTGGGGGTGCCTGGGGTCGCTTGCGCCTAGCAGGACTAACATAGGCTTGCGCGGACTGCTCTTCAGCAGCAAACCGTGAAAGCCGAGGTTTGGGATCTTGGGAAGTTGGTCGGGATGGACGCTGGAGGAAGTTGGGTTGCTGCCTTGGCTGAGAAGCATCAGGAGACAGTTGATTGCGAGGAGACTGGCTTCTCGGGTCGGGTCGGTGGATATCACGGGAACGAGGAGGCTTTTGAGGCCGCCCATCGCCAGACTCAAGAAGAAGCGCTTCATTGGTGAAGTCCTGCTCGGCCTGGGACTGAGCCGGCTGTTCACGACCTGGGCGTCGCGGCTGTAAAGGTGGTTCGTCGTGTGGAGCGGATGCATCTCTCATCCAACGCGGCTGACTAGGGTCATGTTCGGCGCTGAACTCATGAACCGCTTGTTGGAATTTCTTGCTGCCGGTCTTCCAGAGTGAGCCGGCGGATTTCAACAAGTTATTACCGAACTGAGAAGCTATTTGTGCAGGATCTTTGTCTGCTGATGCTGGGCTCCGCCTGTCCTGTCGTGATCGAGATTCTGGCATTTCTTCTCTCATCCAGGAAGGTCGATCGCGATTATGGCTGTCGCTCCTTCCGGCACGATCGGTAGGAGGAGCACCAGTCTGTCCCCCAGTCTTCTGCTTAGCCTCGGCATGGGCTTGGGTAAGAAGCCAGCTAACAGCAGCCTGCACATCGGTCCCAGACTCCGTGGTGTTTAGGGCCCGTCGAGATTTATCCGCGGGGAATCCCATATCAATCAACTCTGCAATAGCTCGATCGACTTCATTGGAAGGCATAGGCGATGCACCTTGTTCTCGGCCACGATCTGAGGGCGTGGCAGATGTGGAAGGTGGCTGCTGGCGAGGGATATCCGATACCGGCTTCCCGAGCAGACCTAGGAAATCATCATCGTCCCCTTGTTCGGGCTGGGGAGCCGGAGCGGACTTCGGCTTCAATTGGTTGAGGCCAAATGGGTCATCGTCATCAAAAGCGTCTATGCTCCCTGTATTATCCTGCATGGCAATTCCCCCGTTGGATGGTTTGGGGCGACCATTCATGTCAATCTGAGGCGAGGATCTCGAAGAGCTAGGGACTGGGAAATGAGTCGATGCGTCCACTGGCGCAGCGGCATTGAAGGCGGCGAGAATATCATCTTCGTCCTCCGGGGGTGGCGGTGCAGACCGTGAAGTAGGTATAGATGCGGGGCTCTGTGTACGTCCCTCCAGATTGTCCCAAAATTGGTTGTTCTGGCCACCGTATTGCGATTCGAATCGACGACGGTTGTCGGCTTCCTTCTTAGCATTTTCTTCCTGCAAGCGCTTCTGCTGTTCCATGAGAGAGAGGTTCTTGTTTCCAGCTGAAGAATTGAATGAAACTAGGTTTGCAAAGCTGTCTCCAGTAGATGTGGCGGGCTTCGAGGGCGAGCTTGATCGGTTCGATGTCGCGGATAATGGGGTAGACCTGCCGGAGCCGCTATTGAATGGCATACTGGGATATAGGTACCCAGAGCTCATCGGTGGAGGCTTGCTCTGATTCTTGGAGTCGGAGGACCAACTCAGGCCATTTAGATCTTCCATATTGGGTGAAGTTGTCGCAAGAAGATGGAGGTGAGGTCTGGTGGATTCGAACGAGGGTTAGGTCCCGGAAAAGGGATGAAGGTTTTCCATGATCTCACCAGCTCACAATTCAAAAGAAGCTTGAAGTAATTAGAGTATATCAAAGACCGTTTGCTATCAAGCAAAATGCAGAACACTTGTTGCCCCCTGCATGTGGGGGATCCAGACCGCGCGGAGGCTGGCACGTGATGCCGGTTTTATCTCTGGCATTGCAAGCATTCTGGAATAGCTCCATCTCCTTCTAGGTTTTGATCTCAGGCAATCTCAGCTCCTTTAGCTACTTAGGTAAATAATTGGTTGTTTCCGACATTCGATTTGAATTGAGGATCCAATTGGTTCCTTCTGACATGAGCTAAGCTGGTCCAAATGTGTATATCTGGGTCTCTAAAATGACGTCGATGTGAGAGAAACTCCAGCCCGATCCGTTAGATCTCCCTCTTCTTTTACCTTCACAGGTCTCCAGTTGATCCTTCTAACGACAGACATCTCAGTCAGAACCTAGAGCTTCTTCACACCCTAAGACAATCTGGGAAGTATCCTCACGATGACAGCCGTGACTGTCTCAACCGCCCCCACTCCGTCGGCTAATCCACTGCTTCAATGGATCATGGCACTTCCTGTGGCTCATAATGTAAGCGGCAAAAAGGTTCATGATCATCAGTTGTCCCGAGGCACAGAGAGCCCTAGAGCCGAGTTGAGTTCTTCGGTAGCCGAAAGGGATCACCAGTTCCTGGGGCTAATCGGAAGAGACTGGGCCTACGAGATCGAACAGCGCTTGTGGAAGCTAACTTGTCATCTCTTCAAAATAGAATAACCGGGGCAACTAAACCGAAGATCTCCCGGTCTGTTGCATTCTTCCAGGAAAAGAAGACTTTTCCTTGTCTCCTTGGTATTGGCAGCCAGCGCGCATCCTATCCCGATTTGGGCGTCAATAACCCGGAAATATACTACCGCACTGCAGCCTTAGGTCGACCACACTTGGTGATATGTACTAATGTGTTCTCGCTCAGGTATCGGAAAGGGGCAATAATTGATCATGCAAGAGCGACTTACTGCCCAAAAGCCATCGATCTCTCATGGAAGCTATCGGAAAGGAGCCCATCCCCCATATTGCCGCTGAATTATTTAAAGTTGGGCAGAAAGCGTGAATTAAGAAAAGCCTTATGTCTTAGTGCCCAGGCTAATGAAGATTGGCAAACTGCCCGATACAGTTCAGCTCGAGGCTTTAGGGAACAACCTGTCGGTGGGGCGACAACGTAAAACCGGCAGTCTCCGCAGATGATTCCTCGGATCATCCTCTATAGTACGGGGCTACCAGAACACGTACGGAGGACACGTTATAGTCATAGCGGAACGGATCTAACCTGTTATATGTACGGAGGACACTCCGTAATAACCCATACAATGTGAATCCATCTGGTGATTTCCCATAGTGGGTTCTCTCTATTCGAATCGCATAATCTCACAGGGGCGAGAAATTAGGATATGAGACTGTGGCCACAATGCAGCCACAATGCGTACGGTAGCTTCAAGGTTACCTACATGTACGGAGTATGGAGTACGGAGTACGGAGTACAGATTCTGTAATGTGATCACTGTGCATATGTGCCCTTAGTGTTAACTTAAATCTGTAAATGCCCCCGAGAGTTCTCCCGAAGCCCAACAGCCAAGAGACTTAAATGATAGAATGAAGGGACCAGCCTATGTCAATAGGAGCCGGTCTCCACGCAAAGTCAATTCTCATCTCGCGGGAAAAAGGAAAGTCGGAACTCCGCTTTTAGACAGCGGAGCCCCCTTTCGGGTAGATGAACCGCGAGATAGAAGGGAATTAATTACCGGAAGTGAGGAGATATCTCGCACCATGACTGCAAGCTGTGTATGTTGTAAGTTATAGAATATCCGGAGACTTTATGAACAGAGTTAACCTGAAACGACCCAGTAGAATGGCCAGGCCCGTGCTTCCCGCATTAGTCCTTGAATGTCGATAAAATGGGGGAGCATAACGGTCCGGACATCCCTGTACCTAGCAGGATTCCCCTGTCCTTTGATGTCAGTATGATTCTTCCGAGACCCCCAATCCACTCTTCTATCATGGAGACTGCATATGGACCCGACGTCGGAGTACTGTACGGAAACACTATCCCCATTTCCCAAATGAGGGGCGAATGGGGGCTATGGTGAAACAATGGACTCTGGGATATGCTACAGTTCATCTTATGTGAATAGCATGTGGACAGAGAGGAAATTATACACCAAATGACATGGGGGACAGAGACACCTTCCCCTTACAGCGGAGAGACCTGAGTGGAGGAGAATCACCCGTGTTCCAAGATGGACAGGCATCACAATCCCCAGGCAATTCTCCGGTTTTTGTGTACGCAGTATCACTCCTATCACTCCGTACATGGGCCATTACATGTGAACTCCCACAAGTCAGGCGGATTCCACATCACATCAGGAGATCTATAGGATTCTTTGCCACCCGGGAGACGAACGGGTTGATCTACACCATACATGAGTGCTTTCCAGTCAGAAAACGGGAGAATTGACGCGCGATAGCTGACCATTCATGTCTCAGGGCACGAAGTGGGTTCCGCACAGGGCAAGCCGTGCCTTTTTTTGATTTTCTTTGATTTTCTTTGAATTTGATTTCTTTTTTTTTTTTCCTTTCGAACGGTACGCTAGTCCGTGCGTCGTGCTCATATCTCTCCTTCTCTTCCGCGGCCTCTATATTCCTCCCGGATATGGCATGGTCTGATCGATATCCGAGCTAATCTCTACACGTACCACCTGGCGGCGCCTCGGAACTACAAGTTGCATTGTCCAACTTTTCCCGCTTTCCATTCGATCGGGTTGTGATTCGCTCCTGGCAGAGGAAATTGATAGTCTGATTCTCTTGCATTCCGACTGGCCCAGCAGACGGCGGGGCCAACGATTGACATACCTATTGCGGCAATCGGTCCAGGTGTGTGCCGCTCGGGAATCCTGCGGACACACAATAGCCTCTATGTCGACTATGTTGGGAGTATATCCCTGGCTTTAGGGGCAAATCACCGTCAGTACTCTGTGCCGGCAATTTGTATGCCAAAGTACTAATAGTGGGTTGCACTTGGCTTTTCACGTCTTTTTTTTTTCTTTTTCTTCTATTTTTTGCCTCTCGCTCTCGTTCTCTCGAAATTCCAATGTTCCAACTCGATCCAGACCCCTCCCCCTAAATCAACTCCATAATGACACATTCTCATCCTAAGATATGTTAATAGAGCTCCGGTCAAGCCCCGCCTTAGAAAATCAAATAACCCCCATCTGGGATTATTATTTTACCTATTTTTACTTAGTTTACCCAGCTTTTATTATGTGATGGGATTAAGAAAAAAATAAAACCCATCAGAACATCACTTCCCCCTCTTTACGAGCTCTTTGAACTACTTCTTTTCGCCCCTCCCTTTGAATTCCTCTGGTGCCCCCTTTCAACTTCCGAGTGCCTTGGAGTGTGTGTGACTCCCGCGACAATGGGACTCTTCAAGCGCAAAGATTCCAAGAATTCAATTCAAAGCGAGCGAGATGAACAGGAATCTTTCGTCTCCGTCAACAGTGCTCGCACCTCAAATACATCCCTGAGATCGCCAGGATACAAGGGAACCGGCCCGCCAGCCTCAATTCCAGAACTCCCCATCGCCAGACCCCCAGACCCAGCATTGGACCCGGCCGGGTATCTACGAAGCATCCATGCAGTGCGCGAACGCTCCAACATCGTCCTAAACAAAGCCAAAAAGAATCAACTGCACCATTTCGATGTCGACATGAGCAAATTCGAAGCTACCGCCTCCTATATCGTCTCCATTATTAAGGTAAAACAAAATGACGTTGGATCATGACCCGAGGTTACGCTAACCTGGTTCCCGATTTCCAGCGAGATTATGCCCCGGACTATGAGAGCATTCCGCCGCATGGGCGCTGGCAGCATTTCGACGTGGGTGGCAGACCGCGCATTAATCAGCTCCTCCAATCATGGCCGAGCCGAATTGATGCGCAGGAACGCACGCGCCGTTTGATTGACTTGTTTGTGGTTTCTGTGTTGCTTGATGCCGGCGCCGGAAACGAGTGGTCGTACCGATCGAAAGAATCGGGTAAGGTCTACTCGCGCAGCGAGGGCTTGGCAGTTGCCAGTCTGGAAATGTTCAAGTCGGGTCTGTTCAGCAGTGATCCGACGGAACCATGCCAAGTGGATGGCGCAGGATTAAAAAAGATTACAGTCGAGGTGCTGGCCAAGGGAATGCAACATTCAGAGCAAAACCCGTTGGCTGGTATTGAAGGTCGCTCGGGGTTGTTAACGCGGCTATCCGAGGCACTGAATAACCAAGACTTCTTTGGAGTCGACGCCAGACCGGGAAATATGCTAGGTGAGGCGATTTCGGGCGGAGATGTGCTCGATCAGCTGCTAATGTTAACTAGATTATCTGCTCGGTCATCCTTCAACTCTTGCTTCCTCCGTGCCTATTGTTCCGATTACCACGTTATGGTCCGTGCTGATGGATGGCTTGTCTACCATCTGGCCCCCATCGCGAACACAAATCGATGGTGTCTCGATTGGAGATGCTTGGAAATGCTCAGATATGCCCAGGTCTCCTCCTGCACAGCAATGGGAGAGCATCGTTCCATTCCACAAATTAACACAATGGCTTTGTTACTCGATCATGGTTCCAATGTCGAAACTGATGCTCATCCACTTCGCCGGCAGCGATCTTTTAACAGGCCTCCCTGAATATCGGAATGGAGGACTTCTTATCGACTTGGGACTCCTGAGTCTGAAACCAGAAGAGATGCAGCGAGGAATCGATGCCTATAAAGAGAATGCCCAGATCAAGGGTCAGCCCAGTGTCGAGGTTGCTCCTCTCTTCTCGGCCGACGACGACCTGATCGTTGAATGGCGAGCAGTGACTGTTGGATTCCTGGATGAGCTTCTAGACGAGGTCAACACTCAATTAGGGCTCAAGGGCTCTGAACAGCCACTCACATTAGCACAAATGCTTGAAGCCGGGACCTGGAAGGTAAGCCACCTATGATTCGTTCTTTTCAGGGTCAACTCTAACAATGACATTATAGGGTGGTCGTGAGATTGCGGAAGTTTCCAGACCAAATACCAAGGAGCCCCCTATCATGATACGATCTGACGGCACTGTCTTCTAATACCCTCTATTCCCATTTTAATTGATGTTTGGATACCTGGATACCTCCGCCCCGTCATTTTGTTTTGCTGTTGGGGCGAGCTTTTTGATGAAATGAACTCTTCATGACCAATACCTTCATATCTATATTTCACGATCGACTTTTTTCTTCTCTTGTTTTCTTTTTGCTACTTTGGGCCTTTTATTATGTGTTCTTTTCCATCAAGATATGAGGCTATTTGGATTTTCCTTTCGCTTCGGACCAGCGACTTATTGCACCCGGCATCTTGCCATTTTGGTTATTTCTCTTCTCTTCTATATATAGCTTTTTGTTCCAGCCATGTCTATAAAAGTCAATTGAGCATAGATGTCATGTCTATGATTTTCGGGGAGACCCATGGAATGTCGTCATCCCGTACCTCGGCCCCAAGCTCAGCAAATCTCCACCCATCAACGAGTAAGGATCTACCTCTCTGTTAACTGCGTTCGTTATAGATGCATTATTTAATGGTACCTATGTAAATCAAGAGGCAATATCTATTAATTTAGGCACTTTTTTCCCCTTCACTACTCACTTGTACAAACAATTCTTCCATTCTCCAACAACGAGAATTCAAGATCACGTGGGTCGGCTTAGCATTATTCCGTCTCCGCATTAGAAGGTCGAATGGGGCTCATCGTCTTCCCTGCTTATCTTATGTTCCCTTGTCTTCAATCCCATTTTCCAAGCTAGGAGATGCCACAACCGACCTTCTAGCAGACAACAAAGATCACTGCATCTGACTCGTCTTGTGAAGGATCCGAGATTCCCCCAGGTCGACCCGAGTTGCCCCCGCAAGAGCGGGGCATCCGAGCTCAACGGCAACCTTAAGAACGTCCGACATGATGGATGCCCGGAAGAAGAAGAGAAAGGTGCTCCTGATGGGCAAGAGTGGATCGGGGAAGTCGTCCATGCGCTCGATCATCTTCAGCAACTACGTCGCGAAGGATGTCCGGCGTCTGGGTGCCACGATTGACGTCGAGCACAGCCATGTCAAGTTCATGGGTAATCTCACCTTGAACCTGTGGGATTGTGGAGGGTGAGTGTCTTGCCCGTACTATATATACTCTTTTTCCACTCCGGAAACCAGTCCCACTAATCCGAGGTTATCTGCGTCTCAGACAAGATGCATTCATGGAAACCTATCTCGCCTCACAGCGCGGCAACATCTTCTCAGACGTTGCAGTCCTCATCTACGTGTTTGACATTGAATCACGAGAAGTCGACCGCGATCTCGACACCTACCATGCCATAATCGAAGCGCTGGGCGAATTCAGCCCAAACGCCTACGTCTTCTGCCTCGTGCACAAAATGGATCTCATCCAAGCCGAGCACCGCCAGCGCATCTACGAGGAACGCTCCGCCGTAATTCGAAGCCGATCGAGCAATTTCCGCGTCGACACCTTCGCCAGCAGTATCTGGGACCAATCACTGTACAAAGCCTGGGCCGGAATCGTGCACAAGCTTATCCCGAACCTAGTCGTGATCGAGCGCTTCCTCAACGCCTTCGCCAAGAAAATCAACGCAGAGGAAGTCATTCTCTTCGAGCGCTCTACTTTCCTCACTGTGACCTCCGTGACTTCCGAAGTCGGCGAGCTGAACCCGATCTACGATCGTCACGAGCGTCTCTCGAATATCATGAAGGCCTTCAAGCACTGCGCCGCCCGCAATACCCTCACCACCCCGGCCGCGGCCGGCTTCATCGTCATGCATACTAAAACCCCCCAGTTCAATATCTTCCTCGGTCGCTTCACTGATAACACCTATATCTTCCTCGTCGTGCCTCCCGGTGAGGCATCCTACAACTGCGCCGTTCTCAACACGATGCTTGCCCGCGAGGGCTTCTCCAAAGCAGCTGCCGGCGGCGGCGTGGGCGGCGATGGTTTCCCTCTCCCCCCACCTGAATCAGCGGAGGATCACTCGCCAAACGGGACGAATGGTGCCGCCGCGTAATAGGGTGATAAGAAATTAGGACCGGCTTTGTATAGCTACGGAGGGGGATGCTTGTTTTTTTTAAAAAAAAACCCACTTTTTGCCCTTTTTTACTTTATGATTGTTGAGGGATTTTTTATGACAAAATACAGCAGGCGCTGAACGATGGCGTTATGGAGAGCAATGTATTTGATCTTTTTTTCTTCTTTTTTTCACTTGTTTTTTCCCCTGAGAATTGAGATACCCGGTGGAATTTTCCTTTTTTTTCTTGGAAATATGTTCTTTTTTTTGGAAAAAAAATAATACCGAGGTAGTGAGCTTTCTCTGCTATTTCTCTAATTCTTTCGCTTCATATTGTATATTCTTGTTGTGCTAGGACTTGGATTGTTTTCCGTGTTGGGAAGACTACAAAGACCCGTGGGGAGAAAGCAAGATACCATTGAATCATTGCACATTGCAGCGGAGTCAATATGGCTGTAGAAAGATTCAGGATTGAGGTCTTTTGAGTAAGACTAAGAGAGTCTATCTAATGAGATTTGATTCGTTTGTGGCTTGTGGAGGTCCAATTTCTTGAGTTTGTGGAAGACGAGGATATCTTTGGACGTTGGTATTGAGAGCCTTTTTCAAATCGGTTAATTTCGAATGTGATGACATTGTGAGATTGGTCTTTTCTTTTGTATTCACATCTGGGAATGGATGAAGGTAGGTTCTTTCAAGAGACTGTGGAGTTGGATGGGAAGAGAGATATGGTGGACATGATGAATGGGAACGTACAAGTGCAGCGTAGGGATCTAAGATTCAAAGTTTGTAAGCTTCGAAGAGAGCCCTAGATTAGGCAAATGGTCAGGCGATATTACGTGTCAGTGAGATAGACACTCGAGAGACGGACACGATCCCGAGGGCTCAGTACTGGGGATATGTAGTCGGATTGGTATGTGATTCTTCGCGGTTACTTCAAAATAACATACTGCAGGGGATATCCCATCCTGTCTATATTTCCTCGCATCCGATGCAGAAAGCGGCCAAGGGCAGAAGAGCCAAGGGCAGAAGAGCCAAGGGCAGAAGAGCCAAGGGCAGAAGAGCCAAGGGCAGAAGAGAGAAGAGGAAGAACATTGGAGGGATTTGATTATCTATCGGACCGGCCGGCCTCAACGAAAAAAGATGAAAGGGGGGGCAAAAACATAGCAATTGGAACAAGAAGGGGATAGAGGAAGGCTGTACAAAATCAATCCCCCGGGAGAACATATTCTTTCATTGAACGTCCGGCATGCGCATGGCAATGTCGCCCGATTGTGTGATGTATCGCACCCAGGGAAGAGAGGGGTATTGCAGCTGTAGGGCCGTTAGCAGTGAGGTCTAGAGGTGAGGAGGGGTATTGTGATAGCAAAGAACTTACCTTTGGTTCGGTGATTTTCAAGTACCGCACCTGGATGCCACTGGTCGTGAAATAAGGGATCTCGAACTTGACGTTGATGGGTCGCTTCGCTTTGCCCACGCCTCCAGCACCACCCATGCTGCCTCCGAATCCACCAGTCATACCACCGCCGCGCTCATCGTCGCCCTTGACGGAGGGTAGACCCAGCTCTGCGCGCATAAGGAACTCCTTGCCGCCACCGAATTGCTTGATCTTCCAGATGATCGCTGATTTCTCGGGGGCGTAGTGTACGGTACCGATATTGGTGCGGAAGCGCGGTGAGTCTGCATCTTCGGGGACGGGGACGAGAATCTCGACATTGTTGGCAGTGCTGCGCCGTTTAAATTGGGCTTTGGCCTGTCACAAAGTTAATTTGGGGTCTTATATCCGGAAAACAGGCAGGAAATCCTACCTTGAGCATATATTCGATCCGGGATCCCGAATGCGATTCAACCACGCACTCTACCCAAATCAACGGCTTCACTTGTGTGTTCAACCGGTAGCTCATGAGCTCGAATTCACCATCGGGGGGAATGAAACTGATTGTACGGTCGTTTTCGAAGCGCGAAAGTCGGACACACTGGTGGAACTTCACATCTTCCATCTCAACCGACTTGCCTCGTGTAGCACGACCCGTGGTTTCAAACATAGCTTTGTCGTTCAACCCCAATCGCAATTCTGGCATACCACTCAGGTAGCACTTCATCTTGACAGCGCCCAAAATCTCAGACCGCAGCACATTTCCATTTGCCGAGACGAGAAGATTGAGAGACTCGACCACATCCAGGAAGACTTCGTTCTTGCGGTAGCGTATCCCCTCGCTACGCCAGGAGACAGCGTTTGTGACAGCAATGGGTGGTCGTGCTTGGACATCCAGCTTGTGTGACTCTTGGGTGATGTATCTGGTCGAAGCGCGAATTCGTTAGTTGTGCTGTTTCACCCCCTCCTGCGGTACCATTCAGACCCAACTGCTTACTCTTGTAGAATCTTGCTCTCTGTTGTCTGCGGGTATCCAAAATCCATCATCTCATCAAGCAATTCGTAAATGACAACGAAGTTGTCCCGGATACTCTCCTCCTCCAGCACCTTGAAATATTCGGTGAAGACCTCCACAAGCTTGTGGAGGAAGAGTAGAATTTCGGTGGCATTTGTGTTTCGTTTAGTCAATGCAAGGATATAGAGGTTGCTGTGGCGAATATAAAGGTACTAGACAGAGGCACCCCTGTGTCAGCAGGTGGAAGCGCACACAAAAGGAGGCACTCAGGAGTCAATGTGGCCAGGGCCGAATGCCCAGGACTGGTGGGACGCACGTTGATTCCCTCGTGGGAGAAGCAGGGGGGCACTGCAGAGCTCTCTTCTTCGGCATCACTGAGAAGGATAGGGAATTTCTCGACCGCGGACATAGGAATGTCCCCGCGATAATTGCGGGCTAGAAGGGTCTATAGATGGTCAGCGGGGGCTTATCCCTCGATGCATGAGCGATTGACCCGGCAAGAAGTCACATCACCACAATCTGCATGGTGTTCAATAGCCTACCTTGCCCTTAAGGTCGAGGAAAAAGAGCGCTGACGCCATGACGTGTCAATGGGGGTAAATAAGTGACGGGAGGTGTTGATGATCTGGTCTTTCAGGTCGGAGGTGGGAAGAAATAAGAGAGCCACCTAGTGCGCCTACTGCAGCATTGTCATAGATCTAGTAGTAACAAAAAAAGAAAAAGCAGCGGGTGAGGTGGAAGAAACGAACGATGCAGATCAACGGGTTGTTGGCGATGCCCGCATGTCCAAGGCCGCTCTGGAGATATACGCCAACCCTAATTTGGACTAGCGTATAAAATTCACACATAAAAGCTCTTCGCCCGCACATCTTTTTCTTCTTTCTTCAACGCTCCCAATAGACAGTTCAAGACAGTACAAAGTCCTTGTGATTTTCCACGGTTACTCCGGCATTCTGTCGGAGTGCTATGGTGTTTTAATTACTACCTTGCGATACAGAGGCGCGGAGACTACGATCTTACGAGGGTTCCATAAGAGCTGGCCGAGTACTTTCTCTGTTACTCGGGCGGCGTCAGAGGAACCGTACATTTCTCTATACAAATCAAATCAATTTTTTTTTCACTTCAAAAAATTTTCCAAGTTTTTTCTTCGAAGTCTTATAAACTTAATCCTTCTTCTCATTGAAATTGTATTTGGTAGGTATTGTATAGCGTATAGTGAGACATAAATTGGAGAATATAAAAATAGCTCTGTTAAAAGTACATGTACAATCGTGGTCTCTGATCAGAGTCTCCCCCGAGTCAACCTGCCACAGATGGAAATATCAAACAATATAACGCCCTGAAAATGCTCCGAGAGAGACTAACGCTCCAACTCTCAGACCCTTAAGAGACAGACTTGACTCCAAGGGGGTCAAGTATCCGCTCCCGGGCCAATTTAGTAGCAACAACACCTCCCTTCTCCAGCGAAACAGCACCGATGATAGCGTACATAGTATGCGCGAGAACGAGCTCAAGACCGGAGGCACGGAGATCGTTGGGCTATATCAAAGACATTTGTTAGCTAAGGGTCCTAAACATATGACTAGCATCAAGGCATACCTTTCTCGGGCTCCATCGGAGAACCTTCTGCAGCTCGTACTTGTTGGCAAGCTCAGCAAGCTTCGACCGCTCAGTGAGAATCTTCTTGGTGTCGCCAGACAGATTGTTCAATCCATCCAGAGCCGCGTGAGTGAAGGGCACGCGACCAAACTCGTCAGCCTGTGCTGCGCCTGCGGATGGAGCGCCCTGTGCCAGAGCCAGCGACGCCTGAAGCTGCACAATGCGCTTTCCCAGGAAGGCCAGGCGGTCGTTGAATCCACGACGCCCTTGGTCGAAACTCTTATGCGTCACTGCCAACCACTTGGTCTCATCGGAGAGGAGTTTGTCGCCGCCATTGCCGAACAAGCGGATGTAGAATCGGTCCAGCAGTAATGGGTCTGCATTCACGTGGAAGGTCGGGCGCTTAGAGTCGAGGTGCAGACTGAATGGAGCCTTGGCCGACTCCGGAGTGTAGGACCATCGGGGCTTGGTTTGTTGACTGGGCTCCTCCGAGGGAGAGGTGGCGAAGGTGCGCGATGGGACAAATGCCGCAATTGGGCGAGCGGCAGATTTGGATGCAGCGCAGGCGGTCCTGGCCGCTCGAGATGTAATGTTCAAAGCCATGGCGTCGGTGGTTTGCGAGTCAACTCGGAGTTGATCGAGCGGAAAGCAAAGAATTCGGCCTGGGCGGTGTGATACTGCCGATTCTGCCCCGGGTTAAGTATACCCGTGGACTTTACACTCACTACACACTGTTCCACGACACCAAAACAACCAAAAGCTATAATCAATAAAAAACACTAGTACCCGAGATCTATTAGTGTATTGGTTCCTTGAGAGAACCCTGCTAAACGGCAGGGACGGGGAAACCACAGAAGGAGGTTATAAAACTGTCTTAGACAGTGCTCTTTCATTCCACGGCTCTCTATATCCTGCTCTTCTCTTGATGCTTTCCCCATATTCCCCAGGAACACCACTAATGGATATACCCTCGGGTACAAAAGTAGCAGGCATTTAAACATACTTATCAGTGCTATCAAAGAGCTTTTCAAGATCCTAGGTGGGAATTTTGTCCCAGACATCAGCGCTCTGGTCCATATAATTGGAAAATTCGTTTTGCTTCCTACCACCATCGCTAATTATGGGTTATGATTAGCCCACATTTTGACTGTAAGAGGGCACAAGTGAGGCACTTACAGCCTCGAGGATATCAGGGTTGTGCCAATCACGACTCCACCAGGGAGAATGTCATTTCGCACGCAAAGACACCTTCGAGCTGATGCCACTCATGCCTGTCGTCTTTGCCGTCCAGAGCTCCGCAACTGTCGGACAGGTGTATCCGATGCTGCAGTACATGGTCTCGTCGCTGGATACACCACCCAAGAACAAATCCCGCTAGACCCAACTCCCTATCAGGAGCTTGCCATTAACCAAACGACGACATCATTCCTTCATGATGGCATTGCTAATCGTCTGAACGCCGAAAGCAAATGGGAATTTGCGTGGGCTATAGGGTGGACGAACTGCTCTACATCACACGATGGTACCGATTTAGACGGGTCAAATACAGTCGATGACTACGAGGGCTTCCACAGAAGAACATACTGGTTCTACCACGCATTAACGTTTACTGCTACTAAAGGGGGCCGTCAGTCCAACCTTACCGAACTCAGTATTGGCGACGACTGCAGCACACATCCAGGCTCTTGCCTTCAACGTTACGAAGACTTTGGATGTCCCTGGAGCCCTGGGCGGTGATGGACTCCCATCTCGTGCTCTCCTCGCCAGTCCAGCACTAACCCCTAGTCCTTGCAGGGCCAGCGTGGTGCCTGAAGCTGCCTCTGGTATTTTATCGGCTCTCACCAACTCGGGATGCCGCGCAGAAACCCCTGCCATCAACTGCCCGTCCAAATCTAACGGGGCTGTCGTACATAGCCTGATGCTCGGGCTGCATTGTGGACCGTCGGCTCTGTCTATGCCATATACAATCTTTGCTGGTGATTGGAACTCTCCATGTAGGTAATTTCATTTCCTTGATTGGGATAGATCGAGCTTTGCTTGTGAATATAATTATGTTTTTGGAAACCCGCACCGCTTGACTGGAATAGACATGATCCTACATGTAAACTATAACCTTGCAAAGATGTGTGCCAGTTACAACAGTATAGCATAAAAAATCACCCACTTTTTGTTGCAGCATCAGATCCGAGCCAAGTTTGGCCAGACTTAAAGTAGCTAAGCGACTCTTTCGGCCCTATTTCGGTGGCGCGGTTCCATGGATCGACGGATTTTCATGAGACTCAGACGTTTGAATGCGGGCTTAGGGAAACAGATGATTCTGCTCAGGCGTACCTTATTGAGCAATATGATGGGGCCAATTTCTCAATCACCCAGTGAGATACTTACTTTCGTACACTTGCCTTCGTAAAAGCAACAGTGGGTCTTGTTCCTTGTAGGTCGGACGGGGGCCTTGGCAATGCCAATGGGAAAGCCCTATGTCTTACTCCGTAGACGCCTCCCCATTTACGATATTGTAGAGACAAGAATTTAGCGCCTCGGATACCTTTTGCGGAAACTTGGAGTTACATCGGCTTTGTTAGAGTTCAATGAAGCCATGGTTCTCGCAACTACGTTTAATATAGCAGAGGTATCATTATAGTATAGTAGTGCGGAGTACACCTGTATGCCCATGCCCAATCACTTTGTAGTAGCGAATGTTAGCGGGGGGAAAGAATTACGCATTAGGAAATCAATAACAGCTCGAGAGCGACCTAGGTAGCCGAGATAGCTTATTCGTTGTCAAATCTTAGGGAAAGGAGCCGATACGACTTCACAGCGAGATCTGCCTCAGAATAAGTGGATACTATTACAGCTAATCTCAGCCCGAACGATTCTTTTGCGTCGGATCGGGCAGCATCTCCGACGAAATATAAGCGGTAGTGTGTCCCGCTAAAGGCCAATACGTAGTGGTCGGTGGGGACAGCAAAGCAAGAAAGGGCAAGATAGAGGGGATTGAGGAAGGAGAGAAAGAGAATAGTATAACGATAAGGGTGAGATTGGATCTTTTAAGTCGTATTGAAAGGAGGTTTATGTGACAGTGTACTGGTATGATAACTCCAAAATTGCACAACTAACTCGAATGGGCAATTCACAGGTCCGTTGTTTATATCGGACATTGCACGTTCACACTGGGTTTAGTGTATTATAAGTTCAAATCTCACAAAAGAAATTGGAGACTCAGATCTCTTCAATTTCTATTCTGACGGTTTGACACGAAGTTAACCAACCTGAAGGCCGGGAGCATCCGGGACCTTCACCGCTGCTGTGTGGTATCTTTTGCTCGAATGCTTGACTTGTAATGCGTCGGATCCGAAGCAGCTAATATGGATTCCGGCCGTGTGAGCCTATCATAAGCTAGCAGTGCTGTGGTGATTGGAAGCGGAACATACACAATTCTCCAAGTCTGCCATGACTTGATGCATGGACGTCAAACGACGTGTGACCCATATTAATGAACAATCTTGCAACCACTTCGATGTGTATTGCTTTTCAGCGGTCAAGCTACTCATCTCTCTCGATGCTTTGACATACATCTTACCGATGTTTGCAGGTTCAGCTCCACTTCCAGCAAATATAGGCTTCCCTTGGACTCGAGCAGGGTCTGTTTTGACACATGATATGCATTTGCCTTGGCTGCAAATGACCAACAGTTTGAACCCATGCTTTCTGCATGATTCCACCCTCGAATCCGAGGGTTCAAATAAGTATAGGTGGTCTTGCAGATCTGCCCACTCCTTTGTCCAGCAACATCCTTCCCTGGATGTGATTCCCATTACATGAACCAACAGGAGATTTGTGCTCACTTACTCTATAGGCTATAGGTCAGATATTTCTGTTAGGTAACATTCCCGAGCTATGTGACTGGCTACATGACGGTGCAAGCAGCAGCGCAACAGACCCTGGGCGCGGCCCAAGTATCAGGACACAAGTCCCTAACCGCTGCAGAGGAACGATGGGAATGTCGAAAAAGAACATAACAGAACCACAAGGAACAATTCCAGATGTCCAAGCAACCTTTCAAGGGAAGCTTCGGCAGTCTTCTCGGAATGCAGCCGTTCCGCAAAGCCTGCCGGGTATGCAGAGGCCATAGCTCAATAGCTATCTGGAGCATGGGGCGGTGTCTTTGAGACGGCTTGATGCGGATATTCGCAGCTGGAAATCTCGGCTGAGACACATCTGGTTGGCTCGAACGGCCTATACCTTCATGGACTGCAGAATAACGGCTTTGCTGTATCAGTGTACTCCATACCTCGCCCCCTGAATTGGGCAATGGACTGTTTTGTACCGAGGGGCAAATCTTGATCCACGTGTATTGGTATTCGGTCTTATTTGCCTGTGCTCCCCAGGTAGCTTCAGGTAGCTTTCCTTTCATGCTGCCTCTTGGGACAGTTGGAAGCTTCCACAGCTTGCATATGTATACATAAGTACATTTTTCTCTCGACCAAGCAAGTTCACAACCTACAATAGTCATTGTAGACCTCCTAGACAAAAAGGCTAGGACATATGAGAAACACGGGGAATGAAGGGTCTTTGATCAAACTCGAAGGACGCAATAACACGAACTACGTAACTAGTTGTTGATGTTTGACAGCCTCGATGCCCAGGTATACTTGCTAAACCAACACACGGCTGTTCAACCCAAACAATATTTAGTAAACAACATCGGATAAGTGGCCAACGGTAAATCATCTAGAACAAACCCAGTGAAACAAAATTCTTCAAAAAGCTGCAAGTAGCCGAAGGCTCTCAGACCGCTGGTGAAACTCCTCTATCTGCAGCCTTCTTTGGGGCTACTGGTCCGGGAGACGAGGATCTATACCCGTCTATTGCGGACACTAACACTTTCCGTTTTCTTTTTCTGGGGGAAACAATAGGTCCGTAAAGTGGATATGTTTCCTAATTCCTGACCGATGCTTGCTTCCGGAAAAGCAAAGAGAAAAATCTAAACTGATACTCACAACAGCGGGTGTGACCCTATACGGGTCCATTAACGGTTTATACATCAAGTCTTCAAACGGGCCCTTGCAGAAGCTGCCGAGATATTGCCAGATCTCCACGGATAGAATCCCCAAAGTTCACGGATAGCAACGGGAATGGCTTTCGCCAAACGGCTTCTTGTCCTGGTTCTTGATTGGGATGTTCGACAGGATAGCGGTGTACGACTTGATGTGTGTCTTCGCCCCCAGTCGATTTGAGCTCTGGAATCACTTAAATAGACATGATTGACCTGTCTCGGATTCGGATCTGTATCCTTGAATAGCACCAGAGAGATCTTTGCCTTGAGTCTCTTCGCCTGTCTGTCGTTGATATCCATACTTCTTTTCTTCTATCAACCCTCAGTCTTAGGCTTCATTTTATTATAACCATTCTCGCTTCGTGTCTTTTGGATATTCAAATGGCTTCCAATTTTTCATTTACCTACGGCTTCCAAGCTACTCCATCGCCAGATCAGGCGTTTTACATCTTCGGTGGAGGCATACCAACTTGTGACCATTCGGTGCAAGATCCTCCCTCACCACGGCCATTCCCACCCAATCCACCTCCTAGTCCCGCTTGAATGGACGTTCGTTGATTTCTCTTTGTTTGGCGTTGAGGGGACAAAGCACAATAGGTAAGTGTTACCTGTGTTGCCAGCCCAAGTGGCTCGACCTACCAGATATATATATCAAGGTCACAACATGAGTACATAGTTTAAGTTCTAATCCGGGTTGCAGATCATACTCCAAGGCATTTCAACTACGGTCTTTACGAGGGAAATATTGCAATTTATGGGCGACTGGGAGATCATAATGTGATATGTATCGTTGTCAATCCAATACCAAAAGCTTGCGGATGGGAAAATGATGGAGTCATTGATCCGATGCCCAAGGTAGATGAATGGGAATGGAAAGGCCCTGTGTCAAAGTGAACCGGGACTCCGAGGGATGGTATACTCGAGGTGCTTTTCATTCACATGTCCATGGGGTCGGTCAAGGTAGCCTAATGATGCAATTGAATTACATATACCAACTGATGCCAGCTGTATTTGCACAATACCTAGAGCCATCTAGAGGTAGAACGAACCTCTGAAGCTCCCACGCTTACAGGAATATAGCGCGGTCGTCATTTTCAGATCGAACACACATGTTCCCGAGGTCCCAAAAATAACGCAGTCCATTGAGGATAAAACAGATGAACAAAAATAAGAACCAGCGCCTTTTGAGCTTGCCAAAAAAGCTTGCGCCAATTGACCAGATTCGTCTATTTTGAGAAAAATCACTTTAATAACACATAAGGAAATTCGGAGGTATGAGGTATGGAAACATTTAAATCAAAGCAAGGCCGACAGCACTGGCAACGCTGAGACCGATAACAGCCCAGCCGGTCTTGATGATGACGGGGTTGGTGAGGCCACGGCCGGTATCCCACATCAAGTGGCGGATGCCGTTGAAGGAGTGGTAGGTGAAAGGAAGGGCCAGGGTGGTCTTGAGGAGAACCTTAGCGGCGATGGGGAGGGCAGCCATGGCAGCAACCATGGAGGCCGACTCGACGTGCCAACCGAGAACGGGGGAGGCAAGGTAGGCAGTAGCCCAGAGGTAGACGGAGCCGGAGAGAGCAACACCGCTGATACGGTGCAGGGAACTGCCGATCCAGCCGATCTGGGGCTTGTAGATAGAAAGGTGAGGGGCGACGGGGCGGGCAAGACGCTGCTTGATGAGGATCTTGTCGGCCTGGTGAGCGTCGGGAGCGTCGGGGGCCGAAGCGACTTGTCTATAGATCACAATCCCCTGGTTAATACGGATTCGGGCGAATGTGGATGACGTAGGATATCATAGAAGGCATTCCGATTGAGGGCGCGCGAAACCATTGCCAAATATCGTTTCTATTGCTGGATCACTAACCTCGTCTGCATATTCTTGCCGAGGGAAACAGCGACAGGGGAAGCGCCCATCATGGACGACCGCATAGCAAGCGGCTGCTGGACGGCAACTGTTCAGGGAAAACGTTAGACCCCGAACCCGACATGAAACTTGGGATTGAACATACGCCGACGCAGCGACTGCTGGGCAACCTTCTGGGAGAACATTGTGATTGAGTTGAGATTGGTCTGTATGATCAGGATACCTGGATAAGAAATCCCAATTGCCTCGCGAGCGATCGGAATCAACGGACGACCTCGGGTACGGCAGTCTTCAGTCACGGGATTGGCACCCGGGTATGGGCGGTCACCAATCACATCATCGCTATTACCATCCGGAGTATAGATCTTCCGCAAACTAATCAGTCATGTGACCCCTTCGCCTGTTTTCCCACTTTCTTCCGTCCGCGGTTTCCTTTCCTTTTCTCTTCTTCAAGAGTCTCCGCTCACGTCGTCTACTGGCCTTGGCTGGGATGATGTCGTCGTGTTTAGCTTTCCCTCACTGACTGCGGCTTTCTGTCGTGGACGCCGAGGGATCTAGAGGCTCTCAGAAGGAGAGTCCCGTCGTTAATCGCCCGTTCCACTCTAACTATGAGGGGGAGGGGTTTCATATTCAGGGTTACATGCTATGTATATCACATCTCTTGATGTTCGTAGATTTGTCACGTCATATGGTCAAATTGCACAGTCCACAGTGATTCAAATAGTCATTGGCGGCTGTGTACCGGTAGCTGCTTGGGTTCTGGAGAACTGCCCAACTGAGGCATTCATGTTTGCATAGTTGCGGTCTTGACGGCTTAAAGGATAGATCTACCTACATACCTACGTGCAGACAGTACGAAGTACAAGGCACTGGTTTTATCTTTGATCCTTGACACCTGCAAATGGCCATCTGATGCCCGCAAAGTCACAAGTTCCTATCACATGCCCAGGAACACAGGACCTCAAAGCATTTGAGCACTTCTTATAAACTGACATTTGGTTCTGATTTCTAACCTCTGAATTATCCATAAGCTGCAGCATAGGGAGCTACGTCAGAAACGGCTGTTTGTCCTAGAACACCAACCTAGGTATGTCTACGGAGTACTCCGTACTCCGTATGTAATCCTTAAAGCGTGCAACCTCGGCATCTCGGACCCTTCCCCACAATAGCAGTCCGTGGTTGTCACATCGGTTTATTATTTGGTCTTTCGCATTCACTTTTGAGACTCGATTATATCTCTAATACTATACTCAAGCAATCAAGGAAACTACCAGACTTATGTCAGTATCCATTCCCTTTGTGATTGCTCTCTTGCACCGTTGAATGTCGTTGTTCCTGATTACTGACTCCGCAATCAGCAGATTAGATACCCCAACTCCTCCGCTTCAAGATGCCTTTCAACACAGCCTTGACGCGAAAGCTCGGTATTCGAGGTTCGTTCCGAAATCTCCTTTCCACAAATATTTCCAGCTGTTGACTGTATGTCTAGTGCCCATTGTGCAGGGTGGTATGCAATGGGTTGGATACGCTGAGCTGGCCTCGGCTGTTAGCAACGCAGGCGGACTTGGACTTGTACGTCTAATACATCCCCACAAACAAGTCAAGCATATTACAGTATCTGACGCAAAAGAATCTAGCTCACTGCTCTCACCCAACCCACCCCTGAAGACCTCCGCAAAGAAATCCGCAGATGCCGCACCATGACCACGTACCCCTTCGGTGTGAACCTGACCCTCCTCCCCGCCATTGTTCCCCCCGACTACGCCGCATACGCCCAAGTCATCATTGACGAAGGAGTCAAGATCGTCGAGACTGCTGGCAACAACCCAGGCCCTGTGATCACCCAGCTGAAGAAGGCCGGCATCATCATCCTGCACAAGTGCACGACCATCCGCCATGCCAAGTCCGCCGTCAAGCTCGGCGTCGACTTCCTCTCCATCGACGGATTTGAATGTGCCGGTCACGTCGGTGAGCACGATATCACCAACTTTATCCTCCTGAGCCGTGCGCGTCAGGAACTCGGTGTGCCATTCATCGCCTCCGGTGGATTCGCCGATGGCCAGGGTCTGGCCGCTGCACTGGCACTTGGTGCTGAAGGTATCAACATGGGTACCCGATTCATGAGCACTGTTGAAGCTCCCATTCACCAGAAAGTTAAGGAGGCCATCGTCAAGGCTCAGGAGACTGATACTGCCCTTGTACTGCGTCGGTGGAAGAACACTTCCCGTTTGTTCTCTAATAAGGTGGCCCAGGATGCCCTCAAGGTTGAGCGGGAGAGCAAGACTGGCGACTTCAGCGAGATTGGACCCTATGTCAGCGGCAAGCGTGGTCGTGAGGTCTTCATTAATGGTGACGTTGATTTCGGCGTAAGTTCACTTCTAAATCTGTCTTTGATATGCCAGGTTGCTGACTATTTTTTTCGTACAGGTTTGGACTGCCGGTCAGGTTATTGGCTTGATTCATGACATCCCAACATGTGAGGTTCTGCTCGCCCGAATTGAGAAGGAGGCACTGGAGGCAATGAACCGCACCAGGTCTCTGTACAGCGATGCCCCTTCCAGCAAGCTTTGAAAGAGTGTTCCACTTTATCATACAGATGTTCATGCCCTGCATGTCTAGCTTCTTGTTTGGAAAGATCTAATAGAACCAAGTATTTGTGATTTTATTTTTGAACTTTGTGCCATACAACATTCATTTATGAATATCAACCCCAGGGTCTCCTCCCTGTGTCTCTTGTTCAAGATTACTACAGACGCCATTCCATGTAACGAGCGCTCTTAAGTGCCCAACCACAGAGGCTGGGTCAACAGTCAATAATAAGCATTCCCGAGCGCAGGTCCGTGAGAGCGCAAGGATCTGCAGGCATGTAGATCTTCAGATATTCGACGAGGAATCCTTCCAATTCTCCGTCACGATGGTTCCAATCTCCCAATTGAATACTTCGAAGATGATCGGTCTAGATTCTAGTTATACTCTAACAGGAACGTTCTCATGATCGAAAAGAAAACTCCAATTATGGCTTTCGCTTTGGCGCCCAAGCCCTAGGTACCCAGCTCCCATGCAGAGGCAAATGGAGACATCCTTGCATGGGACCCTCTGCGGAATTTCCAAGGAAACAAGCTCTTCCGGGTCTAGCCATTGGGCTTGTTTCAGTCGCAGCGCTGAGTGCTTTTCTAGGTGATTACCATTTTCTGTTTCGCGGCCTCTGCCACATGAGATCAATAGCCGCGATTGGCCTATCCCCGGGTCAACCCTTACCACCGACCTATACATTGATGCTAATATGCTTCCATGCAGGTGCCATTGCATAGCTGTCGAGATGAGGGAACTATCCATCAGAAAGTAGCTTATATTTATGCTGTAGCTTAATATACCCCTTCACAAGTCAAGTAGACGAACACATCCTCTCGTTGCACCACCACGTAACCAGCACAACCCCATAACCAAGATCAAGATAGCAACATACCTCGTCCAACGTATCTCCAGTCTAGAACCGAACGCCGAGTTTTCCATTTTTCCATTTCTCTCTCTCGTTCTGTTTTCCAGAATCGTTGCTATTCTACGAAATACTCCAAACTCCTCCATCATTCTCCCAGCCATTGCCAATCTCCATTCGCAATTCACACACACCACACCCGGTCCCATACGTCTCTACGCTCCACGAAGTTCCAAAATGGGCCTCATATCCACAATGACTCGCCGCGTGCGCAATAACCGTCTCTCGAGAAGACTGTCAACAACAAGCACCAAGCTGCACGACGAAGACGCAAATGATCTCATCAAAACACTCTCTGGAACTTCCAGGGTCCCGAGCATGGATTCTACATCGACTATCGTTTACCAAAACCCTGTCGTGCCGTCTGAGTCGCCGGCGAATCGGGGACTGATCAAAACAAAGGATATGCACGTTGGGAGTCTGTTTGACCAGGAAATGGCTTCTCGATCGGCGGATCGTGCGGCCAGGGCGCTTGCTGGGCAGGAGTATCCGGTCCTCAGGCTGGATATGTGTCAGTCGGCTGAGCCGAGGCGGGCTTTGCAGGAGCCGTTGGAGATGGGTGGCATGGGGAAGAGGAGAAGTCGAGGATGGAAGGAGGATTATGGGAATGGGGGGCTCTGGGTGCTCATCGGGGATTGAAAAGGGGTTTTTGGCTACGGAGGAGAGTGTGAAGGAGAAGAAAAAGAGGTCTGTGGGTGGGTTGTTGAAGAGGCATTGTTCGCTTTCGTTGAAGAAGAGGCGGGGTCGCACTTTGGTGAAGGGGTTGGGTTCTGCTGGTGGGGAGGGGGAGGGTTTGGTGGATGTGAAGAGTGAAAAGTTGGAGGCACATTTGAAAAGGAGGAATAGCTTATGGAGTGGGTTTGGGAAATCATGGTAGAAGGTTGTCTCGGGAGAGTGTAGTCTGAGTTCATATGTACATGTTTGAAGGGCTTTGAAAATGTCACATCTAATTGAGCGTCAATTGGGCGATGAGATTACCACGAGGGTTGAAACAAGGGATTCTAGATTAAGTGGCAGAAATTGAGGCGAAAACTCAGGGCAAGGATCTCCGATGCATTTGGTTACCAGATGGGATGTTGAGTGGTGGAATTGAGAAAGAGAACAAGAGGAGGATCGAGTGGTGTTCCAAGCAGCTATTGAGGGGGCTGTTAGAAATGGCACAGGAACAAGTGGGGAGGCAGATACTGAGAAGGAGTACGATCTACAATTTGAAAAAGGTTTCAAGATGCGAGCCAATTTGATTCATGAGTGATATGCGTAAGAAATCCGGATCGAGGCAGCAGCTCGAGGGCGGACATGCAAAGAGCAAAAGCACCATGCTAGAATTATCAAAACAAAACATTATTCTTCTTCTCCGAGGGATCCACCCGACACAAGGAAGGACACAGATAGGAACAAACAAAGAAGCTAACTAGTCAATCAGAAGAATCAAGGAGGCTCAGCCTGAAGGCCATTCCAGAAACCCATAACAGTCCAAATAACCAATCATGTTGAGCCCGGCGGAACCAAGGACCCGAGGACCAACATGAGCATCAGTGTTTCTTGCGTGAAGCGAGGAAAGGTAGCGAGACGCTTAGATGATGGAGCCAAGGGCAACGCAGGGGAGAGCGAGACCAACGAGGTCGGAGTTCTATGAGATATGTTAGTATGAGCGTAATCTTGAAGCTCGATGTGGGGATACTCACGGCGCTGGAAGGAGAGTTCTGGCAACAGGCGATGTTCTGCTTGCACTTCTGGTTGATGAGATCCTGGATGGGGATACCAATGATGGGGATCTGGAGGTCGAGCTTGGAGCACTGGTCGAAGAGACCAAGGCCGCTGGCACCGGAACCAGAACCGATGAGGTTGCTGAGGGTGCCGCCCAGAATGCCAGAGTTGATATCAGTGGTGTCACCGGCGTAGGTGGCCTTGTTGCAGCAGGAGAGCTGAGCCTGGTCACCGCACTTGGCCTGAGCCTGCTTGACGGTCATGTTGTCAGGAACAGGGAACTTGACGTGGGTGTTTCCCTTGTTGCCGACACCATTGCCGCTTCCAACGCCACCGGCGGAAGGAGGAAGAGCAGAGACAGTGGCAGCGAGGCCGAGGACAATAGCGGAGAGAGTGAACTGCATAGTGACGGTGGGTTTGGATTTGAATGAGAGAAAACTCGGAGTAGAAGATAGAAAGAGAGTGAAAGAGTGAATGAGAGAATGTGATGCTGATGGAGAAGAAACAAATGGAGGGCGATGAATGACCTCGCCTTTATAGATTTCCTTGAAGGTCTGTGAGTTGCCTTGACTCCATAGTCCAAGGTCAACTTGCTTCCCTTGCTAAAACCGAGTCATCTCCCGTATGCCCCCGGAATGCAACTGGGAAGGAAGGGGACAGGAAGATGACTCCACTCTGTAGGGCTTGTCGACCAACAAGTGGCCCCTGTGGATGCTGCTGGTATGGATCGGCTCCATCGCAGGTCCTCACTTCGTGTGCCTGAAAGCTGCCCTGGCATTCCTTCACCCTGTCTCATCTGCTCAACCGGGCCCAGACTGGTCCAGTGCCTGCAATTCGATCACTGTCACATTTGTTGATCAATTTCCCATGCAAGAGACCGAGTATGACCCAGTACTATGCTACAAGGTAGAGCTCACGATCATCCCCATACCAGCGCAAGTCAACTCAAGCTCGAGTGGGTCACAGGATCCTCGAGGCTCTAATTTCCCAGCCACACAGGGACTCTCTCCCCTTCCACCTTGTTTGTACACGGGCACTAAAGCATGTTACGCGCTATTCATGGCACTACTATTGCGTAGAGCCTAACGGTTCTCCCTTAGTGGTCGGTTCCCTCTAAGATGGGGGTCATCTGCAAGGGCGTCTGTACCTCGGCCCTAACCCCGACCCCGTAGGGAGAATTAAAACACTCCTTCATTGTTTTGAGAGTACCAAAACTGCTGGAAAAGAGACATCGGAGTGCTTCAAGCATGGTTCTCGTGAAGTCTCCGACTGGAGAAAGGTCCTATTCTCCGAAAATGAGGTTACACCTTCACCCCCTGCCGGCATCCCACGAAACCCTTGTTTGCGAGATTTATGCCTCTATTTTCTCCCCACGCATTAGCCAAGCAATTTACCCCTTCCAAAGTCGGTCTATGCGTTATTACATGCAGACCGTACTACTCGACCCTGCACGATGCAGTTTTAGCTCAGTAGGGACTCTCACCGCGCATCGTCGCAGTTTCGCATAATTTAGACGATGGCCGGGAACCCGCTATATGCATTCGACACACGTCGTATTATTACTGCAAAGAAAAAGTTATGCTACTAGATGCTCTCCAGAACGTCACTTGAATCCGATAATTACAGTTTACACTGTAGTGCTGGCCTTTGGGCTCTGTCTACACAATTTGGGTTCCTAGAATATGAAGAACGGAATGGAAAATACCACCTGATACTCTTACACTTTTTCTCTCGACTGATATGGGTATGGGTATCGAATTGATGAGGAAGTGCGTCATTCCGGCATAGTTAATAGCTGTGATTAGGTACCCTGGCGGTTGTTTAGTGATGACTCTGGAATAGAGAGGTGCGAGAAATGAAAAAGATTGAATCATCTCTATTTACCGTAGCATACGTAAGGTTCTATGTCATATAGACTGGAACTACGGCCCTCCTTCGTGTACTATCTGACAACCCTACCGATGGGGGTAGGTTGTTCTACGTCTCTTAGTCTCAACCTTTGAAAACATAAACGATTATTCAATATTCATAGTATGAGATTATCTATATATTACTTATATGCGTACTATAAAAATGTGAGTCGTGTTTAGTCTATTATTTTCAGTTGTTAGGAGGGGTGTTCGTGATATACATAGTGCAATTACACCGAGATATATCTTCGAATGAACACCACAAATTTGTTTTCGATCTACCTCAATTTCCACTCACCATGTATTGGGATCCTTATAATTTAAAGGCACTTAAGATTATTCTAATACAGTATACAATCTCATTCCAACTAATCCCTGCCTAGGTACCATATTCAACGGATGGCGTTTAGCTACTTCGTCTTGGGAGATGAATCTTCCCAAAAGGAAGTTCAACTGTTGTTTACCTGAGGCTGCATGGCGAAGATCAATTACCAGTTTAGAAGAGTACCCATGAGTCCGCGAGGTCATACGGAGTACTCCGTATAGCAAGGAGACCTGTGCGGCCCATGAGGTGCCCCCTTGCACACATGCCTCCTGCCAGTCTCTGGATCTATATGAAACCAGGCGGTTGGAAACAGCCACAGAATCCTTATCTTACAGACGATGTCTATTGGAGTTCCCTAAGTGACCCTTATAGCGCAGGTAGCGTAGATGGTAACTTGGGGGTTCCCTCCGAGTGACAGTCTTTGGAATTCGTTGTTTCTAAACAGCAGAAAAAACCAAGCAATACCGATATTTTATCATTACTCTTACTCTACTGTATGTTAGTATACCGAGTAGTAACCAGTTCAATGAAAAATATTCTGAATGAATCCATATAAGCTCATGCTGCCCGTATCGAAAAATTAAGATTGGAGGCTGCATATGCGAGATGGAGCCACCTACACCAGCAAAGCGACGATCTTCGAGGTCTACAAGGCAAAGACCCCCCACTGCGAGGCAATGTAACGCTTGATGTCGACTCACATCAGATCTGAGGAACCAGTAACAGCAAATCCAAAACCGAGGCATCCCGATGGCGGGCATTACATCTGCGTGTGCTGCATACCGAAGAAACAAGAGATGACGCAACCGATTCGGCTCAGACAATTTGGATTTCCGAGTGACAATACGGTATGACCTAAAGGTATTCTGTGAGAATCAGAAAGATGAGAGTAACGAGCGTGGTAAATTGGGGTGGCAGGACTCACCCCCTGCATTTGATGCATCTGACGCGAAAAGGGGTCGTTTTGGCCAATTTCAGATTGTACAACTCGCGATATCTTACACAATGACTTCTGTCAGTGTCGCTGCACATGGCATGGCTGTGCCAAACAGACCACACGCGGTCTCGGTGCACATTCATACTTGGAAAGAAGTTTGTACTATGGCTCTTGGCGATACTGAGGCTATCAAGGCATTGGAAAATGGGTATCCGCGATCTTACATCCACAAGAGTATTCAAGTTGTATGGACTCCAAGTGTGGCGCTATATGGACTCGATTAACCTATCCCATAGCTTGCTGAAGCGCTTCGGAGAGATTTATCACTCCCCGGAGACAAGTTGATGCTCTTCTCCAACCTTGATGCTGCTCGTGCGTGTAAAGAGTACATGATCTCCACAGCCATACATGGCTCACAGGCTGGGTCCTTGGATAGCATCTCACTGCATACTATGGAATTTGACACAGCTGCTCTTCCGAAGAAAACTCCGCCGCTGCCACAAATCCATGCAGTGGTATATCCATCTAAGCTATCGGGTGTGGCTACCCTGTTTTGGAGACTGACGGGAACGGGGATTTCTTCGCGACAAGCAGATCGCTGTCTGCAGGCCCTTGATTGCATGCGCCAAGGCAATGGAAACACGCAGTATAATCCAACAATCTCTCATCCAATCTATGGGATTATACGCGCGCGCATTGCCACTTTGATTGAGCGCGCCCCTATCTCCCGCCGAGGGCCGTCCAAGATTTTGCCAAGCGATGTCTATCTATATCCCTCGGGCATGTCTGCCATCTATCATGCCCATCATCTGCTACTTAAATGGCGTGGAGCAGAAAGTGTGGTTGTGGGATTCACATACGAGCTGACAGTCAAAACCATGCAGGCTTTCGGACCATCGTATCGATTTTTCAGTGTCGGCACTGAGGCCGAGATCGATGAGCTTGAGATCTACGTTGAGGATCGATATCATCAAGGAATCAAGATTCAGGCCATCTGGTGCGAATGCCCATCAAACCCTCTACTCCGGACTGTCAACATGGAGCGACTGAGGAGGCTGGCCGACAAGTATGACTTTGTAGTTGTTGTAGATGATACTATCGGGAATTTTGCCAACGTGGATGTTCTCGATGTCGCGGATGTTGTGATCACGTCGCTCACCAAAGCATTTAATGGATTCGCTGATGTTCTCGCTGGCAGGTAAGAGACCCAGTTGATAAACTGCAAATGTTCAACTCGTTTCGCACTGATATGCTGATCTTCTAACAGCATGATCCTGAACCCAAATTCCCAATACTACTGCGACCTCCAGCATATCATCAATGCCACTTACACAAATAACCTCCACCTCGATGATGCCCTCCAACTCGAGCAAAACAGCCGCACCTTCCTCCAACGTGCCGCCCGCATGAATGAAACAGCCAACTACCTCGTGGACCATCTTTCTCCGTATGTATCAACACCAGCGAGCATAGTAAGTAAAATCTATTACCCGAAATTGTGCTGGTCCGCAGCAAACTACCATGCACGGATGCGGCCCGCCACAGAGGAGTTTACCCCTGGGTATGGCGGTATGTTCACCATCGAGTTCGACACCGTCCAGTCGGCAACGAGGTTCTTCGATATGCTCAAGCTCCACAAGGGGCCGTCGACTGGTGCGGATGTCACGCTGGCCCTACCGTATGTGCAGATGGTGTTTCAAAAAGAGAAAGAGTGGGCTGCGTGCCATGGTGTTAAAGAGACCATTGTGCGGATCTCGGTGGGACTAGAGGATAAAGAAGAGTTATTGAGCTGTTTGGTCAGCGCGTTGGAGGCTGCTAACAAGACTTCAAGTCGACTTTGAATTCCTTCATTGGCTGGACTTTTCTTTGCGGCATGGTTTGATTTGCATTGCGTGGTTGGAATTAACTTGCTTTTGTACATTCACTTTGCTATGAGACCTTAAGTACCTGTAACTACAAGTTCCGCATATTCCAATATCTCCTCCTTCGAGTGAGGTACGTCGTGCATCGTGCATCTGTATCGGATGTGCGGATGGTGACTCGGACCCCTGTTGATAAACTAGCTATAGATGAGATCTTATTGTCGCAAGTTACTATGGGAGAGGAAAAGAAAACCATTTGAATTTCATTCGTCCCCAGAGAAAGTGTGTCGGTTCTTTTGATTCTGGGATCGAGTCTGGTCTAAATACGGTGGAATTCGGCATCTTTCACATCTCAAGCAACTTCGCAAGCCCTCCATCTTCCATCCAACTACAAATATATCTTGAGAATCAAAGTGGAAAGAAAGATCAAAGACTTATATCTCAACGTAAGAGTTTGCAAACGCACCTGCGCTTCTTATGTAGGCAAACCATCGCCGAGGAGGCTAGGTTTGTTGGATACTTTGGAGACTCATGGCTGGAAGCAGGTACGAGTCTCTTTATTGATCTCATTTGGCAGGGGGTTTACCTTGAACGGTGATGATACACCACTAGCCTCATAGCTATAAATTATAAGATCATCTTGTTTGCAGATTTTGAAATTGAATAGACGAAATTCATTTCAACGGGTGTTTATAAAACGCTATTGTCGCACATATAGCAGCGCAGTTCAGGCGGAGGCAGAGTCTTGCAAGGATTTTAGAGATGTGTATGTTAGGTAGTTTCCAAGCTTACTTCGAAGGCTACGAATTATCACAGTTGTAACAAATCATGGATATATTCATTCTCTGAAAGTACGTATTAATGGTATACTTTAAATTCAATTGGCATTTGACCGCATGCAATGAATGCGATAGCACGACAATCATCCGAAATGAAACAAAATTCGTGTTCTCAGAAAAGAAGAAAAGAGATTATTAGACCAAAAAGGCTAGAAGGGCAACACCAAATGCCCAGAAGGTACTCAAGGGCAGTGTCGATCCAGAATTGGCATGGACGACAGTCTCACTGGGCTCGGGAATATTAGGCCAGGACACAGTTGGCTCCTTGACAGTTGTCTTGGGGACCATCGGTGTCGCAACAGGCGCAGTGTGAGTTCGACAGCTAGTAGTCATTGATGACGATGAGACGCGAACACTCTGGCTGCTGTAAGACGGGGTTTTGGTCGGAGTAACAAGAACCAGGCCGACGCTGGTTGTAGAGGAACATGTGACCGTGCTGAAGGCAACCTGAGGGACTGTTGCCGTGTGGGAGGACCAAGTGATGGTTGTGCAGGGAGTCGAGGGGGGCTGGGTAGGCACATGGGTAGGCACATGAACAGGCACGCTGGATGGACGTGTAGCGTGGGTGATCAGACCCCAAGAAGTGGTTGCTGGAACGTGGACCAAGGGAGTGGTAGTCGGGACGATTTCAACAATCTCAGGGTTCTTGGGAACGTAGGGGGCACAAATTCCGGCAAAGTAGGCAAGTGAAGAGTCCTCTTCTTCCTTCGAGCGGCTCCAGGCATGGATACAGGAGCTGACTTTGCTGGTAAACTCGGACGATGGGCAGAAGCACCCGGCATCGCTGTTGGAGTCACACTTCGGAGTAGAGAGCCATGTGTTGATGCACTTGGGCACCACATCAGGGCAAGGGGCAGTAATGAGTGGTGGGCTTGGAGTGGTAGAGGTTGGCACCACGACATTGGAAGAGCAGACAGTGGTTGACACCGCGTGGGTAGAAGTAACCACCACGGTGGAATGAGCAGGGCATTCAGTGACGGTAGGTGCGCATTTCGTGACGGTGATCTCCTCTGTAACCCAAATTGTGGAAGTCTCCAGCTTCGGGGTATAGACACTAGTCATAGGGATTCTAGCGGTGGACCAAAAGGAGGAAGTCTCCGGTCTCTTGGTCCAAGCAGTAGTCTGAGGGATCTTAGTGCTGGACCAAACGGAGGAAGTCTCCGGTCGCTTGGTCCAGGCAGTAGTCTGAGGGATCTTAGTGCTGGACCAAACGGAGGAAGTCTCCGGTCGCTTGGTCCAGGGAGTAGTCTCAGGAATCTTAGCGGTGATCATAATTGTCGAAGTTGACGGTTCGTTGTGGTAATGGGTTGACGAAGAGACCATCTCTTCAACGGACGAAGGCTTGTGCACATGAGGACGGGAGGTAGTCGAGCTAGGGCTAGGCTCTGGATGAGAGTGAGAGTGAGGTGGCTCGTCCACGGGGGGACCAGGAGGCTTGGTTCCAGTGGAGCAGTCGAAGTCGATCTGATGAATTTCTAGATCACAGTCGCCGAACTTGCTTGCTTCGGGAAGAGTAAACTCGACTGAGGTTGCACCACCACACTGGTCGTTGCCAATATCGGTGCCTCTGAATGAGCTCGACGCCACATGGTGGCAAGTCGAACCATCTGGCATCTCATAAATGATGAAGACATCCGTGCTGCGGGAAGTTGAAAGATGAAAATTCCGGATTGAGAACGGAGCATCGGCGGCGGAGATCTTGAGCTTCCAGTTATCTGCGCGAGAAAGTCTTCCTCCGATACAGTTGCCCTTTTCAAAAGTCAGAGTGGAAAGATTGAACATGCATGATAGCCCCTTACCTGGTATCCAGATGCCCGGCAGTTATTTTTAGGCGCAAGCCCGACGAATTCGAAACCCTCGAAGCTCCAGTTGTCTCCGTTGCCCAGCTCAGACAAGTCAAACTCGCCCGGCTCAGACCATCCAAAGCCAGACTCCTGAGCCTCGGTGCACTGGTTGTCGGTGTTTTCTGGACTAGTATAACAGACATCGGTACCCCACCACTAAAATCTCAGTCAGGATCATAGTTCTAATTTTCAATAGCAAGGAAGTACTCACCAGGCCCGCTGGATGGGCGAGTGCAGTTGCACTTAAGAGCGAAAGGAGGGCGACTCCCTTCATGATAGGCAAATTTGCGATGATCAATGAAAGACAGCAATTTTAGGATTGAAAGGAACGAATGACGCTTGAAAAAAAGCGTGGGTTGAAGGGAATACAAGAAAAAGAGAAGGTTGGCGATGAGGCGAAAGGGCGAATTTGTCGACTGAATGATTGATGATCGAGAAACAGAGACCGGATGAGGACCCTTTTAACCTCAATTGAAACTATACAAGGGATCGCCATGCTCGGAAGATTTGCCGTCAGGCCAAGCTTTACCAAAAACAAATAAGATGGAAGAAAAAGGAATGTCCACTCAACAATGCCTATACTTGAGAATTTGCAATTAAACCAATGGTAAGGAGGTGAGAGACATCGCGTGTCGGCATTGATGTACTCAAACCAGAGACCTGGTTTGAGGAATTTAACAAGGGGGAGAGTTCAAATATCTAGATCCCCAATAGACCAATTGAAACACTCGGCAACTATAGCCAAACTATGCCTCAATAATCGTTCAATTATAACACTTGATTATGCTCGTCTAGGACATCGCTTAACATCACCTATCGCAACTGGAACCCCTAAGAATGCATCCAGATTACCTGGACCTTCAACCCTTGGATAAAGAGAAAACCCTTTATTGTATTGGGATTTTGGGTGGCAAATGAGGACGGTCTTGTAAAATGGTCTAGCTATAACCCCTAACTTGATGTTATACAGACAAAATATAAGTCGAACACTGCGCCTTTCCTCCCTTCGAGAAAGGAAAAAGTTCAAATTTTCAAGATACCATCACGCTGTCCAATACACAAAATCTGGGTTTAGTTCTCCCTGTGATGAAGTCTCACTAGATATATTTGGTCGAACAACATATGTAACCAGGCAAATATCGCACTACAAGTCTCAAGGAGTCACGTACTCACGTACGATGAGTCCTCGAGAGTCATTACAAAGGTAAAAGTGGCAGGACACTATGGCTAGCAAACAAACGGCTCATTATCTTGGGATAGAATGCAAATTAAAAAACATGCAAATCAGGTATAATACTTGCTATTCTGTTGGTTCCTCTGTTTGGACATTGCATACCTAGGTAAGATATATAGGAATCAGTCATTGCACAAACCACTGTGGACGGGTCTAAAGGGGGATCGATTGACCTCAAAATTGCTCTCAAATCGCACATCTGGGATTGATATCTCATTCTTGTCACTGCCTACAGATTCGAAATCGATGTAAAGCATAGTGAGACGACCTTGTCAATCTCAAACAAGTAGACAGTTCCATGTGAAGCTCTCGGTGCTAGTAGTGAGTTCGAACTCCAGAAAAAGAAAAAGGGCTAGCTTTTGTACAGCTAAGCTGATACTCTAATATCCAAATTGTCCTTACGGCCATGATAACCTGAGAAAAATCTAGATGATGAGTGTGAAGATGAAGTGAAGGACGAAAAGGATCTATATAGAGACGCTAGGCCAAGTTTGGGTTAGCGTATAGCCTCATGAAAGAAGGCGGTGATACCAGAATCCAACGCACGGACCACTTATTGTTACTGGCAAAACGCGAGTAGACTGCGCAACTTTCAACTCTCGCTTTCTTTCGTGTCAATTGCTCATCTCCTCGCGACAGTCTGTTTCAATTGCCAAATATGTCGGCATCTCCTGAAGCATCGGAATCTGCTCGGCAAGCGCGCGCCACGGACTCGCCCCCGCCTGCCTCGCCGCGCCTTGAGACGGAAGCTAAGCATGACAATGACGATGACAGCCAGAAAGATCAAGCCGAAAAGAAGCAAGACCAGCATGAATCTGAAGAATTGAAGGAAGTTGCATCAACTCCCAAAGCAGATGAAATCGAGGAAGGCGAACTGACCGCGCCACCGCTCCCCGATGAGATTCCACCCCCACTGCCCGCCGAGGCCCCGCCCCAACCCGATGACGATGGATGGGAACCTGTGTGGGAGCCCAGCGCGCAAGCTTACTATTTCTACAACCGTTTCACTGCAATCTCGCAATGGGAGAACCCCCGTGTTCCGCAAGTCCCAGTTGCGCCTGGAACCGAAGACAACCATGAACAGGCACTTCCGCAGAAGGAACCCGTGCTGGGTGGCTACAATCCCGCGATTCACGGCGACTATGATCCCACTGCAGACTATGCGAAGTACTATGAAGCGCAGGAGGAGCCCACAGCCGTAGCTGGAATGGACCCGTCTGCTGCGTACGCCGCTACCGGCACGTTCAACCGTTTCACTGGACGTTGGCAGGCAGCATCGATCAATCCTGAGAATCACAATGACGAGAATAAGTCGCGCCGACAGATGGGTGCTTTCTTTGACGTTGATGCCGCGGCAAACAGCCACGACGGTCGTAGCTTGCGCGCAGAGCGCAGCGCACGCAAGCTGACTAGTGGAGAGGTGAAGAAGTTCAAGGCGAAGCGTCGTGAAAAGAAGGAAGAGAAGCGGCGGGCTTGGCTCCGGGACTAGGTGCCCTTGCCCAGCGTTTTCGTTTCCCTTTTTCTTGCATTTCAGGGGGTTATCTGATGTATCTTCTCATTTTCGCCTGTCGCATTTCGGAGCTTTTTTGATACCATCCCACCGGACGTGGACCTCGAGGCGTTTGAGCTTATCTTGATCTTTTCTTTTCTTTTCTCTCTCTTGGCGTTACTGCCTTGAATGTGGTTAGAGACAGGCCTTTTGTCTGTCAGACTCCACGGTGTTCAAAATCATGTGTACAATTAGCCTAACTGTATGAATATGAAATATCGTATCTGCAAATCTCCCAATTATTTGAATCCTCATGTGCGCCTGTTGACCTGTCCATCTGAACTGATAACCCACTATCAGTCACATGACCCGCGATATCAAATTATTTTTTTGCGATCTGCTTCATTGGCGGCCGGGATATTCCACGCTAAAAAGCAAAGAACTGAAAGCAAAGGTATGAACACACTTCCTATAGTTTGCATTTGACTTCGCCGAGAACGCATCGACCCCCAATCCCCATTCTGTGGCTTAAATCTGTTGCACTTGACATTGATGCTCTTATCACCAATTTGATCCATCGTGATATATCGCGGGGCATGTGCTCATGCTTCTTCAAAATCCCAATGTCTCCAGAGTCATTTACAATTCTGGGAACATCCGACCTCTAACTTGCTCTTTTCATTTGCTTTAATGTATCCCAACCATGAAACCCAAACCCAATACTAACACCCCACTCCAGTTTCATCAAATCTAAGTGATCAAGTGGGATATCAAAACCCCACCAAAAAGCAAAAGAAAACAAAATAAAACAAAATCTGGTTGATCACACATCATGTCTACCTCAACATCACAGACCAAGCCCACAGTGCCAATCGCACTCTCCGCCGATGCGATCGACGATCTGATCTATGACGCTCGCGCAGGCGACCTCGAGGCCCTAAACGAGGACATCGCCAACCTCGCCAGCCAACACAGCTGCAACGAGTCCCAGATCGTCGCCTCTGCCATCGACATGGCAGATGAGAGCGAGGGCGGCTCGGGATCCTGCGTTCTGCACTTCCCCGCCGCGAATGGCAACGCCGGTACGTCGAATACATTCTATTTTGATCCAATTTGGAATTCTTGCTAACGTCATTCATTAGAAATCCTCAAGACTCTTCTCCAGAAGCTCTCGGCCGCAGATGCCGCTCAGCGCTCGGCTTTTGTCAACTGCCGTAACTACTCTGGTAACACGCCTTTGCACTGGGCTGCGCTTAACACGCACTTGGAGTGTGTGAAGGCGCTTGTCGAGGCTGGCGCAGATCTTGATATTAAGAATGATGCTGGTCATGATGCTATTTTCTTGGCGGAGCGGAAGGCGTGGGAGGCTGTTGAGGAGGATGCTGAGGCTGTGGCTGCTGAGGGCGATGCTGCTGAGATTCAGGAGATTGAGATGACGATTGGTGGGGAGGGCGAGAAGGCTGGTGAGGGGGCTGGTGAGATGTCTGCAGGCAGACAGGTTGTTGAGTGGCTCTTGAACTCGGATGTTGCTTCTAGCTTGGAGAAGGGAGCTACTGAGGGTGAGGCTAGCAAATCTGCTTGAAGCCCTGGGATTGCTTTTGAAGACCGGAGAAGTTCGAGGGAAAAAGTTTGAGCTTTGCGCATAGATTCGGAGATATGGGTGCTATTCTATTCTTGCATATGTTATTGTCAATATTAATGCATATTGATTCTGTTGGTCATAATGTCACATTGGAAGACGTCGGGCTTGTAATGCGGGTTCTAATTTACATAACGTTCGTATGTTCTCGTCTACACATCAATTCAATCGCTCCGGACCTTGCCTGCCACGGTGCTAGTGGAAGAGCTTTCCACAGGCATCGGGGTAGGGGGGTCGATCTCGCGAACTCTCGCATCAAAGCCGACCTTGAAGCGCCGCTCTCGCCAGACAACTGTCACACCGCCATAGACAGCCAAGGTCCAAATGGGCAAGGCTAGCAATTCACGGCCGAGCCAAGCGGCAAACCACTGCAGGAAGGGACGACGAGTAGTTTGCGATGCTCGGAAACGTTGAGAACGAGCAAAAGCAGGAGTATCTTCATCCAACTCAATGCATTTCGCAGAATGCAGCTTGATGTACAGGGTCCAGTCGACCAGGATCCAGAGGATAATGCCAGCGGCGAACAGAATAAAGAATGCGCCCCAACTCTGGAGATTGGCGGCAAATTGCACGCCTTTTCGCTCAAGGTACGGCGCCAAGGCAGTGGTGATGCCCCAGGCGCCATAGATTGTACATAGGAATGACTCGGTGCCCGGTTCGACAAGTGTAGCAAGAAGGACAGTGAATTTACGAACCCGCAGCCAGCGCACACGGCGGGCGATGTATGCCGGCACACTCATATTGGCAACGGGCTGGATAGCCAAATCACCAAAAACCATGGCATGCTTGCCCCAACGCTCATGAAGCTCTTTTTCCTCCCGTACTTGCTTCCTCCACAGCAGATCACCGATCAGATGGTCCTCGCAGATATTATCGGAGAAGAAATCGATGCCGGGATTGCGAGCCTGGGGACCGGGAGCCGACGAGCTGGTGAGGTAATCGAGATGGGACCGACGGAACATGTTCGATTTACCGACAATACACGGCGCAACGAGCACCGTGTTAATCGCGGTGTACATTTTCGCATGCGCCGAGGACAGGAAGAGCTCTTCTAAGCGACCACCCCCGTGTTGATCATGGCTGCCGGTCCATCCTCCGGACGAACAGACGGCATAGCTGCAGCCGCAGCATCTGTACTTGTGACTTGCGGTTTGCAGTCCAGGAGGGCCTGCCGTTCTTCGCAGAGGTTGCTTTCCCCAGTCACGTCCACGGCCACGGGCAGGTGGTGCACGAATTTGTATTTCTTTCCCGGCGAAGCTCCAGTCCCACACAGCCGGTCCACCATCCGAGCACAGACTCCCTTGCCAACCCAGACATTGCAATCAATGATCCATACGATATCCCCCTTCGCCTCGCGATATGCACGACTCATATTCCGGATCTTGGGATTCGGTCCGAGGGTATACGTGTTGGTGCCATTCTGCTGCAAGAACGGATCCTCGTCTTCGACGAAGATACGCGCATCGACATGCGGGAAGTCGGTGATTAGCTTGCGGAGGGTAGGGTAGGCTGGATCATCGCGTGTGGATACACAAAGACAAATGCTGAGCTTGTCGCGCGGGTAATCTTGTCTAAAGGTAGCAGCGAGACAGTCGTAGAGGTGTGGCTCAAGACCCTTGACAGGCCGGATGGCGGTGACGTGTGGGACGTTGGAGGCGTTCGTTAGTCGTGACTGATGGGGCCGACTTAGGAAATACTTCCATCTGGGCAGGAGGGTCTCGAGTTAAAAATACAGCTCATGGAAATGTGAAACAACCGAGTCATACATCTGGAAATACCCCAACGCGCAAACTGCCAGTAGGAATGCGTACCAGATCAGTGCGATCCAACCGGTCACGACGAGCACAGACAGCGCGCCATCGTCGGACTTGAAGGGGAAGAGGGAGGGAAAGGTAGGCTTTAGCATGGGACCCGAGGGATAAATGACACCATAGATACAGTCGAAAAGGACATAGAGAGAAAAGGAAATTGGGAAGCAATCGGATGCAGCGGGTGGGTTTCATTTTTGGCAGTGGACTAGCCCGCCCGACCTGCACCCATGCCTTCTGCTTATGTTTCCTTTTTTACTCCGGGGAAATCGTCGACATCATTTCTCTTTGCATTATTTTATACTTGATATCCGCCTAATCTATCATTCTATCCACCTGCAACAATTTTCTGGGACTCTGGTAGTTATGGGTCGAGAGATCTACACAACGCCGGCATTGGACCAACCAGAGCGCATCTCTCCAGACTATAAACAACAACTAGCTGCCTACTCGGAACTTCCGGATGTTATGATGGGTAATTATGCACTTCAATGTAATTACAGCTCGTATTCGTTCTATTCCGAATATCAAGATGGGGAAAAAAGGATCAATCACTGCTCAAACTCCATAGCGCACCCCAGTAAAACCGAAAACAAAGCAAAATCCCCAGGTATTATGTCTTCTTCTTCTTCCGGACCAAGCTAGCATTGAGAACATTGACACCGGCCGGCTCCGACGGAGCTGGTTGCGTGTCTCCTGATCCACTTGGTGTTTGGATCGCATTCACAACGGGCGTGTTATCCACCCCGACTGACTTCTTCCGCTTACGGATCAGTCCGAGGTCGAGCACATTGTTGGTCTTGGTGTCTGCAGACTGGGGAGGTCCGGTACTTGCGGCATTGCTGCCGACAACTTTCTTGCCCCATGTAAGCTCGTCCGCGAGGCAAGAAACAATGTCAACGTAGGATCTGGTGCTGGCGACGATTTCTTTCTCATCATAGAAATGATCTAGAACTGAGTCCATCATCTTTTTGTAGTCTGCTTCACTTAGGACGACGTTGCCACGCCCGGCCTCTGGCCAGTCGAAAGGGTTGACGGTGCTAGAACCGTCATCCCGGGGTATCTCGGTGACCGTGGGCGTTGTGGTTGTTTCTATTGAGTGATCATTTGTATCAATCTTGCTGGAGTCACTATCCATTTTCTCCTTCGGAGTAGAGACCAAAGCCTCTGTGTCATTGAAGACCTGACTGATGTTGGACGAACCGCGTGTTTGGCTTGCCATTGACGTCGAATTCATCAAACCGGGAGGGTTAATGACCAACCATAGAAATCCGACTAGCCGACCAGCAGAGCACTCTTGGCGGAAAGACATCATCTCCCAGAATTGATCTAGGGACCTGACGCTACGCCAGCGCCCGGCATTAGGAGGGATAGGGTTTTCATCACTCTCCTCAGGAAGTTCACCGTCCAGGTCAATCAGGAAACGAGTCTTGGGATCATCGGGGAAACGAGGCACCAAACAGCGGGGTGGAGCTGAAGGGTCGTGATATAACTGTTTCAATGGGTAGCTGTTGAGCCAGCGCGGATGGTCCTGCGCATCAGTCTTGGCCGTAGCTGGGAAGAAGTTGCGTGTTTCAAACCGGTCGCAACTTGGAACGATCAAGTATGCGGTGGCAGAGGCCTTGGCAGCCTCGACCGTTTGATCGAGCGTCTTCGTCTCTTTCAGCGAGGATTCTGGCTCGTGTTCACGCAAAATCGGATCAAGAGCGCGACACCACCATTTGATTAAACCTCTGTCGTCCAGAACGTGCTTTTCGGCATTTTCAATACTGCCCGGGAACAAGTACTGATTCTGGGCGCGGGCGAACAGCGACACAACCAGGCGCACACCGGGCCGTTGGCGCGTTCGAGCCAGGAATGAGAGGAATGTGTTAGAGACCAGTCTCAGGATGGATACTTTGCGCGGTAATTTAAGAAGATGGAGGAAACCAGTTGAATCGGCCTTTGAGACAAATATGGTAGTTAGGTGGGCCGTGTTGTAGACCATCACCTCCATCCCGAAGATGATTGTCTCACTTTCATCGTTGGACTCAACTGAAACTGAGAGGAAATGATTCTCGCAGAAAGTTGGCTCGGAGACCTGTCCCGGGGCAGCTGCAAACAGAGCCTCACAGGGAGTGGGTGTTGAGGAGACATGGCGAACGGTGATCTCAACCCCGGTGGGGAGCACCTTAGCCAAGAGATCTGTCAGATCTGCCGAGACCATTCTCGTTCATCCAATGAGAGTCGTGGAAATGGGGAAGAGAGGAGCTGAAGACAGCGGAGCTCGATTTCACGCTTCTTGGAGATCACGTGCCAGGAACATCTATGGACTGCCGTTTGAGGAAGGTCGATATGTAGATATTTAGAGCTCTCCGATCAGGTTGTTCAATTACGTATGTGGCAGGTAGACTGAGGAGGTTCCAGAAATGAAAATGGGACCAGATGCTTATGTAGACTACCTGGGTGATACAGGTGGAAATGAAAGAGGACTTAACATGGAAAGGTCTGATTCATTGAGGGCACGATGCGTTGCCTACAGCCCATATTTGCCGTGCGCGACGATGAAGCCATATCTATTTGCCAGAATTGACGGGTCTTTCACGATTTGCGCGACTTCTACCTTTGTCTTTCTACAACCTGCATCCCTGATATCTCTAGTACGACTCGATTCATCACCGGATTTGCAATGGCGCAACTCGACGAGGTGAAGAGGCTTCTGCAAGTAAGTAGGAGACATGAGATTTAAGCGCCATCGGCCATGGGAGCCCACGAAAAACAAGGTCTTGTGCAATTTTAACATACAATGTGATAGAGCCGCAGCCCATCCATGCCGAGAATACCTACTGTGATGTGTTCCCGAGCCTCCCAAGACCTCCCGCGTAAGCTTAAACTTGTGTTACCCTGCTGCAGCGGAATACGTCACTGACCACACGCCCCAGTTCCTGATATTGACACGATGGAGTGCTGCATCCAGGTGCAGATCCGTTACGTCTGTGGACACTCAATCGGCGGCGAGTTCATCAAGTGCTCGCGCCACATCTACACCGAGGATGAGCGATGCTGTAGTCGCAAGATCGTTCATATGGATGGCAGGATCTCGCCTCATAAGTGTCGTTATTGCCTGCGAAGCGAATGATGCATAAAGCCTATTCAACAGGAGTGGTCGGAGGATTTTAGCTATGAACTCTTGAGCACGGTGAAGACAGAAGGGCAGAAGGTTCGGACTTAAGGGAATCTCGCCATGCTGGATCCGATTCTAGCAATTTACATGAGGAGTTTCATAGTACTCTCCAAATTAATCATACCCAGCCTTCAATTCCTCGCAAACGCTACCTTTTGTCAAGGCCGTAGCTCGCGATACCATTAAGTCTATCTTAGCTGTCGATTCAGCCATAGCGGTAAAGCGATTGTAAAACATCCGTTCAAGGACTAAGGGGAGAGCCTCAATCGCAAACCTGGAGAATACAGGTTTACTTATGATCTACAGTCGAGCTATGCCAGGCTAATTATAGAGTAGTGATTCAAACGTCATCTCACAGCCCGTATAAGAGACTGGTATGGTCCTTGGTCTGCTTGCACACTGTTTCCAACCGGCAACAACGTCGCCGAAGCATTCGAAACAGGCATCACGACATACCCACATCAAAGAGACTTCTGGGTGAACAGTATACTTGTCGCCTGATGGAGATATGAGATGTAACATACGCCGGGTTGATCTGATATGTTCTTGATTCCCAGTCAAACGTATTCGGGAATCCTGAGTGAATTGTGCTGATTTATGCTAATTCTACTCATCTCTTTGTCAGGGGTGACTAGGTACATATTTTTTTGAATCAAGGCAAATCATATAGGGAATTTGGCCAGATGTCATAGATCTAGATCGAGTAAAATGCCACATCCATAGCACAGGTGTGATGGAGCACAACCAAAATCACTGTGTGACCTTGATGTCGTTTAGAAGAAGGCAGCCACGGCATCTAGATCATCGGCGTTAAGAAGAATGACTCCTTCCCGCAGAAGAGTCCTCCACACAAGGTTTCGTGCACGAATGGGGAAGTGAGGGGTGTTCCAATATCTAGCACCAATCCCGCGTTCATTTGCAGTGGAGATCTGATCCCGGAGAGTCTTGAGTTGGTCATCTGAAAGAATTGGGTCTGTGTCGACAGTTATTTTCCCAACAGCTTCTTGGAAATTTGTTGAAGCGACAGGAGAGACAATGCCAGTTATGTCAGCATATTTGGGGTCATTGAGCTCCGCAAGAGGCGCATCGAAGAAGTAATCGCGGTCTTTAACGGGCGCAACCATATCGAGTGGTGTGTCTCCCGTGCCAATGACAGTGACCGGCCCGTTGGTCAGCGTCTGACCATCCTTAACGGTGGTGAGGTAACCCTTCTCGCGCAGAGGCTCTAAAGCAGCGATGACAGCCTCGAATGTCTCAGGGCCAGATGTCTTCACATCAATGAAGAAGTAAAGCGTTTGGTCAGGGACAGTATCCCACACGCCACTGTTTTTGTCCAAGCATTAGCAGTCATGCCATACTCCGTCATGATCCGATACTCACTTCTTAGTAGGCGATGTCACAAATGGACTTTCCGGGTTCTGCCGCTCCAACACGTCCAAAATTGGATTGATGTACAAGGATTCCAGAGTTCGCGACTTCGTCAAAGCGGATTGATCATGGCCGACCTGGGTTGGTTAATATGATACCCAGCAAAATAAGAAAGATACCATGCAATCGAAACTAACATAGAGGGTGCCATTGTATAGCCAAACATCAGCCTCGGTAGATGCGCAACCGTGTGATAGGCCTACGCAGGGGTATGTTAGGGGTCTTCACATATTTAGCAGCTGGACACTGGCATACCGGTATAGAAAGGCTCGTCTCGCCAATAGTCACTTTGGAACAGTTAGCGATCAGAAAATTATTGAGTATCATGACTAGTCTTCTTACTTATGAGAATGAACAGGTATCTGGACATTCATGACTTCATGGTTAACCACCACGTCCAAATTTCAAGCTGCATGAAGCATTGTCTTTTAGGAGAATTTCCATCATATACTCACAGGAAGTAAATCTCTTGTCAGATCTGTTGGATACCCATAGTCTGTGCTGCCATGGGTGTTTTTCAAGATACTCTGCAGACTGGAGGTGATGTCCGCGACGGCTGGGTCCGGACCTGCGAGGAGAGCCACAACAACGCTAGCAAGGAACATCATGACGGCGGATGGCGTAGATAAAATTCCTACCATCAAAGGACCAAGTTCAATTTATGTATAGAAGAGGGGTTGAAAGGGGAATTGAAGTGACCGAAAATCGAAGAAGCAAGTCGCAATTGCGAGCGGAACGCGGACTCGTGCACGTGTTCTCCTTATGCGTTCATAAAATCGTGTGATATTTCACTAGCTGATGCGAAGGCAGATCTGTATATTTCAAAATGTCTAGTCTATCGTCTAATTTATTCCAATGACCGAAAATCCAAAAGGGAAAAAGAGAAAGACAACTAAAAACACAAAAACATAAGCAGCAAGCCCATTGAAGAAACATGCCAAGGAGAGGCTATTCGACCAGCCCATGACTTATTTGCCTCTCAGGGTGCGCTTACAAGAAGATGAGAATAGAAATGCATGGTATTGAATCATGGTGGCTAGAAAGTACTACAAAAACATGAGAATCGCAAGACTAGCACCGTCATCCAGGAAATCCGAGGACGGAGAAGAGCGAGATTGTCAAAGGGGGAGAAGGTCATATCGTGAGAGGGAATCTTATATACGTCACAGAGGTATGACCTCAAACTTCCCGCACACTTGGCGAGGGGGCAGCTCCCGAATCTTGGGAATTCCGGCCGCGAAGGCTAAGGTTCCCGATGCGTTGGACTAGGTTGCTGCCGACAGCATCAACCGCCCCCTTAGGCGCAAGCAAGGTTGGGCCTTGAGCGGCAGCTTCTTGAACTCGGAAAAGTTTAATGGATGTACCATTCCAAACACCAACAGTTCCTGGTGTTGCGCCAGAAGCTGAACCGACTACCATCTCGCTGGAGAAGATGAAACCCCACAGGAGCGATTCATACCAGCCCATGGAAAGTGCGGACCATTCGAATGATTGCATGCGAACGGGGGTTGGTTCGGAGATGATGCTCGCGACCTCGGGCTCGTCAGAAAATGATGCAAGGTTGTGAACTAGTGTGCGAGCGTCTGGGCTAGCTGCGCTTACAAGCGCTGCTTCGGGAATGTGTGGTGAAATGGCTGAGATGATTGTGAGGATTGTGTGTAAAGGTAGCTCAGGCAACCATGACTCAAGCTAAATTATGTTAGTAACGGCGACTTTGGCGGACGAGAATTCATTCATGCATAGACTTACCCATGGCACAGTCGGTGTGAAGCCACACGCCGATGGCGTGAACAAAGCAGACATACTTGTTTGACTGGTCATGCTGTTCTGTCGGGAGAAAGGAGGATGGCCGGCAGGTTTCTTTCCTCGTGCCTTTTCGGACATTGCTCGTACTTGCTGCACCCCATTTTCATCTGTAGTCGATGCTGCCGATGGCCTCCGTGAGGTTTGAGCTGAGGGTGATTGTGATGGGGTTCGTGCTCCATCTTGATCATGTTCATCATCAGAATCGTCATCGCCAATTGCAAATGGACTGTTCTCCTCGGGGATCCGAGTCAACGGTGACCGGGCACCGGATGGGGTATGTAAGTCATCTTCTGACTGTGAAAACGTCGGGCTCATGGCCATATCCGATGAACTGCTGGCTTTCCTCTTCTCATTTTGGCGTTCAATTTCTTGCTGACCACTTTCGAGAGTGAAAGCCCGCACGGCTTCGAAGCGTTGCTTGTATTTGAGTATAGAATAGACAAGATAAGGATTATCTAGAATAAGTCAGAAGCGGATTCTCGAGGAAGCGGGTTTCAGTAAGTAACTTACCGGTGAATTTATGCTCCAGTATGATGTTGATGAAGTCAAGCAATGACGCAAGAAGGGTGTGATTGGTTTCATTTGCCAACAAGAAGCTGGGCGCAGACATGGAAGAGAAGAGTTGGATGACCTTGGAGCAGGCGCTCGGGGAAATACGCTCGATATATGGAGCAATGTTGTTGAGAATGATCAGAAGGGCAGGGTAAACGGTATCCAGATTTCCTTTGCTGGTTGTCATCAGGTTGTGAATTGACTGCGACGATCAGTATGGTATCCTGCTTATAGATGGAGGCAAACAAACCATGATCAAGTAGTCGGCGTATGATCCTCGGAACTTGAGCAACCGAATAGATTGTGGCAGGGTTTCTTGGGCCTCAAAACTCTTGTTCAGACTCTTTCCGAATGTTGGCTCTGCACTCATTGTCTGAAGAATAAAGACGCACATCCGGACGACGCCTTGCTTCGAAGCATCCATCCTGTACTCCACGGCATAGAACATACACAACACAAGGAAGTCGTGGGAGCGATTGGAGTCAATGATAAATGATCGGAACCTTTTATTGCATTGTAGCGTCTCCCAGAACAGGATCAACATCTCCGGGGCCCATTTTACTGATCTCTGACTTCCGGGAAGATAAGAGGTTGTGGCTTGCATCTAGTTTCAGTGATCAGTATAGTGAAATATGAGTATGTGTGTTTGCAGAGAATCCGTACCGGCTGGTTCAAAATTCTTGTCATGCCATCCACCAAGAATTGGAAGTCTTGAGGTCTATGTAGCCTGCCGAAATAATGACGATAATAGTTTTTCGGCGGTGTTCCGCGACCATCTTCTGGGATGGGATACAAAAGGAGGACAAGGAGAAGCTGCACGCAGTAGATCACTAATATTTGCCTGGGATCCTTCCACACAACGTGGTCATATGGAACTCTCCACGACGCGGGGTTATACTTCATTGCCTGTTTTGAGTTAGCATGGCTGCAACAACTTATTGAGACAAACATACCGTGTTGAGAAGAGAGCAGAGCAAGGTCAAAACAGCCTGTTTATCTTGGCAAGTTGTGATGTAAGTTATAGCCTTGACACCTTGGACAGGCAATGTATCTATATTTGTCAGTGAGTCTTCCGGTTTGTTGATTAGCCCAATCCTGGCACTCACTGGATGGCAAATACATAGCCTTTCCGGTTAGCGTAAGCATAAGCCGAAGAATCTCGCATCGGTTGCTCTCCAGGGCTTTGTTGGAGCCCATAGCCGTGTTGCAGCCAACACCACTCTGCCAGATGGAAAATGAGACTTTGCTCTTCGCAGTTGGAAGTCGAGGGATTGTGAAGTCGGCAAAGAACAGTAACTCTAGCAATGTGTCTATCAGTTCCTCGGCCAGAGGCTTCACATCTTCGTAATCATCTGTGCGTGGCAATGCTCCTCCTTCGCCGTCTTCAGGTTGTGCCTCATCAAAGAGAACCTCTCCAGAAATCTGCGCTTGTCTGGTCCTCCTCCTTCGGCGCGCCCAGAAGAAGTTCTCTTCCCATCCCTCCAAATGTTCCGCTTCATAAACATAAGGGAGAAGGCGGGTCAGGATGCGAATGCAGTTGAGGACGTCACGCTCGGGAGCAAGGTCGGGGTCGGGAAACGAGGGATGATTTTTCAAGACAATCAGCCTCGAGGTGACTGCAAGTAGGAGGGTTTGAAAGTTGGGTAAGGCATGGTCGCGCGTACGTCGAATGTCCGCCGGCGTAAATAAACTAAAGACATCTTCGGTGGATTCAGGAAGCTCCCAGAACTGCTCGGATAATTAGCGGTCAAACTTCGTGAACAGCCAGTCGCTTAATTTCGCATGACAACATACTCTAATCCAGTAGGGGTCGTCTGCGGGGATCTCCTGTTCCTCCGAGAGGCGGAAGATGCCTTGTTTGAAGACGAGCTTGGATTCTGAAGCCCCCATAGCGGAAGACAAGAGCTGATCACGCTGTTGTGGGCTTCATACAGATCTTCACAACAAACACCAATGTGGATGTGAGCAAGATCGCTGCCTATATGTTTGTGCCAGAAGTGGTTGGTGTTCCCAATTGTCCGGGCGCGAGATCTTGGCTTGAACACGGGGTATGGCAGATCTGCCGAAGGTCACAGCTTAGGCACAGTTTACCCCGTACCCTATGCCAATACATATGAGAGCATTACAGCAGAATATTAAGTCTATCGTATAGTCTATGTCTCTGTTATTCTGCTAACCAATTATTCTAGCCTCTACGCATGGATTATAACACATTCAGCATCAATGTCCAGAGCAAATGGAAAAGATATCCAACAGCCCCCCAAGGGGGGTAAAAGAGACAAGCATACGAGAAATTTAGATATGTTGTATAATGCAAATTGATAGAAACAAAAACTGTGAATTGGTATCTTTGTAATAAACCGTGAATGAATCAACCGCTATGACATCGAAACCATGACCATGAATACCCCAAGCGCCTGTTTGCGAAATTGTTTTGAAAACTAGTAAGAATCAAAGAGCTCCTCCACTTGAAGAGAGTCGTCGGCTTCTCTCATACAACCACTTGTTCTTGACCCCTAGAGTGCCCCGTTTGCCCATGAGGGGAGAAGGCGTACTTGGGCCCAGGCTTGACATGGCCGACTCTCCAAAGGAGCTGCTGCGAGCTAGAGGAGAAGTCGAGCCGAAACTCTGTCGGTGAACGGATTCTCTACCTCCATTGGAAGTTGAACCGAAACTCTGCCGGTGAATGGATTCTCTGCCTCCATTGGAAGTTGAACTGAAACTCTGCTGGTGAACGGATTCTCTGCCTCCATTGGAAGTTGAACCGAAACTCTGCCGGTGGGCGGATTCTCTGTCTCCATTGGAGACAGCTTTGTGAAAGAGCGGGCTGGTGACAGGTGAAAAGGGTGTGCCGATAGAAGACCGGCGCTCAGAAAAGCTTGCATTCGCTGACATGGGTGAAGTCGATCTACTTGCTGGGCTAGCCTTGCGTGAGGTGGACAGTCGGTATCTGGGCGGAGTGACAAAGGTTGTCCCAGGAGTGGCCGGGGACGTGACGGCAGGATCCAGACCAAGGAGGGAGCGCTGAGTGGGGGTAAGAGGAATGTCAGAGAGGTTGTCCTTGGGTCGGAAGAGAGGAGAGAGCGCCACTAGGATGTTGAACACGAAGAAGAGCCGTAAGAGAGCGAATGGAATCTCGTGATACCCATGGTTGGCATCAAAGATTTGACGTGTACTGGAGAGACGCTGTTAGCATGCGACGCGACGCATCTGCGTTGTCGCACTCACTGTGTTTCGAATGCAGGACCAAATGTCCAAGTCATTATCAGAGCTGCAGCATTCCAACCCAGCTTCTTCACATTTTTCTCGTCAAATGTAGCTGCATTTTGACGCCGAACAATCTCATCGAGCTGAGGGTGTCGCCATTTTCCAGGGGTCAAGTTTCCCTCTGGAGCCGCAGCCATTGGAGGTGTCGCTTTTGGCGTGGAGGGAAGTGATTGAGTCGCCATTGGTAGAGAGGTATTTTTGAGGTTGCAGAAAAGTAGACAGACGAGATTGCACCAGGACTGGATCGTTATGTTAAACATTGGTTCACTTCCAGGGTTTTTTTTGGCAGAAGGGATTGGACTCACCTGCGGACTGTGCTTATGGACTTGGTTTGTACTTACCTAGGATGAAAGAAACACGAGGATCTGTTAGTTAGTAATGCACATAGTACTTGGTAGCGAGGAAAATTTGGCTCTTTCAGAAAGTCATTATCATCTGTTGTTGACTATTGACGATCCCAAAGCCGTCGCGCTCGGGGCTCGAGGAAGGAGTTTCGCGGATATTAGTTAACCCGGCTGATGCCGCGTTATCGCGCTCCCCCTCAACGTCATCGTTGATTGTTGACACTTCTTCAACTCCAGAACGATCTGCAATCAAAATGGCTGCTGATACTTCAGTCGTGGAGAAGCTGGACGCTTTGGTAGCCGACGTTCTCGCGGACTGGAATATTTATACTACCATTGTTGCCGGCATCGTCCTCGCTTTTGGTCTTTACTCTGTCATCTCGTCTCAGGATCCAGATGTGCACCCGTTCCTACTCGCTCGCCAATCGACTGCCGCCCCAATCCGCCAGCAGAATGAATCTGCCACTTACAGATGCTTGGAAACCCCGCATGGCTTGCCCCTGCGCTTCGGACTAAATGTGAAGGACCCAGGCACTCCGAAATGGACTGGTGGGCGAAGAGGAGACCTGCGCGATATCTGGAAGACTGCCATGCGTGGCGCTTTGAATGAAGACGGTACCATGTCTGGTAAACAGGGCAAGATCTACACTGTGCTTGGTCGAAAGGCCATCGAACACTCGTTCGATCAGATTACCCAAGAAATGAACGTTATCGGACACCATCTTCAGAACTCCGGAGTCAAGACTGTGGCTGTTTGCCTAACAGACTCTATTGAGCTTCTGGCTACGATCTTTGGTATGCCTTTTATCATTTGGTGAAAGCCTTGATGTATATCCTGACCTTCTTCAATCTAGCCGGCGCCTTCTACGGATACAAGACCGTCATTCTGCCACACAACCTTTCAGCCGAGGCACTATCAGCGCATCTGCAACAGGTAGAGGCAGATGTTCTCGTTGCCGAGGCTGGATCTCTTGATCTGTCTGTCATCACCACAGATAACAACCAACTATCGCTTGTTCTTTGGGTCGCCAAATATGGCAACCGCCACATGGATTGGAACGAAGTTCCCGAGAATGTCAAGGGCAGCTTGAAAGTTGCTGTCTGGCACGAGTTAGTTGAGGAATTCAAGGATCTCGCTAGCTATGATGTCCCTCAGTACGACCCAAAAACAGCCACGCCCGCTGTCACCACTGTTTGGCCGTCTACTTCTGAATCCGGTCAATTCATCGATTTCCAGCCGGAGGTACAGTTCGCCCAACTCTTCTCTCATTGCTTTTACTAATGTTTAAATAGAACCTCGTGTCTGCTATTGGGGCCTTGAACTCTACTCTGCCTCGTACTCAGCGTTTCACCCCAACCGACGTTGTTCTTCCCATTGATTCTCTTTCTCGCTCTTACCCACTCTGCATGACTATGGCTGCTCTGTTTGCCAACTCCTCCATTGCGCTCAACTCTGTCGCCGGAGAGGGTGTTGACTTTGCCCTGGCCACCGCTGGCGTGTCTCCCACGGTCATTGTTGCTTCATCGCAAACTATGTCTGAGTACCACGATAGAATCATGCGCCCTCACACTGGTATTATCTCCTCCCTGGGACGTTGGCTTCAAGCAAGAACTTTGGATTCTGGAAACATGCCATCTCGAAACTTCTTGAGCCAGTTGGCTCGTGTCGGTCCAACCGCCGAGCTTTCACTGGATAAACTGCGCCTGCTCTGCATTTCCCACCGCGTTGATGGTGACAGTGCTGTCCATCTCAGCTCCGAGCAATTGACCGAGCTCAGGATTTTCACCGGGGCTCGTGTTGTTTATGCTTTGACCGGCCCTGGTGTTGCTGGCGCGGTTGCCCAAACAAACGCCTTTGATTACAGATGCCTCACTGGTCCTAGCCACTTTGGCGCCCCATTGAGTAGCACTGAAATTACTTTAACCAAAGTTCCCGCAGGCTCTCTCGATGGCGAGGAAGTAGGACAGGTACGTCGCGACATTCCACTCCAAACTTGGCTGTTCTTATATCTGACACGAACGTTTTAGATCACCGTCTCCGGTCCCGCTGTTGTGGGCGAGAAGACCGCTCTGCCAGGCCGAGGCCGGATCAGTAAGGACAACACCCTGGAGTTGTCTTCATAAGCAGATAAATGCCCAAGCCTTGGGGCGTAGTTGATCCTTCAGCCCTCGGTAATTTAATTATGACCCAAATTGACTATGTCACGCGTATATCTGGTATAGCACCTAAACGATTCAGATATGGCAGGGAATAAAACATTCATTTTATGAAATACAAGGCCAGCCCCAAGATATCTGAGAAGAACAGTAATATACATGCCGGTGTGGCTCAATCAACACCCAAAAGGAAACAAAACCGTGCAGAGGCCAAGGTCAAAACCCTCAAGTCTTCTCCCCAACCTATTTCGCAAGCAATTGCTTAGCCACCTTGTCGCCAAGGACCTGGTTATTCTTAATCTTCCGCAACTGCGCAATGAGAATAGGCTCGAGCTCGTCACAGCGAGCCTGGAAAGCCTCGGTAGCTTGTGCCGCCTTGGTGATCCCAAGGCTCAAACGCATACCATTATAGACGGCAAGGTTCTCCTCGAGTCTAGTCTGGGCCTCAATGGCAGTAGCCGCATCGTCCTTGAAGTGTCCTCGGGACCAGGCAGCATCGAGCTTCGCAGCGTAGTCACGGACCTTAGACAACTCGGTCTTGCCGCAGGCGGCACTGAGTTCCAAAAGCGTACCGATAACGAAAGGCTGGTGTTTGGGGTCGTGCTGGATGTCTCGGGCCGTGTGTTCCGCGGCTTCCATCAGACTCGCAGCCTCCATTGCTAGCTTCAGAGCCTTGGCAGTAGCCTCGGGCTCGAAATCCGCCCGCTCGGCGGTCTGGTGGAGCTCGAAGAAGAGACGGCGAGCGATGTTCTTATCGCCGAGGCTCAGGCCGGTGCGCTGGAACTGTCTGGCGCACTCAATAATGACCGAAAGCTTACCGGCCTCGCTGACTTTGCGGATGATGTACTCCCACCGGTTGCTGTTGATGGAGTAGTTTGACATTCGGAGGCCACTGAGGAAGGGGAAAAGGTTGCTGAAGTTCTTGGTCGTGACCATTATGTTGAGAACATCGAGGGCCTCTCTTCGAGGGCAGCTCGTGGCGGTTCTTGGGCGTTAAGGTGAACTCCTCGGTCTCGCTGATCTTGACGGTAATGGGCTCGTGTTCCAATTGCTGTGCGTATTTCTGCTTGAACACACTTTTTCTCTGTCGCTTGGGGAGACCAAGAGGGATGAAGAGCTCATTGCGGAAGCGGTCCAAAGCTTCGTTTAACTCGGTGGATGATGTTGTGGTGAAGGTTGGGATTGCTGTTCCGGTCGCCGCTGATGAGAAATTGATACCACGATATATCGATTAGTGCATACCTGAGTTCGAACCATAGCTGCGGGCCTGTGCCGGTCTCAGAATGGATTGGCGCACCGAGCTGGTGGTGCTCTGGCGGAAGAGCCTGCTCATGGCGGTTTGCGCCATTGTGAACGATGGGATATTATGTGAAAAGCACCACAAAGAAGTGATAGCAGAGACGAACAGGCTGGTATGATTTCCAGCAAAAAGACTAAAAACCGAAAGTGAAGTTCGCGGACTCGAGGAAAAAAGAATCGCGTTGTCTGGAACCCGAACGGGCAATTGGAGGCTTGGCGGAAATTCTGCCGGTCCGGCCAAAACTCGACTCCGACTTTCTTGACCTTGACATCCTCATCACAACTATGGCGGCTTTACCAGCAATGCGCCCGCTGGGCTGCTTAAGGTCCTTGATGAAGGCCTCGGAGCCTATCCAACCTCTCATCAACCGTCGATTCCTTTCGACCGCCTATTCGAAGAGACCCCAACGGGTGCCTCTTCCCCAGAACATGCCTGAGCAATTCCTCACCCAAATACCTCTTCGCTTCCGCCCCGATCCTGGTATGTACTATAAATTGGATTGAATCATCAAGTCCAGCTTGACTAATTGTGGCTATCTGGTCTAGCGCGCGAGCCCCTCAAGATCTACCCTGCTCCCCCATCCGCCCGCAAAGCATGCAAGGACCCCGTCGCAGCGGTCACCGAATCGCAATTGGCCGTCCTCGACCCCAAGGGCGAGCGCAAGGCAATGTTCGACTACCGCCGAAACCCCCGCAGTGTCAAGACCGGTGACATCGTTCGAGTGACATTCAAGAACGGCGACCCATTCAACGGAGTCGTTCTGAGCATTAAGCTGCGCGGAATTGAGACCTCGTTCCTCCTGCGAAACGAGCTTACCCGTGTTGCTGTCGAGATGTCCGTCAAGGTCTTCAGTCCCAACGTCAACAGCGTGGAAATCGTCCAGCGCTCGGAGAAGAAGCGCAGACGCGCGAGATTGTACTTCATGAGAGACCGCAAGCACGACCGTCGCAGTGTCGAGAACATTGTGGCCAACTACGTTCGCCAGAAGAAGGCGTTCCTGGGTGGTGGCGGCAACCGTCGGCGGTGATTGAGTTAGAGGGCGTCTGGCGTGACCCTCCTTTGCATACGTGTGGCTGTATTACTACCTATCATTTTGTACTTCATCTGTGTTTATAAATTGCGACATCAAATACACCTTTGAGCCCTTCTATCCTAGTGCCCGTGCTATTATCTGGCACTTATGTGTGACGTTACTCGTCGCTTTCCTACTCAGCCTCTTCCTGATGTCTATTTCCAAGCACCACGTGGTTTGAGGCCCAGCGAGCACCTGACCTCTATCTGAGTTGGTTGTGTTCCTCTCAGGACCTCGAGTTATCCAGCGATTGCATCAAGTCTATGACAACTAAGACATAAGGACCCATGGAACGATGCTTGTGAATGACCCTGATACGGCCAGAAACGACGATCTTCCCCTTGAAAATCCTCATGTCTTCCACTCCGTTTGTTGGAAGAGCCGCTGAACGAGCATCGAGGATCTAGTGTAATATACATATAGCGTCATTCATATATTAGGAGCCCACAAGTTACACATCTTGCCTATATACGAAGATGTATAGCGGCCATTTGTCGGTTTCAATTGAAATCGAATCTGTTGCGTATACATGCCTGGATTGGGGCTGGCAAAAGACCAGGTAGAATTCCCGAATTACCACGACGGAGATCTCAATAAATGCCTAGTCAAGGTATCTAGATCCTACCTTGAAACGCAGGCAGGCAAAATGAAGCTTCCATATAGTCGGCCGCGTTTGCGGGCTTGCAATGTCACTTGTGTAGTCTTTTTGACTGCTTTCTTAAAGCACCTCTAAGCGCTATACACCTTCGTATTTTTAAATCTATTTAGCTTCAGCTAGAAGTCGTTTTCGCGTGAAAATGAGAGACATGATATTCCGTGACCTTCTGAATGCCCATTGCACTGCGATGGGTTTTGTCGCCACAGTGAGACGAATCAATCTGCCACGTGCTGGCCCCCGGGGAACAGTTCTGGGAACCGCTGGTTTGGTTCATATTGATATCGTCCTTGTCATCGGGATATGCATCAAGCTGGCTCCAGCTGTTTCGATATCGCGGTGTGGTGGTGGATCCTGGGCTCATGACAGCCGTGCTATTGTGGCTGCCTTCTCGATGATCCGTGGACAGGAAGGAGGGAAAGAGCCTGGCCAGTGGTGCCCACATCATCGGCAGACAGGCACAGGTGATCGCCACGTTTTCTTCGGTTATCGTCCATATTGAAGAATCAATATCGTCTGCAGGGGTATCTCGTCAGTTCTGGAACAAGAGTAACCCGAAAGAACTATGGCACTTACAGGTGGTATCCGGACTGGTGGAGGAGAAATCCAGAGTCTGCATTCGAAGAATGCTTGTAACCGCGACACTGGGGAACTCTGGGTCAATCTTGATGCCTCGTGATGTACAATCAAAGTATTCAGAACTCACAAGGCGCCGAGGGCAAACACCATCATCAGGGCAATCTTCCGTTTCAATACTATTTTTGACTTGTAGATTGGATACATCGGCAGCCCCAATATGATGAAATCGGTAGCGATTGAGAAGCCAGCGTTGGCGTACCAGTTGGTGGTTATGTCAATGCATGTCCCTGTAATGGTCTTGTCCCAGGCTCGAGCTACTGGCGTGCATTGAAATACGGAAGCGAAGAAGGCGGCTACCATGTAGGAGGATATGATAACCAAGAGCACATAACAGGTGATGCGGAACCAACGTTGGATGAAAATGCGAAGATAGAGCATCAGGATGGACATCTTTGTCATGTTCATGGTGAGCTTGTAGAAAGCTTGACTGACGAAAAAGAGCTGCCCGGACTGAAGTTAGGAGCCCTGTACTATATAGAACTGCATTCCATTGAGGACAACTTTCAACTCACCTTCAAAGTCATTAGCTTATTCGACGTTGTGAGATTCGCGATGTGTTGGCCAAAGCCATAGGCACAGGACGCCAGCATCAAAGCCATGACGATAACCGCAGATATCTATTGATCCTCAGGTTAGGTCTGCATGGGACAGCTCAATTTCACACAAGAAGATCTCACGCCGGAGGCCAAAATGGTCCAGTCATCCCATCCTAGGCCTGACTTGGACTTGAACCGGAACCACATTCGGCTCGCCACGAAGGCCGGTGTGGTGACAAGGAAGACTATACATGGAATTTGGATCTCCAAAGCCTTGCTTGGGCCTGGAATATTGCCTGACATAGCGAATTGCTAGAGGTCAACTGGAGGCAGTATGGTCTTGGGGACCGCTTGCTTGGAGGACCGATTGAGGCGAAGGATGATCCATATGTACCCATCTCAAGGCTACATCGGTAGTGATGTAGCCCCCATCGCTTCTGCCCTCTTATCCCTGCCCCGATACATTGCCGACAGGGTGGCGTGCCATATAGCAGGGTTGAAATGACATTGACGAGGGGCTTGATCCACAAAGTGCTGCGAAACTCAGTGGAGAGTGACACTGCGTGGCATGATCGGTGCATTCACCCATTTCATAGAAGACCCTGGTCAAAAAATAATTTGTTAGACCGAGATTTCGACAAAATTGTAGAAGATCGACATGATTAATATCAAGCTGCATGGCGTTAGTGGCGCTAGTTAGCGAACCGTTGGGGGCCGGCTTGGTCGTTGATCATCGACGGCAATCGGCAACCATATATGAAGTAGCAGGAAGTCCATAGTAAATTGATGTTAATTAGGTCCATTGAAGTATTAAAACACAATGCAGAAGCATTGTCCAGAGGTTCTCTTTTGGATGCGCCCAAAATGCTCAGAACACAGGACACAATCCCCACTCCCTGACTACACCAATAGCTTGCTGGTGAAACTGCAATTAATCAAAAGGTCTCTCTATCGGTGGGGTCGGAATATGCTACGAGCCTCTAGGAAGCCTTCCAGATACAGCTACTCTCTACAAGCAGAGAGTAGCGCCGAATCTGCGCCCCTGGCTCTGGCGCTACGCTGGCAGCTGCCCCACCTCTCACTGTCATATATAGGCGACTTCACTAGGATCTTTCATTTCCTTTTGATAGTTGTCTTCAGTCTTTTGTAACGAACACACGATGAAGATCTTCTCCGTCTTTGGCGCCTTCTCAGCGCTGCTGTCCTGCACAGTCGTCTCCGCGCAGTCCGACCCCGACACCATTGGCACCATCTACGATGGCGATGTGCCAGCCGACCTATACGGAACCAACTACACTTACCCATGGCAGGTGAAGCAGTACAAGTTCTCCAATCAGCGCCAGAAACTTGAGATGGCGTTCATGGACCTACCGCCCAGCGCCAATGACAAGAATAAGACCGCTGTTTTGCTGCACGGCGGAAACTTCTGCGGCGTTACATGGGCCGACACTGCGCGTCAGCTCTCAGCCGCCGGCTACCGAGTGATCTTGCCCGACGACATCGGTTTCTGCAAGTCAAGCAAGCCCCAGGGCTATGCCTACAACACACACCAGCAGGCCTGGAACATCAAAAGCCTACTCACTGCGCTGGAAATCGAACAAGCCACCGTGATCGGCCATTCGATGGGTGGAATGATTGCCGCCCGCTACGCCCTCATGTACCCAGACAACGTTGACCAGCTTGTTCTCGTCGATCCCCTGGGTCTGGAGGACTGGGTAGCCAAGGGCGTGCCATACCTATCAATTGATGCGAGCTACGAGAGCCAGGTTGCACAGAACTTCACCACTCTCAAGGCATATGAGGAAGCAACTTATTTCCACAATGCCACCTGGAAGCCTGAGTATGATACCTGGGTCCAGATGCTGGCGGATATCTATGCTGGCGAGTATGGCCCCAGCTATGCTTATGTGATGGCCCTCGTCACCGACGCCTTGCTCAGCCAGCCTGTCGTTTACCAGCTGCCGAACTTGAAGACCCGGACTTTCCTCATGGTGGGGGAGAACGATATTACCGCGCTTGGCAAGATATGGTCATCTCCTGAAGTTGCTGCCACACTGGGCCATTACGATGTCCTCGGTCCTGCTGTCGCAGCCACAATCCCTAACTGCACGTTCCACATGTTCCCCGGTCTAGGCCATGCGCCCTTCATCCAGGACCCAGAAGTGTTCTACGAGAAGCTTCTTTCTTGGTTGGAGTAAATGGGTCGGAAATTGTGGCAATATCCCTTTGTCGAATGGAAATCACGTTGTAAATATCATTCATTCCAGACCTGAATATCTACGTTATCTGTGGTAAGCTGGAGAAAGAACCAGAAGGATAGGTGGGAATGACCTTCCCCTATCAAGAGCAGGCGATATTAAATCAAACAATGTATATATGAAGATAGAGTCGCTGTATAAATACTCTCCCAAAAGTACTCCCTTGAAGGTATATCTGCTAGCTATCTACACCCTTCTGCCCCATAGAAAGAGTTTTGAAATATGAAATCATGTAGAACATTCATTCCTCGCTATTCATTCAAACACATCATTAGCTCCAATACTCGAAGCAGTACTGATCCAAAGACCGGCATTATTAAATCCAACGCGGAGCGGGTGCTGAGTTCCTCAAAGAACCTCCTCTTACACATCTCCGACCTGCCATTCAATGCTTCAACGCATCAGAAACATGATCCTTCCACACCTGAAAAAACCTCCTCATCTGCACATCCTGGTGAACAAATGTATCCCTCCCTTCATCCAAAACAAGAATCCTCAACCCATTCCCTGTCTCCGGTCCCACTTCCAGTGTATCGATTTTGCCGTTCGAGTCCCGCGAATCGAGGAAACCCTTTCCCTCATCAGCGTATATCAATACTGCCGACGCAGTCTTCGAGTCCATATGATTGCTGAAGAACAAATCCTTCTCGAGGAATAGTTCTTTTCCATCCTAGAAAAGAATTAGGAAGTCGCTGAAATGTATATGGTAGAGCCCTTACTAGGAGGAGAGCCATAGCTTCGTTTTCAAGACCCTTGTCGTCGTGTGCATAGGCTTGGTGGAAAACAGTTCCATCAGGTGTATTCATTATGTCTGCGGACGTGTCAATTGACTTTGCCTATAACCGAACGCTCGAATATTGCAAATACAGTGCTTGCCTGCTTCGCTGTGGGACATAGAGGATGAGCTCGCGGTGCGTTCTATTGTATATAGTATTGCTCTTCTCACAGTTCAGCAAACGTTGCTCTGCATGGTATATAACTAACTCTCCAGTCTGGTGTATTCAGCACTCGTACGACCCTTGAGAATAACTCGTGACGCTTTGCCATCTCACAGATGCGGGTTCTATCGTCTTGTCCAACGAGGATGCGAGTAAACGGATTTCACTGCATAGCAATAGCCGGATATGGGGCAATCCAATGACACGATTCATACTACAGTAGAGTCGATGTCGTACTTGATCGCGCAATTGTCCTACTCTCCTCCAATTACCCCAGGGATATCTAGATTGAGGTTTGTTTCTTACTGTGCCTATATTGCGCACACTCAATAGCTATATGACCTGTGCCTACATAATTATACCCCTTGGATTTGATGATTTAGGAAGAGAGCTTAGAGATCAATTGGTATAGTCTGACTTGGCCTAACAATGTAGAGATACATCTACTTCGACATCATATATTCACAGAGACACGATCATGGCGGGGAAAATCTAGCATCTAATAGATGTAACGGAAGCTGTTCAAGATACTTGTTAGTACGTTCTCTATCATCTCGGCGAAGGGGATTATGGAAAAATAAGTATACATACTTCAAGTTCTCTCGATCCGTCAAATCCAAAAACGCAGTCGCATCCAGATCTCTCCCCTCAAGACCACCCTCCATCTGTGACTGGATGCGATCGCGCTTCTTATTTTCCCAGCGCAGCAGCAGGCCCAGGACAATGATCAAGGCAGCCTCAATCAAATGCGAGACGATCATGGACCAAATTCCGAGTTCGTACGTTGGTCTGGAATTTGTGTCAGTCTTTCGCTTCCGAAATATCTTGAAAATATGCGTGATTAGGAACTCACGATTGCTCGGTTTTGTAGAAGAATGGACCAGCGATGTTTCCGGTACAATACCCCAAGAATAGAACGGCGTTCGTGACGACTTTCTTCGTGTGGCCTATACTTTCTCTTAGAATTTGTTCGTGATTGGATCAGACGTCAAAAGAATATAACACTTGCCAGCTGTATTGGCCACTTGCATACTCAAGACAAGTACGAATGCCGCATTGTACGGGCCTGTCAGGTAATAGCAAATCAATCGGCCGACCTTGTGTTGAATTGGAACAAAGCGAAGACCGAAACTGCCAGCGAGGTTGGGAAGCAGGAAGATTAGAATAAAAACGCATCGTCGATTTTCGAAGCGGTCGTTGAGGTAGACGCATGTCAGGATTGATACGGCGATGATAAATCCGTAGGGAATCTGGGGGTTCATCTCATGTTAGCTGAGCACGGTTTGGTTATCATGTCAATCATACCTGCATGAGAGTAGTGACCAATGTTGAGAAACCAAATCCTTGAATGATAATGGTACCGAAGTTGGAGATACCTCCATTGGGGACATTGCCTGTGTAGAGGTAAGTTGCTAGAATGGAATCGATGGGCGCATATCACGTACAAACCATCCCGAGAATGAAGAACATGTAGAGTTTATAATCCATGAAAGCCTCTAGAATCTGATATGGCTTGAGATGTTTATTCTCAATACCAGTTTGGTTCTCTCGTAGACGCTCCACGGCCATTCGGCGTTCTTTCTTGCTAAGACCACGAGCTGTAACGGGTGAGTCGGGGAGGAAGATGAACATGACAATTCCCCAGGCAGAGCACAGGGCACCGCTGGTAATAGTTAGCAAGACGAAGAACTTCAAAAGGGGAAGAAGACAAGACCTACATCACGAGGAACTCGTATTTCCATGAAGGTAGTGCGCCTTTAAGATGGCCGATTCCATAGCCCAACAATCCACCCAATGCAATACCAAAGCCATTCGCTGTATACCATAATCCAATGCGCACAGGTTGTTCACGGCGAGTATACCACATACTTGTGATCAGCATAAAGGCTGGATCGGCGCAGGCCTCCGCGGCACCACCCAGGGCTCGAAGAACGGAAAGCGTCTCGAAACTATTGCAGGCTGCCTGGATCATGAGGAAGACGCCCCTTTGAGAAGAAACATTAGTATTTGCTGGAAGTGTCTTTGACACCAGTCTGACTAACCACATGAAGATATTCGCTCCCAGGTATTTGCCTAGTATATATATCAGATGAATGTTCCATCAAATCAACCTGAAAAGCGCAAATCCTACCGATGGGCAGACGCTGCATCAAGAAATTGGTCGGAAAAGCCCATGCTAGGAAACCAAAGTAGAAGATACTACTCAGCCAGCTATACTGAGTGCCATGGAGATTGAGATCCTCGCGAATTCCAAAGATAGCGGCATAGCTCAGGGTTGTCTATTCTCACGCAGAAAAAGAGGTATGAGCTTTGGTCTTCCGCCAACTGCATTCAATGCTGTGACTGACCTTGTCAATATAGAAGAATGCATAGCATACGGCCAAGTAAGGCAAAATCATGAAATCAATCCTCCACAACAACTTCCTTGCCTCCGCCGGATCGATATCCTCATGGAGCTCGTCCGGATCATCAAACAGCGCCATAGCCGTGTCACCGTCAGCATGTTTAGCAGATCTCAATTTAGAGTGCGCTTGATTGTCTTCTGCATGGCTCACGGTAGGAACCTCGGCGATATTGGCCTTGGAGGCCATTGCGGGGGGCACACTGTCCACCATAGTGGAGTCTAGTGTGTGCAGAGAGTGGAGAAAAGAGAGAGATCAATGAAGGTAAGATATATTAGGTAGATAGAACATATATAAACCAATATCAACAGCCAGACAATTTCCGGAGAAAGAAAGTACTAACTGTGCACAGGGGGTTACAACCAGGTAATAAGAACAGCACATCATTCTTGGTTCGAGCATTCAAGACTCCAAAGATCCCACTCAGCGCCTGCTTCCCCGCGAAAAGCATCACTAGCCTGCCTTAAAGGGAAATATCCAGAGACAATCTGCGGGGAAGACCCAGAACGCCTCCCCCACGCCGAGACGCTAACTTGTCTTGATCGCCGTGGGGAAGCTTTTTCTTAAGAAGTCGGACTTGGACCGTCGTGGTTCTTTGTTTCGCCAGTCAGTCGTTGCCAAGATAACTAGTCCAAGACACTGAGTTTGTCTGGCCTGAGCCTTTCTCGCTGCAGGTTGTTCTCGGGGGAAGTCCGAAGATGTCGGGGTCATTGGCTCAGATCCTTGATGTGGTTCATCTCACCCTATAGCCGACTATGACCTACCGAGGTTATTGTTAACTATCCATGAGCTTCATCTGGTATTTGTTCGGTTTTTCTTTACCAATCCATTTGGATCTCCCAAGAATCAGGGGTCTTGCGCAGCCAACTACCTTGGAGTGGCCTGGGCTTCACTCTGAACCAGCACCTCTCTTTGCGTAGGCAACAGGGCTCCTTGGGCTGGATGATAAAAATGGAAGAAATGCCTACCCGTGGATTGACGTAGGTAGATATGTCTTATATCCTTTTTGGTACGTCGGAGTATTCATATAACCCGATGGAAACTGCATCTTTGATTTCATACCTTACGTCTGAAACCTCTTGCGCCCACACTAAACGAGCCAGCTTTACGCAAACATTGAATATGACTTACATATACCTAAATACTTCCATTGAATTGCAAATTCATACTTGGATTAAAATAGAAACTTTTGAAGGCTAATAAACAGAATGTCCGTTGTGAAGAAAATCATCGATATCTCCGAATCACATTTTATATCCCACATTGCACGAGTGAAAGCAACATTTCACTCATCCCCATTTGAAAATCTCTCAATCTCCCAAAGAATCCACAAAACCATGACATTATTCATCGTCGGTTGAAGTTCAAGTAGCGAGACTGCAGCGAAACCAATTAGTACCGGCACCACAACTCCAAACAGAATGCTGCGAATATCACCACTTACCGCAAAGAACAAAATAATCAAATTAGATCCAATGAACGCAGCAAGAATGCCCAAGTCCCGCCACCGGTTATCAAAGGACATGCTGAATGTCGCATAGAACTGCTCGCCAATCTTGTACGCACAGTACTTGCAACTCTGCGTCGCGTTCTCGACAATATATCCATTACCGCCTCGTTCAAAGAATGGCTTCATATATTCACCACAAGTCATATTGGAGGGAGCGTCGAACAGATTCAGTTCTGATTCCGTGCATACGACATCCCGGCCTTGCAGCTCTGTGACGACCATTCCGCCGACCAAACGAGTGAAAGGATCGAGCTGGTAAAGCCATGCGCGCCAGAAACCTGGCATCTGTGGTTTGGGGATGGAGACACCACAAAAGAGCGAGAAGATGACTACGATCGGTGGGTTGAATTGTGATGCAATGAAGCTGTTGGGCGTGAGAGCTGAAATCATCTGGCCCAGAGTGACGGAGAACATCTCGGTGATGAGAATGATGAGAAATTGGTAGCCCGCGCGGCTGGACTCCATCTGGAATCCGGGGATGTAGTAGAGAGGTGCGAAGAAACAGACAGCACACAGGAGACTGTATGGTATTTCTGCGACGACCATTGACAGAGCGAATGCGAATTGGCTGTATGTTTTTGAAGCTGACTCGCGATAGAAGATTAATCGTGCCATATCGTACCGCGGTTGAACCATCTGTAGGATGATAGCCGGGAGGACGGTAACGTTGAAAATAACGAAGATACGGTATTGCAGCGAGGATCGAGAGTCATCGAGATTCAGGAAAACAAGACCCGTGATGATGGAAATGACAACGTGAGTATAAAGCCTGGTAAAGCCATAGTTCCTTGAGCGCCAGAAGGATAGATGCGTTCGTCGACAGACTACCTTGATCTGGTGCCAGAGAGGCGAGGCATACTCCCTCTCCATGTTGCTCTCGTCATGGCTTTCCAGTACAGCTTGAGTACGGCTTTCCTTAATTCGAACAATCTCTTCTTTGACATTTTGTAATTCAGGAGAGGTGCGCCAGATATCACCCCAGTCGCGATTTCCGATCCGACGCGTTTGACCAGCACCGATGGCATCAAGCATCCACTCAGCTACGTTCGCATCCGGCGGGCAGTCGGCTCCATTGCGGTGGAAATAATCCAAGAGGACCTGAGACTCCGCGCCGATGTCGCCGCAGTAAACGCATTCACCTCCTCTTTGTAGTAGAACAAGACGATCGAAGCTTTCGAAAAGAGCAGAGTTCGGTTGGTGGATAGTGCAGAGGATAGCCTGGCCTGATGCGGCCAGTTTTCGAAGGAAACGCACAATATTCCAGGCTGACTGCCCATCCAAACCAGAAGTAGGCTCATCCAAGAATAGCAGGAGCTCGGGCTTTGCCGCCAGCTCCACACCAATTGTGACTCGCTTCCTTTCCTCGACTGAGAGACCAGTTTCGGGAGTGCCGATGATCGCATCTGCTAAATTCTCCAGCTCTAGAAGGGTCAGGATTTCTTCAACATATGCGTACTTCTCCGATTGTGGGGTGTCGAATGGCTGGCGTAGGTCCGCAGAGAAGCGTAGTGCCTCGCGTACCGTCTGCATATCTTCATGAACATCGAGTTGCTCGGCGTAAGATGTGCCTCTTTGGAAGGAGGTACCTGGGGGTTTGCCATCAACCAGAATATCACCGGTTATTACACCGATATTTTTCCGTGCGGCCAGGACGTCCAGCAATGTCGTCTTTCCTGCACCGGATGCACCCATAAGTGCCGTCAGCTTCCCTGGTTGAACATAGCCGTAGACGGAGTTCAGAAGTTGCCGGGTGCCAGAGGGCACAGGCACTTCGTAACAGATATCTTCCCAAGTGAACACAGACTTGGAGGTAATATCAAGGCTCGATCCTGCATCTGCATCAAGTGTCTTTGCCTGCCTTTGTGCTTTCTTTTGCATCAATCTCTCATTCAGCTCCTTGCGCTCGGCATTCTCCTTCTGGTAGAAAGTGATAGTCTTGCCACCTGCGCCGAAGTGAAGGGTTTCCCCGAAGTATAGGTTTGAACAAAGGAAGCCAATAATCAAGGCGAGCATAATTCCAAAGTTTCTCCAAAGATCTCCGTTGAGATAACTGAATGTTTGTGCAATATAGTTAGAGCCTGGAATGATTGCCGAGCCAGGTTCACCACCCGCTAGAGTGCACGCCTGGTGCGCCATGTCGTCATAGCCAAGGCCACTTGGAACCAGAGAGTCTTTCGTACATGTTAGGGTTAGGTGTCTGAACTCATTTACCATCAACGAGGCAAACCCAAGTCCGAAAGGATTGATGAAGTAGATCCACCTCAACCATACCTGGCCGCTAGACCACTGGATGAGATATCCCGATGTCAAGACAAAGAAGGTTATGATGAGAGATGCAAACTTGAGGGCATAATCAAAGTCCGGGCAGAGACATCCAACAGTTCGGAAGAAAACTGTCATCGTCAAATAGCCCTCGAGAATGATCAGGACAAATATGAAGAATGCTCCGGCATCAAGGACTAGACCACACATAAAGTATACGATGATACTGAAGACTAGAATTCGAGCAGTAGCAAACGCAGCATCAACGAGCAGTTGTGCAATAAACAGTGCACTCGGTCTGTAGAATGTGAACGAGCGATGCTTGTTAACGATTGAACGTCCAAGCATTGTGGCCGCAAGTTCCGAAAATGCTTGGAAGCCGTTGAACAGCAGACTCATAAATAAGAGACCACCCCGAGTGAAAGCGCCAGCACTCGTCTTGGGTTGATCAAGCCAGACAGTACCCAGAACGATGGCAATACCGACGGAGGTAATCCAAGAAACAGTCAGAGCGAATTTGTCTTGCCATTTGAGGAGAAACTGCCGTTGCATCAAGGCCCAGATTTGCAAATGGAAGGGAATTGAGTACACGGACGAGTCAGACGTGAACTTGCGCTTTGCTTCTCTGTTGGCAATTTCGAAGTCGTCGTAAATTTGCTTTTCTTTCTGAATTTGAGCTCGGTATGCTTGCATTTCCTGAGCGAGCGTCTCGCTGAAGATTGACTTGTCAAAGGCATCTACGAGCGCTTGGGGAGTCGACGGCACATCATCAGCGGTTCTTCCATCTTTGAACTCCCTTTCGAAAGGATCAGTGCAACCCGTCAAGTAGTCTGGAGTGGTCTGGCGGGGCTTTTCGCGGAAACCGAGGTCTTCGAAATATGATCGCGCTTCGGATACAGGACCGAAGAATACTTGCCGGCCACTATCAATAACGAGAACCTTGTCAAACTGCTTGTAAATGTTCTCGGATGCCTGGTAAAGTGACACGAAAGTGGTCGTCTTGTAAATGTTGGTCAAAATCCGTAGCGACTTGGCAAAATCAAGGGCAGTCGAGGCATCCAGACCACGAGTGCTGTTATCCCAAGCCAATACAGTGGCAGACGTGATCATCATTTCCGCAATCGACACTCGGCGCCGCTCACCTGTTTTAATTAGCGTTAAGCTTCATGGAAGCTGCGTGTTTTAGAATGAATTGCCTACCTCCAGAGACACCACGAATAAACTGGTTGCCGATCACAGTGTTGGCAGTGTGCTCGATATTGAACATTTTCAAAAGCAAGTTAATCACCTTCTCCTTGAACTCGGCCTTCGACACACCTAGTGGGCGTTTTCCAGGGGTCTTTGTGTCGAGGGCGAATCCCAGGGTCTGTTTCACCGTCAAGGTTGGCTGGTGAATATCATCCTCTTGGTTGTACACGGCTTCACCACGGAATCTTTTGGCAAATGCCTCGTGATCAAAAGGCCCATAGAGCACCTCACCGTCGACCCCAGTATATCCAAACCGTTGATTTGAGATCGCTTTTAGGAAGGTCGTACAACCCGACCCTGGACGCCCAAGAACCAGGACCATCTCACCCGGCCGAGTGAGACCACGGAAGCCTTCCAAGATGTTGAACTCCTGGCCTGTCTTCTTCCATCCAAAAAGATCAATGATTATTCCCGGGACATTGAGAAAATCGATGATGGCGTCGGGGAATGTTTTGATATATGTCTTGACGCCGCCCATGCCACGGACTGTGAGATTGTCCCAGATCACACCTACGAGAATTAGCACTAGTCCCTGTCTGAGTGTTGTAGTCTACCTACCTATATGCTTGTCCTTGATCCCAGCTTCTTCCGAGGCAACATGATCGCCATGCAGCGTTGTCTCCAGATCCCACGAATCGTCCGACGAAGTGGAGCCCTCAGCTTTCTCAATATCGTGTGCAGTAGTTCCGGTCTTTGACACTCGTGAGATCTGCCTCGACAGTCTATAGGCTTGGTGCGAGATGCTAGAGAACTGTCTGTTCAATTCCTCAAACTCCTTCTCGGCCGCTGAGACATCGACACCATTATGAAACGAGGCGTTGCCCTGCGTATTGGAAATCCGAACCTCTTCCAGCTGCCGTCCATAGCTTTGGGAATCCAACGTATCTGCATCCGACCTGCTGCTAGTTTCAGTCATGGCCTGCTTGGGGTCCGAAGCATCCATGTTTGATGTCATTAGAAAGCTTGAGCACGGTTGCACCGTGGCGAGATTAAGATCCACCACAAAATCTCCGAGGGACTCTTTCTAAGAGCGGGAAAGTGCAATGCGTGAGTTCCACCCGGAGAGACCAAGAGCAAAAGGATAGCTACAAAGCCGAGGGTAAAATCCTCAGCGTCCCACGGCCCCTGAAATGAAACGTTAAAGAAGAAAAAAAGAATGGGCTAGAAAAGCAATAAAGAAGCTAGGCCCGAATGATCTCCTTGGCTTAGATTCGGTAGTATCTGACAAGCATATCTATTTGCCTCCTTCGGCTCCACCGTGAAGGATTCAGCGTGTGCTTGCATAAGGAAATAGCGGTGTTCGGGGGGCTTTGATCCCCGTCGGGGCACCATTGCCTCCGATGCAGCAGGCGAAATCCTTGATTCGAAGCCCAAACAAAGGTGGGGGGAAGTAGGGACGGCATATTCCGCGGTGGAGAGACCAGATTTGAAGGCGCCAAGCAGACGGAGTCCCGAATGGGTTTAAACTCGACGCCAGTCACGATGACTCAAATGACTCGTGATCACTGGAGTTTTGTATCGATTATAAATCTCATCCACGCTCGCTTAAGATCCTGTTTTAGAGCAATGCTCGTGCACAGGGCCCCGTATCAGTCTGGGGATGTGGAGAAGACACGATTAGCGTTGTCCTCCACTTCCCGAGGTATACGGAGTACTCCGTAGAATGGCACATTCCGATTCACACGGATAGACCCTGTGGGAAAGATGAATGCTATGAGATCTACCTAGGAATTCCCTGACTCATGAATTATAAAGAGTACCTGGGCAGATCAGGACCGGGTGGTCATGGTCTTGGTCGGGTATGCACCTGGGCTACTATACTTTCGATAGACTACATATATGCAAGATTGCCTGGGTGAGTCAAGAAATAGATTCTTTGCGAGCCTGTTCAAGGAAATGCTCGAGGTCCATTCCCAACAAAGTCAGAATCTAATTGGGCGGCAATTGATATTACTACATTAACGCCCATTGAGTTAGCCCCGGGATATCTTCGGGATTGATATTCGCGACCAACAGCTACCCAAACCAATGTCTCACAGCCCTCGGAGACAAATCATTCGCAGAGATGATACATCACGCTGCAATTTCCCGGTCTGCAGCATGATACACCCAGATGATGCATTCATGGACGAGACCCAGGTTCCATAGCTTCAACGAATGGTATCTGAACCACCACACGTGCGGAATATGCGCCATCCTGCATATTCGGAGTTCAAGAACCAATCAAGGCCCGCACGGCCAAAAAAAAACTATCCGTCAAAAAGTAGCTCGACGTGTCGATGCCCAAGTCTCGGTTCAATCCTCGGATAGTCCCGATAGGGCCCGGATATTGGGCGAGGTAAATAACTTGTAGGCGCGATTGAAACATCTATTACGAAGAAAAACTACATCACAGTTTCCATTCGTGATTCATAAGTTATGCTGATAGATAATTATGCAATTCCCGAGGTATAGGCGGAAAATGTACTCAATCCCAAGACGCGCGACAGAAGACCATTAACCGATCTCCCCAAAATTGCGGAAAGTAACTATGCGGAGATCGCCTTGATCTGGGCCTCAAGTTTCTTCATATCGCCACCAACAACACGGTTGACCTCCTTGCCATTGTTGAACAGCACAAAGGTGGGCATAGCGTTCACGCCCAGCTCGCGCGCAACACCCTGCAGCTTGTCCACATCGACCTGGATGAAGCGAACGTTCTGGTGCTGTTCGCTGAGCTTGCCGACAACGGGAGCGACGGCCTTGCAGGGTCCACACCAGGTTGCGAAGAAGTCGACGACGACGGGGCCGGAGGAGGTGAGGGCTTTGAAGATGACTTGGCTGTAGGGCGGAGATTAGCATCGCATCTCTTAAGCACATCGAGAATCTCTTACTTGTCAATCTCGGTGACCTTTCCGTGAGACATCGTGGCTGCGGGACTTGACTTGCGGGACTTGAAGAAGAGGCGAATAGCTAATGAGGGGTTAGTTGGATGTTTATTTGTTGGTCTCTGATGGATGCGCTCCGGCGCTACTGTTGGATACAGCCATAGAATTGGGGGGTTTGTGGTTCGTACCAATATAGATCGCAGTGAGAATTAGAACAGTCTTGAGCTCCATCTTCAGTTGTTGGTTCCCAAGTTCCTCGGTGGAGCGCCGGGTTATTGGGCACGGCACGTGATCTGGAACTATACCCCTTCCAGTGGCACTGAATCACGATATTCGCGCAGAGATGACGAGTCTGAGTAAGGTAACGGCACGAGATGTCTTATTTTGAAGGGCTTAACTTTGGTGGTCGGCGTTGTGGTGGGTTTAATGTGACTGCAGCCAATCCACGGTGTCCAGTATCGAGCTCAACGTCAACTCAGGAGTCAGGACGATCTATCGCTGATAGTTTCGTATTTTGCACATGAGCTCGAAGCCAAGATGTAGAATATGTATATACACTTTTTAGTGGATATAACTTTCTTCGAGGCTACTGGGGAAAAGAGAAAGAAGCAGAAAAGTTCATGTTCTTCTATCTCTGAGCAAGCTGGGGTCATATATAGCCTCCAAGCCAACAAAGAACTATCAAAGGGCGCAGCCAGCACAAAGAATACCTGGGCCATCAATATGGATTGCAACCAGACGCACCACTTGCAGATCAACTTGATAACCAGCAGCCGTGAAGACCCTGGAGGAGGATTAAGCTCCCACAACTTTTACCACTGGTGTATCCCTTTGGTTGATATATTCGGTAAAATAATGGGATCTTCCTCCCGCGGGGGGCCGATTCTGTTGAAGATACAGAGGTATGATACAGCATGTAGGGTTTCAACAATGGGTTCAAATGATACTAGGAATAGGATCTCTCATGGAAGTATTGAATTGTCTAAAGATCTAGATAATATCTGTCTTTTCCTGCTATTTATGCCCCTTTGTGTGCCGAGGATCGGAGTCCTCAATTTGGCCCCCAAAGGTGAGCTTTTCGGCAGAAAAGACAAAAAGGGCGTAGCGTTGATAATCCTGCGGATGAGAGATGTCGGAGCATGAGATCGGCATACCGGAAGTTTAGTTTATCCTGTCTACGCAGTATTTTTGATATTAGTCAGATAGTCATATTTCCTACTAGAATAGTGGATATAGAAATACAGAGATTTCAACTCCCTTGATTGGACCCCTACTATACTGAATACCACGTCAGTTGACAGTTATGAGCCCGGTTCGTACGAAATAAGGCCGCTATTTATAAGATATAGCGCCTATCAGCACCTGAAAACCTCTAAAGCTACATAGTAGCCCGCTAAGGCTATATAGCACCTAACCCCAACAATAGAAGTATTAACAATTCTCTCCGCTATAAAGGGCGAAAAACTGAAGGATTCGCCCTAATAGCGCACCTAGTTCGCCCGGGTGAAGCTATATGCGATATAAAAATAAGTCTAGAAGCACTATGACCTAGATACCCCCCGATAGAGAGACTAGTTAGGAAAGAAGAGCCTATTAGGCCGGAATACCTTTACGGAGGGACCGAATCGGATAAAAGAGACTAGAGAGATAAAATAGATATCTTTAAAGTGGACTAATCGAAATAGGATAGGGAGATAAAAGGGCTTTCTAATATAAATAACTATATTTATACCTTCCTAGACCTAATCCACTATACCGCTATTACCGACTATTAGACCCTATATAAGAGACTAGTATACCTAAGAGATCGCTTCGCGAGATCGACTATATATAAGGAGGAAGTCCGAATAAAGTAGAAGGTCTTCGCTATCTAAAAGCCGACTAGAGATATTAAATAATAGCTTAAATAATAGAATACCCTAAGGGAGTAAGCTATTAGCCTTAGTATTAATAACGGAGACGTAAATAGGGACTTCCTATATACTATTAAAGAGGTCTTACCTATTTAGTAGTAAAGAAGATATTAAGAGATCGTTATAGATAAGAAAGTCTATTAAACCCATGATCTCCTCGAGTTATTCCGCGTAATAAATCGAGAAATAGGGGTATAAAAGGTATTATCTACTATACCTCTAAAAGGGGTATTCTTAACCTAGTAAGGGCACTAAGAATTAAAGTCCTAAACTAAGAAGCTGATCCTATTTAAAAAGAGGAGGTACCTATATAGGAACCCCTACTATTTATATAAAATAGTAATATACTAGTATCTTAATAAGGAAAACTACCCCGAAGGGACCTATATTAACCTAAGAAAGCTAGAAAAGATTAAGTAAAAACTCGCTAAAGAGCCTACTTAGAAGAAATAGGTAGAAAAGAAGGTAGAAAAGGTATAGTAAACTTAGTAAACTTAGTAAAATTAGTAACCTTAGAAGGAAGAGTTTATAAATTAAGTAAGCTTCGCTATTACCCTTAAGCCCTATACTATATAGTAGAGGGGGCTAGTATAAAACTGCGAATACGCCCTCTCCCTTACTAAAAATAGAGAACCTATCTTAAAAGATAGATAGATCCTTAATATAGGATCTAGTACCTATATCTATAATAATAGAGACCTTTTTATCGACTTTATACCCTAGATTTCGGATCTTACGACGGGAGATAGTACTACCTAGGTACTAGGAAAGGGGAAGGTTAGACTAGTAGGTAGATATCTAGTGAAAGGTAAAATAGAGATTATACTTAGTAATACTCTCTATTCCCTTAGCTTCTATATAAACCTAGTATCTTATTCTATACTAAAAAGGAAGGGCGGAATATAGTATTAGCGTATAAACTATATTAGAGACCCTAATAATAGACTAGTCGTCTATATAAACCTTTAGGACTAATTTAACCTCTAGATCTTTAATTAACCCGGAGAACTTATATAGCCTTAGTAAGCCTATTTTATAGAGAGAAAGTTAGTAAAACCTTAGTAATTAAAGGCCTTATTAGATATCTAGTACCGGAGACTAGCCTATATTAATTAACGAAGTATAGTAAAACTCGCTACTATAGTAGATAGAGTTAGTTTTAATAATAAAGGAAAAGAGTCTACCGGAAAAGAGTCTATAGGAAAGGAGACTACGGAAACGTAGGTATTATACTAGACTTACTAGCTAAGTCGTATACTAAGATAGATATTAAGACGAGCTATTAGGCGTACTTTCGGACGATTTAGAAGAGTGTACTTTAATCTTATTTAGCTACCGCTAGTAGAGAATAAGCACCGCTAGATCTCTTATTTTTACCTAGAAGGTCTTAGGTTTTATTAGCTAATAACCTATAAAATAAAGCCTAAGTATTAGCTAGCGATTAATCGTTTTATAGAACTAGTAAGAAACTAATAGGATCTACTAATTAAAGCCTTCTAATACGATAATAAGTCCTTAGCTAGAAAACCTATAGAATATAGCCTTACTTCTAATAGTATCCTTATATATTATAACCCCCTAGGGTATTCCGAAATAAATAGTTATACCGAAAGATTAGGTAGTATAATTATCACCCGTATACGTATACTCGTGCTTAAAGGAAAACTCCTAAAAGATCTATAGCTAAAGGCCGCTAACGCTACGGTATAGTTACTAAATCGTACGCCGACGTATATTACTACCGAAAACCGCTAGGTTATACTATAGGAGGAGGTGTAAAAGGAGTTCGCACTATAGGCGCCGAGGATTAACCTATTAAATGTTAAACTATATAGAAGTTTAGTATACTATAGGATCGATAAATAGGTCTAGTCTAATAAAATAAACCTACGAGCTAAGATCGGATTCTTAGTTAGCTATATAGTATCTAATATCTAGAAAATCTAGTTTCTATATAATAGGAAAGTGAAGCCTATTAGGGATATAGTATTTAATAAAACTCGTAAATATACCCCTAATTATAATAGATATTAGCTTATTCTAATACTAATATAGTAAGAACCTTAGGAAATTACTATAGAAGAGTTTAATTAGGTACTCGATCGCGTAATAGCTAGTTAAGAGACTAGCGAAATAGAAGAGAGAGATTATCGAGATCTATAGGAAGCTTAGTCTAATAATCTATAAGAAACTTAGCACTATAATTAGTAAGGATCTTAGTAAGGATCTTAGTAAGGATCTTAGTAAGAAAACTAGTAGAATATATAGTAGAACTCTCCGTAGAGGGAGATAGCTAGTAAAGTTAGTTAGCGAGATACTACCCTACTTTAGGGGGTAGATTAGTAAGTGGTCCTACCCTCCCTAAAAACTACGATTATATAGTAAATGCCTAAGATCTATAAGCCCCGAGCTCCGCTAAGTGTATTTCCGGACGAACCCCTTCCTCCGCTCCCTATCACGCCGCTATAAGAACCCTATACGTAGGATCACTATACTACCCCTAGTTAGGGGGTAGATATACTAGGGGATCTAGAGGATCTAGTTAGCGACTAGGCTTAGAATGATAAAGCTATTCCTACTATAGAAGATAAGCTAGAAAATAAGCTAGAAAGATAACTATAGGTAGAACTTCTCGCCCTAAGTAGATAAATTATAGGAGATATTAATATTAGTAATATTATTAGTGGAAAACGAAGGCGTTAAGCTAGGTAAGATAAAGACTATATCTATATAATAAGATCTACCGATATAGAGGAAGACCCTCCTATACTACTATATATTTTCGCTATAGGACTATATACTAAGAAACCTAAAATTAGACGTTATTAAGATAATCTCCCCTTAGTCCTAAAATACTATAAAGATATTATAAACTATCTATTTTAGGAAGGCTTTCTCGTAGTAATAAGGAAGGAGATTAACTCTCTAATAGAAAAGGAAACCTATAAGATTATAGAGAGACTAAAGGATAGAGGTAAGTAAATACTACCTCTTATATAGGTATTCACCTATAAATGCGATTAGGATAGTTATCTAGTTAAATTTAAAGCTCGTATATACGTATAGGGAGATCTAGAGACTATTTTATACGAAGAAAAGAGAGCTACTATACTAGTAGTAAGGACTATAAGGATAATCTTTACCCTTATTACCGTATTTAATCTCGATCTAAGATAGCGGGATACTATTACTACCTTTTTAAATAGCACGCTAGAAAAAGAGGTCTATATCTAGATACCTAATAGGTTTAGACTACCTAGTAAATACTAGAAACTCCGCCGCGCACTATATAGGCTACGGATCTTATCTAGACTTTAG